TTATCACGTATTCACCTCACTCAGTCGGTACCCTGGAATTCCCGGTCGAGCACGCAAGAGTCTCTCCATCTCAGAACCTCAGGCTATCCTCAACTATTGAAGTTAGAGGTTTGCAGAATAGCATGCCAGAAACATCCAGGGCAGCAGAATGTGAGCCCCTTCGACTATTCGTTCGATCTTACCTCGGATGAAGTCGCGACCCTCGCACGCATTCTCTTCTCAGCACGTCGTGACGGCTGTGTGATCGGCGAACTTCGTCTGCCTTGCACGGTGAGAGACGTCTCCGGACAAATGGTTTCGGTTTCATCATGGGGAATGCGATTTCAAATTTTTATTTAATTTCGATCGTCTCTGACTCCTCAGACTCATCGGTTCTAGCAGCCCTTTCCTCAAGTGATGACTTGGATCAAACGCATCAGGCAAGCGATGGTGAAATCGAGTTTCCGGATTCTCTCTTTAAGCACATCCATCTCCTCCTTCTCCGGAGATTTCTTGCACTTGTCGCAAAGTCCATCATCTTGCGGAGGGTTCTCATCATCATCGGAAGAGGCCCCACTGCCTCGTAGTCCGAATGTTTCCCCCGTGGAGTGTAGTGGAGCTTCATCTTCATCTTCATCGAGAGTCCTCCTCTTCTCACTGGTGTCTATGCTGTCCTGTAGGCAAAAATCCTCTATTGGCTTCGGCTATGTACAGAAAAGTGACCTCATCTCGTAGAATGGAGCGGCCGCTTTCCCGAGAAAGCTCTCCCTGTGATGGGACCTCGCTCCGAAAGAGGAGAATGAGGTACTGAGAGAATCGAATTTGACCTCCCAACCGGTTCCAGGAACGCGCCTCTCACTCACCAGAAGTTGCTCCTGAGAATTCCTAGACTCGCACCGCATGCGTTTCCGGGACCGTGGGCTCATTTCAAGGCCTGTTTTGAGAAATTCGTTGTCGTCTAATCGTGATATGGCAGACTGTGATATCCAAATATCCCAGCTCAAAATTAATATTCCAGGAATCTCGCAACGGGAATTACAGATTCCTCCAGAACGGAAGGACTTTGAGGATCGAAGGATGGAAAACGATTCAAACGTCGAGTGAAGTTCGGGGAGCTCCAGTCGTGTGAAAATCCATTATCGAGCGAGCCTCCTGAACTCCTGATGCGCGCGCAGGAGGGAAACATCTCGATTGGGTCTGCAGTCCACTGGCATCGGAGACCCAGAAAACCGTGGGGAGGGATTGATTCTGCGGCACCTGACATGCTCGCTTGAGGAGCAGTCTTGCTTGACATTTTATTTTCTGGCCGGTCCCCGGTTAGCCGTTGATCACGACCTCTGCCGGGAAGTTGACACTCAAGCGTCACCATCACCGCGATTTCGAGCCCTGTGGGGGCCCAGGACAACTCTCGGAACGTCTACGAAGACCTCTTTCCGTAGATCGACTCATAGATATACATACAATCGTGCAAGGGCTGACTCCGATTCTGCATTCCAATCACCTCTCGCTGACAGATCATAGTCAGCGTCAAATATTTCTCGAGATATCTAATTCCATCCATGGAGGCGGGAAGTCTTGTCGATGTCTCTTCTATCGACATGAACACAATCAAATCCTATTGTCGGCACCAATAGTACATATCTCTAAGATTGAGATGATTGGAAGAAGGTAGAATGCGGCCTCGATATTGATTAAAATTATTTTCATTGAGACGCACTTCATCGAAGCCGAGCATATATTCGGCCCCTGCCTCCTCTGAGAGCGATGCCAGGGATGTTCCGCGCCGATGCCTGATCACTGAATGCAGATCTCGTGAGAGAAACTATTCGATCCCTATACGCTGCCTCGGATCCATTGATATAGAACTCGAGCTTCAACATCCCCATGCCTAACTTCGAAATGATGACCAGGTGACTTTCTTAGATAACTCAGCATACTCAGCGGATTCTTGTACAAGCTTGGTTCTCGAGCTCGCGTGGCGGAGCTTGCGCTCAATCCAACTAGTCTGAGTTTATTCTGCGGTGGGAATATCTCACTAGAAGTTTACAATCGCCCATTGTCGCGCGTGAGAGCTCAGATAGAGATTCGAGGTAATATGGAGGCGTAGACTACGCAGCGGGATCTACGTTCCCGAATATGAAAGCGATTCGGGGGAATAAATATACTTGTTCAATCATCCGAGGGCTCAATGAATCTTCGTCATATGAAACTGCCGTGCCTTTCTGAAACGGATCTGTCAGGAAATCTTCGATAGGGGAAACGCTCTTCCCGTTTTTGTTCAAGAATCTTTCCTGGGCTCCGGGTAGTATCCTGTGGCGAAAACGTTCACACCGACGGCTAGGCCGAAAAAAACCAGACAGAAAATGAACGAGATAATTCTCAAGATGCGCTCGGTTTTCCTGACGACCAAATTCCGTAAGACGACGACTCCGAGCGAGAGTCCGACGAAGGCCCCTGCCAAATGCGCGCTGTAAGAAATTGGATTCCGTCCCGGGCCTCGTGAGTAACGCTCGTAGACGGCAACAGAAAAATCTGTGACGCCGAAAACAGTCAGGATAGCGAGCCGCAACCAGCCGAACTCCATTTCCGAGTAGTTCTGCAAGGCGTCAGGGATTTTTAGCTTATTCATGAGAGAAATAATTGAGCAGCGAGAAAATAATTCGAGCAGAGCCATCGCTACCGTACCAGGATCACCGTCGCTAAGTGCGCGGCGATGAGTGCGTAGACTCCACCGGAAGCTCCTGCCAGAAGTGTTCTCGGATCACTGAGGGACGACCCTAACGATCCTGCGCGGGATTATACTTCCATTAGGATCGAGGAGCAGAGAGGGATATCATTAATGAAGAAGATATGGGCACACAATTATACAGCACTCACCTGCTATAACGCCCATGAAGTAAACGATTCCCACACGATACCACTTGTGAACCATTTCGAGAGGTATTCCTAACATGAGCTGCATTAGAATGTTGAAGAGTATGTGGTAAATCCTGGAACGGATGCAAGTTCGCTTGAGACTCCCCGCAAACGAATTCTTCATAAGTCAGAAAAGTCCGCAGGAAGCTCCATGAGGGCGATCGAGCAGATGATGTCGCCATGAAACCGCTGGAAGGAAAACTCACCCTATATGTATGAACTGATACGTGAGGAATCGCCAAACTTCATATCTCCTGTATGGAGTGTAAATTAGGGGCGAGCTGATAGGTGTGGGCCCATCTGCAGACCACTCCCCCAATTCTACGCAATAGTAGATGAATATTGCGATCTGTGAAAAAACACACGGAGCTTATTCAATTTACTCGGGAGGTGCCGCCTGATCCCGATGCGGCTGTCAAGCCATTCCTCACTCGGGCGACTCGTTCGAACTATATCGACAAAAAATTTCAATGATGCGACGTTAGTCCTCACTGGCCGTTGCGGATCACAAATGTTCCACAGATGCCCTCGCTTATTGGGATTCACGCACCTGAACCAAAGAGACCAATAAAATGAAGAATGGCGGTGGCATACAAGAATATTCCTCGATGTAAGACCTGACGAACGTTGCACGCCGATTCGTCGCGACCTGTAATCCGAAGTGATGATCAGCTCTGATCATTTGCGAAGTCTCTTCGTATTCACGAGTCATGAACTCACCACAGTGGACGCAGCAAATTTGACCAGTGTGCAGAACCGGGGGTAGTTTTTGTAGGCCACGGCGGTTCGCATCATCCTCTCGAAATCCTCGAAATCTATCCTTCCATCAGCATCCCAGTCACACCTGTATCGTTTTACCACGGCGTCAGACGGCGAGTGAATTTCTGATCGGAAGGAATGGGCTACCGCTCAGGGGATACCGATTCTAGATCGACGAACCTCTCGAGAATCTCGTCTAGGACCGGGGTCGGGAAATCGTGCACGAGCAGACCCGATTGCTCCTGCCATAGTTTCTTCAAGTGTTCGATTTCCACGATTCCATCCCGGTTGGTGTCGTACTGAAGAAGTGAAAAATATACATGAGCACGGTGTTCAGAACAGGTCGCTGCTGCCGCTTCCAGGATGAGCCGAGACACTTACTTTGTTGAATGTGGAACGCCAGTTGCTCTGTGGGAGGGTGAATATATTAGTAGGAGCCAACTCACGATCAGCAAGGATTGACTTCATTCGATGCCCCACTCCCCAAGGGCAGTTGACGCACCTAAATACATATGTTGCGTCCGATAGACAAAATAACGATCTTTCTCGACTCTCTCCATCTTTTTCTTCCTTCAGCACGGGGGATTCGGAAGTTTTCTCGTCAAATCTACTCCATGACATATTGATATCAAAAGGGAAATCGGGCTTTACCGCATCGCAGACGTCAATACAACACTGATCCGCAGAGTCTGGGGCAACGTCGTCGAGGTCGGGGTAGGTACGGCCCTTGGTATATGCCGCAGACATCTCCAGTTTCCTCGGCTGAGCGGGCTCAGGCACAGGGCTCTACCGGACCGAGAACGAGCAATATCAGTTTAACGATGGGCTCGATATTGCCTCGCGTGGGATCTCCAGAGAGTGTATTCGAATGGAATGCTACGCCCGCGTCATCGGGGTTGCGTCATGAGAAGCAGCTCTTATAAATGCGATGAAGCTTAGCTTATCGATCCATGCATACCTTTCGGTGAGTATTGCCTCCTCTGCTGTCGCCGCCACAATACCAATGTCGTGTTTACAAATATTCGTCTGCTGAGGTGGCGAGAATGATCACCTCGTGAAAGAGGCATCGCGCGCTAGCATGTAGGTCTCACTTACGATTGATCCCATATGAGCCCATGCGATCTGAGTCCATATCAGAAGCAATGCTATAACGTTCAGGCATCCTGCTGACGCACAAATTCAATGGAAGCCGTGGAGAAAACAACCTGTTGAACGGGCAGCCTCTCCGAGTCACTGAACGTCGTCGAGGGAACTCACGCCGGGGCGCGGCGTTCTCGGAGTTCATCGCTTAGTGCGAAATTTGGTCATCAATGATGGGCTCCGAATCTGTCGCGGTATATCGGTCCGCGACGGAATCCGTGATTTTTTCGGAGTGAACGAATCGACGAATTGGGGAGTTCGAAAATGTCGCCCCGGTATGAATGAAACTCCGAAATTCACGCCGTGATCTTTCAACGGCCGCGACACGGTCTCGGAGTTAGCCGCGACTGATTTCGCGGTTTATGAAACGGGAAAACGGGATTCCGTGACCGATTCCAAGCCCCAGAATGCTTGCCGCAGAGATGCATTCCCCTATGGCTGTCAAGACTCAACCCCACATGAGTGTAGGCGCGTGGCACGTGAATCTGCGTAAAATTTTAGGTCGAGAGAATGATCAAATTCTAAACAATCAGTCCGAATCGAGGCAACGTGATCGGGAGGCGTGCCCCAAGTTCTGCTAAGCTCGAAAATCCAGGTCCTCTCATGTAAGTCTCGATCAGGCATGCTCAGCTTGCGGCCCGCGGGGCATATGAACGGAGTGAGTTCTGGCTATCGGAAGCACCTCTGAAACATCCCCGATCTGGTTGGATCCACAGAAACTCTTGTGGGAGGTGGATCTCGATTGAGTACCGAAGGGAATCGTTCTATTCATGTCGATGTGGTCGTATTCGCCCATAGTTCGCATTCCTCACTTCGAGCGAGGCGTCCAACGGCCCGGGCCTCACGAGAGAGTGGGCAATTAGAGCGGGTAGACTTCAGACCTGCCTTCGAGACTCCGTCGAGGGAAGGGGGGAAGGAGGGAAATTACCATTCGAAACATTTATTTCTTTTGCGCTTGAAGGTCCGAGATACTACAAAAGTCCCAGACCTTCCTCGCTCGGTTTTGTCGTGCATCCGCCGGAACGCGAGATTCCAGCTTGGCGGAAATCTTCTGAAGATTAGGCCCTGCGTCATCGTACGTGAACGTCGATGATGCTTCAACATCTGACAAGCGATATTCAACCGTGGAGAGGAGGAGCAACAGCCCGGCCTCGCTCGAACTGTCAGCAAAGATCATCGGCTCGAGAGTATCTCCGCTCTTCCCTCTCCCACAAACAGATTCCATTTTTGTTCAATCCCACCACTCTCGTTCTATTTGCAAGGGATTTCCCAGAGACTTCACATACGCACGGCTGTGCGGTGCCCCGACATACGTACGATTGTACGGTACCTTGGCCGTTCGTACGATCGTGCGGAGAGCACGGCGTGCGAGCCCCGTGCCAGGTCCGGTACATCCCAACACGTCAAAAGCAGAAACGGAGTTGACGGAGAGAGTGCAGCACATCGCGGAGCCCTGCGGTGTGGCAAGTGTTCCATTCCTGCTGATGGTGTTGTTGTTGTGAGTGTGCTCGTGGTGGTCTGGCGTGTGTTCGGGCGTGCCAACGTGCGTGGTGCCAGCCGGAAAGTGTGCGAGGTGCGTGTTTTGAGCGAGAAACTTCGCGGGATTCCATCGGAATTCCTGGTGTCGTGCTGGACCTCGTGCACGGGATTCCCCGCCTAGGTCGCCGCCGATCTCGCCTCGTCGGATCCGGACTACATCGACGTTGGCGCTCATAGTCAGCTGCTGTCGAATCTGCGTCAGAGGCGCTGTCGTGAATCGTGCTAAGACACGGTGGACACTCGGACGACCTACCGACAGACGGGAAGCCCACCAGATCGATTGAACGAATTCCAGACGTTTACGTCAAGAATCTCAACAACACCGACGGCAACGGAGACTGAAGAAAATAATAACAAGACGACGACCGATATTGAGAATTGCGAGTGTCAATATTGTTGTTGTTGCTGCTGGAGCGCTTTTGATATCTTATCCTCCATATCGTCATAATCATCACCGAGAGATATCCCAAGCAGAGCTTTGCATGATTTCGACGTTGACGACCGAGTCTCCTCCGTCGAGCCAAGCATTCTCAGTGGTGGTGGTGGTGCCTCCTGCTGCCGCTGCTGCTGCCGTAGCTGCTGCCGCTGCTGCTAGTGCAAATAGCAGCAACAACAACAACAACAACCACCACAACAACAACAACAACAAAACAGTCACTGATTGTGCTGCTCGCATCATATCACCACCTAAGATGCCTGCCGTAAACCGTAAGGTCGCCATCATGGGCTACCGGAGTGTCGGTAAGTTTCGCCGAGCTCGCTCGGTAGTGAGATACTCCCACATTAACCTTTCGTTCCTCCTCGAAATCGCTGTGGTCAGCTGTGACTGTGACTGTCTGCGTTCGATTCCCCGTCACTCGTCACCAGCTCCAACTCCCGCTCCTGCTCGTTCCTGCGACCTCTACCTACCTGTCCGTCATACGCGTGACTCGGACAATAATTCGCTGTATTGACTGCATCACTTACATCCCAGCCCCCGATTTCATCGGCGTGGATGGAATCCAGAGGAAAGCATTTACTTGGCGGCGATCACGGGACCCTGCCGAATGAGTCACCCCCTAACCTTCACGCCTTTATGCATCGAACAGAGATTTCCTCTCTGTTATGCGACGCCCATCCATTGGCCGTAGATGCGTCAATCAAGCTAATGCGTCATAAGTGGTGGCATTCTCAATCGAACGGACGGAGAGCTACCTGCCGCGCCAGACAGCCCCGCTGCCGGCGCCGTTGGATCATCGAAAGGGCGCGCAATAGCGCTTTTTGCGCAGTTAGCTCCTGCGAAGCGGCATCGTCAGCCGTTCAGTGAGCGGGCTAGCGGTCGACGGTCTCTTGCCTCTCAGCCGCTCGTTCGCTCACTCGCTCGCTCTGACTGACAGCCTTGCTCAGGTCGGAGCGCCAAACGAACGACCCGAGGGGACCACGACGACGAGGGCTCGCTCCGGCAATGTCTTATTCGTCTCCAGCATGGCGGCCGGCGCGAAGACTGCCATCCATGCCATGCCGTCGTCACCGCGCTGTCCTTTCGTTCGAACGAGCGAGGGAACGAACGGGCCTGCCGACGACCGAGCGACCATGTGTGTCTCGTGCGAGTCGTTGGGTCCGTCGATGCGTCCATGTGGTGGCGGCGGGGCCGCTGCTGTCTATTTGTCGGTCGCTTGCTCTTCCACGGCAGCAGACGGCGGTGTGTGTGTGTTTGCTCTGTCTGTGGTCGGTCGGTGCGTCCGTCCGTCCCTCCGTGCGTCTGAGCCGCTGCTGTTGTGGCGGCCAAAGAATTCCCGCCACTGGCTGCTGACGTCCGTCTGATGCGCAGTCCAGGCTCCGAGGCACGTTTACTCAATTGTCTGGCGTGCCCTTTCCAAAGCACCGTCAGACGACATCGAAGCGAAAGGATGAAGGGATGGATAAATGGATAGATGAACGAACAGCCTCCAAAGCACTGGGCTCGCCATCGAATCACTGCGCACTTCATTTAGCCGCTGCTTTGGATGCCTGCGATATGGATTTTACGACGTGTTTGCGAACTCCGGTGAATGCCGCGCTGAGCAGCCTGCGCCTTTGGCATCCGGGCGAACACGTGGTCGACTCGTCTCCGAGCGAGAGGGTGCGGCAGGTGCTGGGACGAATCTTCGGAGCCTTCGGCGCAAAGGGTTCTCGAACGTGGCGAGCAGATGTCAGGTCCGGCTTCGAGTCCCGTTGTTGACTCTCTCTCCGACGCGCTAGTACTAAAAATTCGAATCTTGAGGAGTTAGGTTGTCGGATCAGATTGAATCGATCCTGGGGAACGGAACTCTGCCACATGAGCTGAGTTCCGCGGCCAACGTCGGCATTCTCTGAGTTTTCTGCCCACATTCGAAACCTTTATCGATGTCCGGAATGAAAAAACTGCGAACTCTGGATCCATTCAGGAATTCTAGTTCCAAGTAACGATTCGATTGCTCAGTCTTGGAGTGGAATTGTTCAGTCAGACGCTGTGAAATGCCCTGAAGCTGAGCTGACTGTCTGGCTGCAGACATCATCCAACTAATCCTTGCCAATCTTGGCTGAGGAATGTGATAATTCCAAGAGATTTTGAGCTGCGTCCACTCGTACATTTTAACCTACATATATTCTTCCACGCCAGCGACAGCGATCAGCATGATATTCGGTTTGCAGCGATTGACTCCGTGGTTGTACCGGACCAACGGAAGGGTCGAGATTGCGTCACTGCACGTCATGGTTCCATAACTTTGGGAATAGTCCACCCTTCTGACCATCACGTGCACTCGACTGAAAAACGCTCATCATTGATCGTGGAATTCCGCCATCAGTTAAAAATGATTCGAATCAAAGTTTCGTCAACTGTCCATTGGATGGGAGATGATCTATGCAGGTTGAGTGAGATACCGGCACTGCGATTAATTTTTTTCATGGACTACACTCCAGCTTTATCCAATCATAAGACCCTTGGAGTCGGTCTGTCAAGGTGGCGGTCTATTCGTTCTCTCGCGACGATGTCAGTCGCCATGCGCCGCTGCATGAAGTCTTTCCGGGTGACGATCGGCATGAGACACCCTTTCCGATGCAATCCTTCTGTGTCCCCGCATCTGAAATCGGTCGGACACCCGCGCGACCATATCCTCAATGGATACTCTTCGAGCAAAGGGGCTGCAGACGTCTGGCCCTGCGCGGAATGTCTAACTCAGAAGTTCCTCTTTAGACCCTGTGTCGTCACCTCCAACCTCAAAGACTGGTGAACGTGTCTGGTCTACGTACTATTTTTAATCATCGCGGACGTTCCGGTAGTCTCGCGAAGAGGCGGCTCATGACGCACTGCTTTCGTCATCGGAATTCCCCGCCAGCCACACTATTCTCGGCTTCTGTGTAATTCGTTGGAACGATCCAAGATCTCTAAATCGCGAAATGCACGTCTCTGTGACGCTGATAGCCTGGCTTGTTCCGACCTAGACCGGTCTTGGCCAGCGACGAGAATTTTTCCGTCCTATGGGTTTCCACGGGCGACGAAGCGCGGTCTGTTGCAGTAGGATCTGCTCACTCGCAGGATGGCTGGAGGAATCCACCGAAATGACTGTCGACGGAAAACTTCACAAATGACTCTATGGCAAGATACACGGCGTAGAAGCAACGCCGCTCCATAGTTGTGGGGACCCGCTGGCCTTGGGCACTCGCTTCGGCCAAAATGCGACTTTCGTATCGACTTTCGCATACTGAGGACACTTTGATTGACGATTGGGAGATACCTCAGCTTCGAAACGATGCACCCATGAACACCTGATTTGAGCTGATCCAGATCACACAGTTTCTCCAAAAGACGACATGCCGATCGGTCGATGCCAATCTACCCGCCTCCGTTTCGTCTGGGCTCTCTCGCAGGGCTCCCAAGGAATTCTGTGCAATATTCTAATCGTCTCCCAATTTCCGTTCCAGGGAAATCCTCGCTGACGATCCGGTTCGTAGAAAACCAATTCGTAGATTCGTACGACCCCACCATCGAAAACAGTGAGTTGTTCGAGACAGAGCTATCTATGTAGAGTCTGCGATAATTTCGGTCGAGCTCTCTACAGTTGTGTTTCGAAGGTCGTCTGGTGACGACAGTAGCTGTTTCTCCAAGAGCATCCTCTGAGCCGAACGTGATTCGGAAGCGAGAAAAAAAAGGACTGAATTCGTTCCCCGGCGAATCATCGGGAGATTTCTCTATAATCGCTGGCAACGGTTCCGAGAATCTCTCCCTTTGTGATCTCGTACTGGACTCGTTCGTTCAAGCCAATCGACGATCGAGTTTTCAATAATCAGGCGTCGGGGAGGAGACTCGTCGGGGACTCGCAGACCCAGTCCCGATCGCATGACCGCGAATTCACAGCCACCGGAGAGTTTTGATATACGAGTCCATCGTCTAGATCTAGATGTCCTCCCATAATTTCGGGTTAGCGGTCTGTTCAAAAGTATCAAGGACAGGCGCACTCCATGATTCTCTCCATCATCTGACGTCGTCTCCCGAGACGACCCTGACATTGTTATGAATGATAGTCGCCCTCCTCTTCCTTGCGTGTCACATTGAAAGCTCGATAGGTAGCTCATTCATTGTCTATCTCCGATGATGACTCCATGATGTAATTTCCAGCATTCACGAAGACCTTCAGAACCGACGGCAAGGAAGTTTCATTGAAGATCATCGATACGGCCGGTCAGGTGGGTAATGGTTACATTCTGCTTTCCTGACAAGAATCTGTTTTCTTCCGAGAATGGCTCGCCACCTTCCTCCTCGGCTCTAGCTTTTGAATACTCACATCATTCATGCATCTATCCTGGTCGGGGGACAATCATTTCCTGAAGAATGGTGAAGCAAACATCGTTTCCGTATTCCAGGATGAATACTCTATTTTTCCTACCGGTTACACGATGGACATCAATGGGTATGTTCTTGTCTATTCGGTCACGTCAAGACAAAGTTTCGAGGTCGTGAAGAAAATCTATCAGAAGCTTCTGGACCAGACAGGAGTGAAGCAGCTTCCAGTGGTTCTAGTTGGAAACAAGAATGACCTTCGAAATGAGCGTGTAGTAAGTCCCGAGGAAGGGCGCGAACTCGCACGTTACATGAAGGTAGGCCACGCATCGGGTCGCGCCGAGCCTGTCGTTCGGATCGTAGCCCGGGATCTTTCCTGTATAATTTCAATCCAAACTCTGTGGCTGACTGAGATCTGAAAGCTAATACTAAATCTCTATTTAGGGTGTATTCTTGGAGGCATCAGCAAAGCAGAACGATTGTGTGTTGGACATCTTCACACAGCTCATAGGACGAATCAATGTTGTGAATGTTCAGAGCGACAGTTCAGACAAGGGGTCATCATGTGTTGTTTCTTAGCAAATTGAGAAAAGGTGAAAAAAATGGTAGGCGGGCGCTCTTGGAAATGAATCAAATTACGACGAGTACCGGAGGAACGGCTCGAACCAAATTCTGAGGTCGGTCGACGAAGATCGCGCGGGAAGCCCGGTCGTCCTGTTGAATTGACGTTATTACGACCGGCTGAGAACTGCGATGAGCTTCGTGCTGACAAGCGACCCTAATTCCCGAAGCAAAATATCGAAAGGAGAAGATTCTTTTCGCTTCATAATGCGTTACCGTACTCAACCATGCACACGAAGGTATGAAATTGCTCGAAGCAAAACTTACGAGTGGAAGCTCATCATCTGCCGAAGTTCGAGTCGGATGAATCGGCAGAAGAAGGTTGAAAACTCGAACAAAGCTCAAGTTAAACCCTATCCGGTATAAAGTATTGTAAATAAAAATCAAACGGAACAGAGAACCATCTGTTCGTCGATTCGTCCGGAGTCCCCAGAGCACGGTACAGTTTCGTGTCGGAATCTTCTTCTCAACAGATAAGAATCGAGACCGTATTCCTGTGTTTGATCAGGGTTACTGAACCGTTCCACCGAGCCGGAGCTGGGAAGCGGACGATAGGCGTTGGATATTTATGGATTAGAGAAATGAGTTTTGTAGTCAATTCGGAAAACCAAGAGATCGATTTCTAATGACGACTTCTAGCAAAGACTGCTACTGTAAGATCCGTCAGTCGAAAGTCATACGATACTGTTGGAGGGTTCTGCTCAGAACGGGAATGCCTACACTCGGAAGCTGTTTCAACTGGAAATGATCGCCTTGATCATGAAGGGAAGCAGACGAAGAAGACGAAAACTTCATCAAGTGAAACAAAGAATGTGCGCTGCGGGAGGCGCGCCGAGGTCTTTTTAAAGGACTCGGTATAGGAGATCTTTCACGGATCTTCAAGCGGAGGAAGGAGACACAGCTCTCCTTCTGAGTTGTTCTTCAGAGGACGACACACCCCAGTTCCTAATCAAAGGCCCTCCTTCTCTTTCTGACGATACTTTTGGATCCGAGTCCTCCCCACAGTCCCCGAGGGATACGATCCCCGGCACGACCGCGAGCAGGAAAACTTGATTTCAGATCTGTGTAGACAATTCTAGTTGGAAACTTTTCATCTGGTCCTCCCGGCAAGACGAATTCCGAGAACCTTTTGATCCACGCAAAAATGCCGAGAAATCTCCAGAAACTCCTTCCCGTACAGTTGGTAGCCAAAGCTCGCTTTTCCTCATTTCTACGGGATGGAATATCGAATCACCCCTTATCCTTAACAGTTCCGGCCCGGAAACCTTCTTTCTCTTGGGTCTTGAATTTTTCAAGACCTCTCTTTCCGGTGGCTGGCCTAGATCATTCTCCTATTGTACTGGTGGCCTGAGAAACATAATGACAATTTTAGCGAATCGGAGCATTGTTTAGGTTACAATTGAAAAGAACGCGCCAAACGAGCATAATCTGAAAGGTTATGGCGGAGGCAAACAATTATTAGGACTCCAACCTATCGGAGTCGTCGATGTTACCGTGGTGGCCTCGCCGGAGAGTTGGCGAGTCCGTCATCCGGGCGTCCCCCTGCATCAAGCCCATGCAGTTGCGCAACATCTGCCCATCGGCGACAACGACGACGATGATGATGAGAGAAAAAAGGATGAGAGATTGACTTGGTTTCATTCGTCGCTCGATCCCATTGCATAGAACGAGACAGAATCTTTTCAGTCGCGAACGACGATGACCACGACATTGTGATGAATTTCGCTAATGAACAGAAGTCTCGTCAACGCGTTGTATCGAACCCTCATGTACAGGGAACACGTTAATGAATGGAATCGTCAATCGCCGTGGCCGGCCGCATACCGCGGAAGGTATTTAAACAAAATGGATACGAGAGGCACAACGTGGTGTCGGCGTGAGTCACAATTACGCCGATACGAGAGGAAGGAAGGAAGCGAGTGAGGGAGAAAGGAAGAGGTTCGGAACAATGGTCGATCGTTCGATCTAGGAAAGAGTGAACAGCAACAAATTGGAGTTTCGATTCGAACCGATTTAGCAGAGTATATCAATTCGAGAAGATACGATACAATGTATATCAAAATGAAATAAACCCAATTCTGCATAACTTCTTGTTGTCCTCGACTCGAATCCCTTCCGTCGTGATTTCAATCTGATAGACAGGAGTTTAGCGTCTCCGAGCAACTTCCTTGGCGGTGTCTTATGGCGACAATTCATTTCTCAAAAAAGGACCAGTGTGAACTCTTTTTTTAATTTATTCTTTCCATCGCTTCGAAAAATAACCCGTTCCCCTCGGAGAACTCCCTCCTCTATAGCAGACCTCATCGCCTCCGTAGATAGCCCGCTGCCCCACATTAGTATACCGTAGCAAGTTCCCAGATCCTGTCGTTGACTCCGAATCTCTACATGAGAGTCTTGATGAATCTGTCACCGCTTATGATGCTCGTAGTCAAGACAACGAACTCGAGCGAGCAATCTCCCTGTTGCGATAGCCATCTGGAATCGAGATATATTTCAAATGTGAAAAATCAGTTTCTGGCTATGGATCGAAAAAGCCTTTCATCTGGCTCACTCGGGTTTGCGAAATGATCTTCGAACGAGCATTGAACCATTTTTAGACAATTAGAAACCGACCCAGCACCCGTAAAAGGGCACGACACGCCCGGCCTTTAAGGCGAGACGACCACAGACAGAGACGGAAAGGTCACTCACCTCAACGCAGTGATCTCGGCGAAGGTACAGCCTCCGATAAACACCACCAGGCATAGCTTTTTATCTTCTGATCCATGACCGGATTGTAATGACTCTCTCGAATTCCGTCGTTGAAGTTTCGTCGCAGCGGCATGCTGATAATCCTCAATCGTTGCCCCGGGAAGTACCTGGAAGAGCGTACCGCAGTCTAAATCCAAGAGGATCCATGTCTGATTCCGGCGCTCCGGGACTCGTATACGTAGATGAGTAGATCTCAGTCAGAGGCGTGATCGCTGCGCTATGTACATACCTCGAGGATATCCGTGATCGCCCGCCAACCCGGTGTTCCGTAGAACTGCAAGAGACGAACACTGAGAGGCGCGTACATCTGGTGCACGAAGGCCGGGTCTTGCGGCTCCATGTCGTTCACGTTATCAACGGTGAGCCTCAGAGTTTTCAGCATCATGGAATACCTGCAAGCGTGATGAGGATCTCATTTGATTTCGCCGCGAACTGGATTTTCTCTCTGGAGCGTATTCCTTAATCGGATCCCTCTCAAAGATTCTATGGTACCGAAATCTCTCACCCTTTTTGTGAAGTGACATAGGTTTTCAAGAGACCGCACTTCTCGAGGTTTTTGAGGAGTGTTAGAGTTTCGATTCCGTATTGATGGACCACCTGCGAGGGGAGTCTCGATATCAGAAGGCTTAGGCGGGACCGTCGCGGTAGCCCTGTTCACGGGTTCGCCAACTCGGGGCAGACTGCCCGAAGGGGAACTCCCCCTAAAAGACACGAACGGTTGCAATCGAAGTAATTTCAATATATATATATATAAGGAGAACCTACTTCACGCTTGTAATGCTCCATGAGTTTTGGTTTGAATCCGTTTGCGGTCAGAGAGTGCATGCAGATCAGACGGATCACCTGTAACGGCCAAATTTTCGGTGACCTCTCCCCGAAATCCCGCGACAACACTGTTCAATAATAATTGAACAAGGGAGTTTGAGCTCACCCTGAGTAGAGGCCTGCCTAATGCAATGCAGTTTTCAATGTGAGGATGAATTTGGTCGGGTCCATATTCCCCCCTCAGGAACTCCTGCTCGCAGTAGAGATCCTCTGTGAAATCTGGATTCGATATCCGCTGCTGCACCAATTCCGACAGGGTACAATCTGAAAACGATTCGCCTGTAAGTGAGCCCTAGTTCCGACAGGCTGTCACTCTCGTATATCATGAGCTGAGATCGCCGAAATTCAGTACGTTTCGTCAGACTGCGTTTCGTCTCCTGGATCTTCGGGAGGCGAGACACGAAATCTTTCATTGCTGATATCGTCTTCGCCTCGTGCCTCTCATCGTATTGTTTCGACAACTGCTTGGCCATCTGGTTCAAAACGGGTCCCACCTGCCGGCAAGGACGACAATCGTTACTGGAACAGCGCCCCGTGGAACCTCGTCAAGAGCTGCGTTAGTATCCTGCGAATCGAGATCGCCTCCTAGAGCGAGTCAAAACCGACCGTATTGAAGTTCCTGTCCCGAAGTGCAACGTATAGATCCTCGGAGGAGTTGAGTTGGAAGATGACAGTAGTCGGCTTCTTCTCCGAAGAATTGGGAGTCTTGACATGGAATTCTTCTGGTATGACCTCCGCGGGAAACTTTATGAAGCTGTCCTTGATCCCTGATCGAGCAAAAAATCTTGGTTATGTCGCGTCCGATATTCTTCATTGGCCGAGCTCGCGTGAATACTCCGGAGCGGAATCGTGGTCCATCAGTGTGAATTGGAACACTTCCGAGAACTCCATCGCAAGGACGTCATCAGGGTACACCGTGGAGCTTTCATTCTCTCAGTATCCTCGAATTATTATAATTCGGTTTCCCGACGCGGTGGAAAAGCAGTCTCTAATCGAATTGCTCGATCCGGCATACCTCGACTAGCCAGCAATCCCTCCACTTCGAACAAGTCCCCAGCACGCGAATATTGTCATACATTGTCGCAAAATGACAAGATTTTACGGATCGTGGGTCAAGTTCCCGCTCAATCAGTACGCAAATCATTCGAGGCAGATGTCGTCGATTCTACACTCTCCAGTGTGCTTATGTTGTACAATGCTGAATGGCTGAGGCCACTCTGCGATGAGAGGCGATTCGGTTTAGTGCCAATTGATCGGAGTGTCGGGCCTCCCATACGTCGCTGATACGATTTCGGACATCGAGTTCTTAGAGAGAATTGAAGGCGGTCTCGACCATCGGATTGATTGGGTGAGCGTACGGGCCGGCCAGCGGGATCAGCTTAAAGGCCTCCCTGTGACAAAGTGGGAGGACACAATGGGTAACTCCGCGCCGAGAGGGCCGCGGAGCAGCCGACAGCGATTTATCAGGAGAGAGGGTGAGGTTTCTCTTCCTTGTACCCATCACCGTCGTCGTCGGCATTTACTGCTGCTGCCGCCGCCGTTACCATCGCCGCAGCAGCTGTGTGAGGGTGTGTGTCTTCCTGCGAGAGTCACTCGACCAGAACAGGGAGAGTTTCACTACGAAGCGGTCTCGAGGAGGGAGTTTCGGCAGAGTGACTCCAGCGTGTGACACAGTTACCTCCGCTGGTCTCACTTGTTTAGTGGAACGCCTCATTCGGAGACCATGTCGCATCAGACGGGCATCGTTCCCAACGAAGCCTTGCTTAAGTTCATGGCCAAAGCCCGCGATTCGAAGTGTCGTGTTTTCAAAGTGGTCATTGACAGCGAGCAGCTCAGCCTCGCTGATAGCCTCAACATCCAGGGCGACTGGAAGAGCGACTTTTCAAAGTGAGTTCCGTCCGTGGGAGAATTCATCTTCCATCCGGGATGGCAGGGAAAACCCTCAATTCCAAGGAATGACTCCAAGTGGAACGTCCGAAGTCTGGGAGCTAGTCACGACTACTCCTCTCACAGTTATTGTATTCATGGGCCGATCAAGGAATTAGCTCGATCGGAGCCCGTGTTTCGAAAGTTCAGAATTATAATTTGGAGTTTGCTTGAGAGCCTGCTGGGCAGTCGTAGAGTGATTTGCCGGCGTGAGGTTGAGGTCTCTCGAGAATGCTCGTTACGCTCAACGCTCGTGCAGTCGAATGGCAGCCAGAAGCTATAGCTCGACATGAGTCGAGTGCGATGATATGAGCATTCACACGATGATGAATGTATACAATGTCGAGCAGATGGACCGACAACACGACCACCTTTGGTTCTGCACTACGGGACATCACATGACAGTCTTGATGTTTATAACAAGGGAACGTTCGGCTTTCAACACAGCAACTTTCTCCGTCCGCCAGTCGGGTCTCTCTCACTCTCTGTTTCACCGGACGAGTCATGCTAGCCACTCTCTGGAGTACTCGCGTCAAATATTGGGACGGATCGGCGGATCCCAGCTCCATGGTTCACCGATCCAGATGAGGTTCTCGTACGACTGGGCTGAGCGCGAGAGCTGATGCACGAGATGAAGATCGAGAGTAACTTCGGAAAGAATCTCCAGATGTGCCTCTCGTCCACAAAAATCGGCGAATAGCGCTCCCATTATTTCATTCGTGAGCTCGACGTGTCGCTCAACAGAAAACTCGATCATTCCCATCTCCCAATCCCGCTTGCATCGCGCTTTTTTGGAATGGGTAATTCGTGGCCATCAGCTGATCTTTGGGAGAAGTCATCGAAGAAAACGGAAGAAATGAGATGTGCGAATCTGACGCGGCACAGTCCCTCGCATTGTACCGGAGCGAGAAACTAACCTTTCTTTTCTGCTCTCTCGTGGCTTGTTGCAGATATGTGCCCCAGCTGACGGAAGAGAAGCAGCCATGCTTCCTGATTTTCCGTCTGGACTCTCGAGGAGAATGGCTTCTCATAAGTTACTCGCCCGATAATTCACCGGTGCGTCTGAAAATGCTCTACGCTTCAACGAAAGCCACAATGAAGAAGGCTTTCGTCACCGATTCGGAATACGTCGCCACATCGAAGGTTCCTATCTCATGTCAAGACGAATACCGATCCCGCATGTGCAGAAGTCGACATTCGCGAATTCTTTCTCGCTAGGTGCGTTTGATTAATTTCTTCCCCGCTCCCATCTTCCAGGAGGACGCGACCTTGGCCGGATACGAAGCACATTTAAAAGCGGAAAACGCTCCACCTCCGATGACCCATGCCGAAAGAGAGCTCGCCGAGGTATGAGCCATTAGTCTAATGACAACATTTCCGAATGTCATCGATCACTTCCCAAAAGCGGAAGCATGCTTCGAGTGGTAACGTCTATCGTTTCGTTGATCAGGTTAGGCTTCACGAAAGCTTTGCTTCGGTTGGCATCGACACGAAGCAGCAGACATTGAAGGGTCTGGAGCTGCCGATATCCGACGACGCCATCGATGGCTTCTTCTGTTTGAAGGAGGGCAAAATAAATTACTTGCAAATCGGCATCGATATCCAAAGCGAGCAGATCATCGTCCACGACCGGGCGTTTCTCGATTCCGCCGATGAGCTCAGCGGCCGAGTACCGCAAGGCGAACCACGCTATCATCTCTTCAACTTCAAGCACATTCACGACAATCAACGGGTGAGTCTGTGCAAATAGGAAATGAAGTCGACCGCGCGGCATGAGCTTATTCTCCGGCCAGGCCGTCACGTTCGACTCTCTGAGAAGTTCCATGTTCGTCACGCGAGGCATTCCACGGGGTTTCTCCCACCGCAGGTGATTTCCACGATCTTCATTTACACGATTCCTGCCGTCAAGTGCCCGATCAAAGTGAAGATGCTTTATTCCTCGTGTAAGGCGCCGCTCATCAACGACATCCAGAACAAGATCGAAATCCCTCTGGCGAGAAAGCTGGAGCTCGACGACCTCAAGGATCTCAACGAGGCTTTCCTTATGGATCAGCTATATCCAAAGTCTGGGTCGGGCAAGAACGTATTCGCGCGACCCGCTGGACCCACCGGACGACAGGGCGGCCGGCGGCTGGTTAAATAGGATAAGGCCGGCTGCTGTCATTGCTAGATGCGAGATATCTCCGGGGGACTTCTTCGAGAACAGATCACACAGAACGAATGAATAGGAGATACGTGAGTCCAGAACACGAGGTCTTCGAGAAGTCCTTCGGGTATGCAGGTGCTCCGAGAGCTTCCGGATTGTCGATATACAACGATTTCAAACTTGGAGGTTTTTGAATTCCTTCCCGATCGGAAGTGTTTCGCCCCATCCCGACGGACTAGTTCCCAATTTGAACAGCCGGATGCTAAGCCGCTTTGCGATACATATCTGCAATGTCCTTCCCATACGAGTCTTTTCTTCTTGAGCTTTTTTGAAGCAATAATATCTTCCTCCAGTGATAGCTGAGAGATTGAATTCGAGAAATTTCTCGGTATCAGATGGCCAATTTTTCGTCTGCACTTCCGTATACAATGTCCGTGGAAACGCTCCGTCCCGTATTCTACGTCCACCGTGGATTTCTATCCGTGAATTCCTGTCCGAGAAATTCACAACGTGTCGGGAAAACTGAGCGTAATCGTCTCACTATCCTTTCGAGTATCGACTAACCGCACTTCGAAGACAGCAGCACCCGTTTCCCTTTTCTCGGGAACTCTTCTCCCCGCATTCCTGGGGCCCAGCCTCGGGGGAGTCGGAGTTGAGATCTCGATTTAACACTCGCACCTAGGCCCCTATCACAGATCAGTGACGCAGCCTAATAACTAATTATAATAATACATTCACCAAAACCTTCCACATCGTCTGTCGAGGCTCTGAGCCGCTCGATAGGCAGAAAACTAGATGAACGGAAGAGTCGTAGTTCCGATGCCGGAACTTCCATAGGTCAATCGAACGTGATATTCGCAGCACCGTATAAAGCTCGCGGACTAACTCCACGCTTAAGAAAGACACGTCTGAAAGAACCTGCTCAGCGAAAACGCCCAACGAGAGAATCTGAGAGGCACACTCAAGGCAAAGTTACCTATTGTGAATCCTGGTGGGTATATTGCAAACTTCCTTCGTCACGGCAAATCGCATGCCAACCCTTGATATGAATGTTCAGAAGTGAGCGATTCTATTATAGTCTCTAGATCATTGATATGCTGCGGATTTCCGTCAGCATCGTGCTACTGTGTTTTTGGGTGTTTTTCGCCCCCTTGGATGATTCAACCTACTGTTTGATATTCCGAATTATGATTGGGGGAAATATATTGCGATCCTCTCGGAACTCCGATGCTTGTGACAGGAGACACGGGAAACACTTGACGATATGAAAGGATGTGTATCCGTATACCACCGAGAGAACGCGATAGAATGAGAGATTCTGAATAAATTTTAGTCGAGTTCGGGAAACATCCGCTCTTCCTCTCTCAGCTTCGACCTCAAGATGGCGCGCAGGGCACCAGGAGATTTTTTCAGCAAAGGTCTGTCCCGTGGGCGGTTGCGGTAGGAAATGGAGGCCTGTCAAAATGTCACTCACCGTACATTTCATCGAGGAGACCCTCATACGTGAGCTGGGTTGCCAGCGGCGAGAGGAGATCCACGGACCTATCCAACAAGAACAACGTGTCTATCTGGGCCACTTGAGGACTTTCTTTCCCGGACAGCTCTTTCCTGCAAGGGAACGCTTCAGGATCCGATCATTTTGTTCCCAGCGGGGCTCAGGGAGAACTTCCGACGTGAAGGCTCTCGCTTGGGGCCAGGTATCTCACCTTAGCCGAGCCATGAGCTCCAGAATACGTTGGGCCTGGACGCCTTTCCCACGTACGTACGGGATCACCCCGAAAAGAGACTGGAGCATGCTGAGTGCTCGGGCCACAGCTAGCAACTGGGATGTATCTCCATCGACGTAGCACTCCTGCACGGTTTCATGTTAATTCGATATGATTTGTGCCAGATAAGTGAATTGACAGAAGTCCCTCCCGAACCATTCGAACTCACCCGGAAAAGACCGTCCAGGTCCATCGACATGAGATCTGGATCCAAGGGGAAAACTTCGATGAGGAGCTGATGGATTTGGACCGAGCCGAAAACTCCGAGTTTCTCGAGTCTTTGTTGACAGGGGAACGAAGCCCTCGGTACGAAGAAAATGTGGAAATCCACGTTCTTAGTACTGGAAGTAGACAACAATCGTGAAACCTCTCCCGAAACGATCAAATTCCAAATGGAAGTTGATTGCACAATTTGGGGAGACGCAGTCAGAGGGGGCTCGCTGTCTTGCCCACAAACTGTGGCATAGAAGTGGAGGCGACGGTCCCACAATACATACTGTTTGATGCAATCTGCGACTACGTCCATGTACTTGCTCCGAGGTCGAAGAATGAAGATGACGTTCTGCGCCACGGTCGCTATTTCCATCCCCATCTTACACGATTGGATCATGTATACAACGCCACGTGCCTTTTGTACGACATAATTTTATTATATGTACCACATACCGACGCCGAACGGGAGGCATCCCCGGAAATTCCGAAACGACCGAGGTAAGTCGGGGCGGTGACTGAATCTATTTTTCCTGTATCTCATTGATCCCCGATACCTTCTCCAGAAGCCTCACCTTGAGGATGTGATATTCGATAACCGTCGCCACAGGACTGGTGAGTTCCTCGTCCCATATAAGGCACTTCGTTCCACCAACAGAATCGAGAAGGTTCAACATATCCCTGACATAACTTTCTCGGATCTGAGCCAGGTTTAGCCTCCCTGATGACAGATGACCTGTGGACACTGCGAGAGAAAAACGGATATTTGACCGGATACTCTTTGGGATATTCTCCGCGAATCTCCCCCCTCTTCCAGCGGACGAGCGTTCGGAGGATGAATTTGAGGCGACACTTCCCCTCGAGCGAAACCTCCGGAGGTTTTGAATTTTCCGGTCGCCCGATTCCATACTGCCCTGGGGACTCAGAAATGGCTTCGTTTGATTCGTCCGAAACAAGAGCGACTCGATGAAGTAAGGATTGCGCCTATGGCAAACGTTCAAAAGCTTCGCAAGCTGAGGCAGGATAGGGGACCCTTCCCTTCGCTAGGTGAACACTGTTTTCTTCCGGAATTTCCGGAACGCTCGAGGAATGTTGACCAGGCACATGGTCACGTGCATTCGCTATGAGATCGTAGTCGCTCGCGGCTGTAGAACACTCGATGTTGGATACGAGGGACACCATAGTGGGGCGCCGGCACCCGATAGGGAAAAAAACTTTGAGCCTTCTGGAGACCCCCAAAGTCCACGGGAAGCACATCAGACGCCTGATCTGATATCTGATCGAGATATCCGATAGCGAGGAGGAGCGTCCGAGGATACAAAGCGTTTACTGGAGTCGAGGGGCGTTTGAGTCGGCACCGATACCGAACAGTGAGATTTTGAAAGCGACTCACCCATTTTCCCAACAGCAGCGGCTCCTCGCCTGACTTTACTAGAGTCTTCAGCCCCTGAGGTTCAGGCTACAGAAGTCTCCTATGTATTTCACGGTATTCTCCGAGGAATTCGCAGAGAATAGAACACAGCGCTTTCCCTTCCAGCTGATCGCGTCGTCTGCTCGTTGAACAACAAAGAGCTGTCAGAGGCGCGCCGAATACTCCAGGAGTCCGTGCGGCGACTCCTCAAAATCGTCCTGATCCATATGCGTAATCGACCGTGTGTTTCCAGACGAATCTGAGCCGATTCCTGATACGAGTTCCGTTCAAGTCGTGACTCCCTGTCGTTCCGGAACGAACCGAATCCTCGCGTACAAGGCTTCCACGCTTGACGTCGGGATCTAGTTGACGTTGCACTCACCACTTGACAACTGGTCTCCTGTGCCGTCGCTCGAGCAACACACTCCTTACATTCACCATGGAGTCCGAAGAGCAGCATGTTCTTCCTCTCGCCAGAACTCGTTTCATTGGAGTATTCCGGAGCAAATCCGATGCCGCAGATGCGGTTTCGAGGGAACAGGCCGTCACGGAACAGGCCGAGATTTGTGAGCGACTTTTGAAAAGCGTGAAAAAAGAGGTAAAATTCCGTTTCGAATCCTATCGTTTCAATCGAACCCGACACGAGACGGAGGGCTTTTCTGCGATTTGACTTGATTCGCCGATGCGGTCCCGAGTTTGGAAGAGCCGCAACGACGTCGGTCCCTCGTTCAGGAATTCCTATCAACGCGTCCGAACAGGGCCGGAATTTCAAGGTTGAGCTCCTAGCCGTCCCCCCAATGAGCGACCTTCTGGTACGGAATCATCGAATTCGAATTGAGTGTCTGTCGATACGCCAGTCGGTATCTGCGTTCGAGTGGAGTCATGAATCATTCCCGAGAACATGACATATGTCGTTTTTCTATGCAAGGCTTACAGCCTCCGAGCACGCGAATACACTGGGGACACCACCTGTTTGGGAGCTCCGGACTGTCGACTGCAGCTGTGATGTGCAATCGTCAACAACAAACTCTGTGGATCGAATACGAGAACAAGCGTGAAATTGTTCCAGGTGAAACAAATCATGGAAGAGGCTGTGACGAGGAAGTTCGTGCATGAAGAGAGTAGCAGTATCACTTCACTTTGCGGTAAGTTGTTTCCGACGGTGACGATCAGTCGGCAAGGGGGCGAATCGAATACAAGCCAATCGCTTCAGAGAGCGTCCCGAGCAGTGCGGACGTGGATGCCGTAAAAGCTCGGTCGCCTTGATTGCGTGCAATCGAGTGACCTGGCTTCATCAAAGCTCAGCCAGTCGCCTGATTTCGGCAAAAGACCTGCAGTCGGGACAGAGAGTTTCGCTGCTTCGCGCAGCTTTCGGACTCGCTCCTTGGAGGAGGAATAAGGAGAAAAATAATGGAATATACTGGACCTGATCTCGGGAAGAGAGACGAGAGAACGCGCGGGAATAACTCGAGTGCACTCGTGCAGTTTGTTGAGCAAATATTTTCGTTTTGTTACAGCTGCTGTAGACGCGTGCCTTTCTCACGGTCTCCGCCGTCGGGCGTTGGGCTTGTTCAAAACCCATTCGACGACGGCTCTGCTCCAGAAAATCGCTAAAAGCTTCTCGCCAGCATACGAAGTAGTGCAAATTGTCGAACGCATCGAGCATATCCAAGACGGGAACAAGTGAGTTATCCCTCTCGCGGCAGCGTGTTTCTCTCTTCACTCCTACCCGCCTCTTGCCCCGGAGACGAGAAGGGCAGGGGGACACCCAGCCTACTTAGGACACCCAGCCGACAGGCTCTCGCTAGCCAGATGGCTCCGTAGGGCTTTCTTGACCTAGTTTTGTCAGGACACATCTGTTTTTCCCCGGCGGACATTCGAGACGAACGGCTCTGTTACGTACTCGAGTCAGTGGCTTCGATCAGATTTCACGAATGAGAGGAAAATCCCTTGTACCGGGCGCGAGAGGATATAGCTTTTCGTTTTATTCAAGTTATAATTGCTATTGTACACATGATGTATGGGTGTTGGGCTGTTCTTAATTTTGCGTCGTAGTTCAAGCTCTTAGAATGTTATAGACCCGGGGCATCATGACAAAACCAACGTAACCACACGTGAATGCGATGCAGATGGCGATGAAATTGAACAACTTTCTCTCCCAAGGTTCGAGCATGTAGATCGACGTCAGTAGTTCCCACTGCAGATAGAGCCACTTGAGTCGTCCCATGAGCGAATGGTCGAAGTACTCCGCCATCTGAAGGGAAGAGAGTAAAGCGAAATAAGATAAGGCAGATCCGTTTCCAAAACTTGCCTTGGACTTTCCATCTGCTTGGCAATCCCTACGCGTCGAGATCTCGCGACAGCGCACGAAGAAGATAATCTGGCTGAAACCTCGGATCTCCGAAACACTATCGCGGCGTCTGGGCTGGATTTCCGTGCACGTAGGGAATGGCGATGGGAGGCGGAGCCGTGGCATCCGGTAGCCGCAAAAGAACCACTACGGTATTCGCTTCGTAGGAGTAGTGTAGACCGGAGGCTGGATGTTTGTAAAGAATGTCGGAGAGTCGCTGGTTTAGAGTGCACGTAGCGATGCTGCGATAGACTTTGCAATCCGAGATGGAGCCGAGCAAACGGAATTTATTTCCCTCACAAAAGTCTCTGATTCAGCGTTTCGAGTCCCACACTACCGAGTCCCCTTCGAATATCTGGAGTGTCGTTGCCATCATTATTGCTGCTCGAACGATCGTTGAGTTATGAACGACTTCTCCGACAGTCACCTCAGCCGAACGGGTAAGAAGAGTTACTCCTCGGCTGACCGAGAAGAACAAAGAGAGCCGAGCGTAGGGATAGAATTTCGGTTTAGCTACATCGACCCGCGGGACGATTGGAAATTTCGTGAGGAGAAGTCTACTCTAACGATACGACAGGAGGAAGCAAGACGCTCGACAAGAGCGTCTGCTGGTTTCGTAGGATTGCGGTTAGACAGTATCCCTCGCGCAGAGATGGGAGTGTACACTCCTCGATTGACGGCGGGCATCTCGACAAGGTGTCTCGAGAAGAGCGTTTTCCGGACGTGGCATCTCGAGTGGATGAGATTTGAGACCTTATGGAGGGAGCTTGAGGCCCGCGACCTGTAGCCATCCGCGAGCTTCTCGTAAATAATGCAACGAGGACCGAGCTTCCGAGGGGAAACATTGATTCGGTCGCTATCGCTTGCCAGAGGACGATACGGGTGGAGTGAAACAGATCGCTTATGGGTTAGCCGACCAGAAGGCCTGGCCGTTCAACGGGCACGTTTCAGGGGGATCCAACTAGTAGGCGAGCATGAGACTCTTCAATCTCGAGCGTATCGCCCTCTCCTTATCGCGGACATAGATAGGCGGAGCTCAGAATGGCTCCAATGACAACCGAATGTGTCAGTGACATCTGCGAACGCGTGTGACTGTCCAAATGCGACGGGAAAACTCCCTTTGTTTGAGCTGGAGCAACAATGACTCCTGCACGGAATCATACGAAATCCCCGCACGCGAAAAGCCTCTTTTATTCGTCTCGGGCATCGCATCAAGGAGAGGCGGCAGGGAGCGAGGGGCGGGCGGAACCCTTGAATTGAATGATCTGGCCTAGCAAGACGTCGATAGGCAGAAAAGCAAATCGCCGAAGGGAATGAATCGCCTCAGCGTATGTCCGCCTTTTCCCTCCCACATGCTGTCGGGGAGCCGCGGCAGCTCGTTCAGCGGATCTGGGCCCTCGAGTGCGGAGCCTCGTCCTTGGAAACGAGCGTCCGGAACGAGTCGGTGTACGGAGCAGCGACGGACACCGAGTCCCGGAAAGATTTATCATCGAATTAGGATGTACTTCTATCCGAGGGAGAGGAGTGTCCCAACAGCAACAGCGACCGGATATTGCGAGGCGATTGCGAAAGTCTGTCTGATTCTTCTACCTCGATTCCACTCTAGACCGGAAGAGATATTCGCTCGTGGATGTTCGAGCTAGTTTCTCAACATTGAATCAGATGTCAAACGTCAGATAGAGTTCGCGGACGGAGTGTCTGGTACCGGTCAGCGCAGCAGCGGATTTTCATCTTCCGAAAACTCACCCTAATCGTAGAGCTCCGGGATTCAGGGGGAGCTCCTGGAGGCTCTAGACCGAGACACTGAAGTTATACGGAGTATTTGGATACCCTGGTGGATGTCAACGATATGTTTACCGAACGCACAGTCGAGCACCTAAAGGAACTGCGTAAACCACATGGGAGTGGACAGTGGCAGCCCCGCGGCTCCACGACCGGGAGGTCTTTAGGACAGGCTCTCAGCGAGGAGTTCCCCGAGAGACCCCTCACAGAAATAAGGATCGGAAGGATCCGCGATCGGAACGGATTGGCCGCTCTTCCCGGTATACCGATGAGATTGGGTGATGGTGAAGAAAAGAGGAAAAAGCAAGGATCTAGCTTCCGACTCATGACGTCCCGGCACAAGAGCGGGAAAATGATTTACTTCCAACGGACCGAGGGCCGGGCAAGAGGAGACCGTTCCAGTCGAATGGACTCCGACCTCGGGAGAGAATTGGTGGACCCGCGGCCTTATTATTAAATGTCGTGATGATGAGCAATCAGCCAAATGATGTCAAACTTTCCAGACGGTCGTCATCATCCGGAGATAGCACCACCGGGACCCCTCAGCGGAACGCCAGCATCGGCAAACGTCCCGCGGCGAGTATAAGGTCAGTGGGGCGTAGCGATCGGGAACGATGAGATTGAGAGCAAGACTCGGAGCTCCCTCTCATCGAAAGCTGGAACTTCATTCGAATTCGATTACACACCGATGTATCCGATCACTAATGATCAGTGATTCGTATCCCTTATGCAGATACTTGTGGATCCGCATTGCCTTGTTCGAAAAACATTTGACCAAAATTGTCGATTATCTCGTTGAGAATGCAAGGTACGTGGCGTCGTCTCGTCTGAGCTTTAGTATCCAAAGATAGGATTCTGCAGCTCGCTGCGGACACATCTTCGAGTTCGACTCATTAATTTCATGTGGGGATCTACGTATATGAGATCTTTTTCGCTTGGGAATCGACAGTAGATCCATTTAACTCATTGAAACGTGCTGTCCGTCCCCATGCAATGAATTCGTGTGCGCTCGCTCGTGCTTGACGAACCAAAACGATAGATTGCAAGAGAGCAGCTCCACTCTCACTGCACTCTCAGAATCTCAAAAGGTCTTCCGAATCTCAGATCCATGAGAGCCGGAGATGAGCGAAAATTGAAAGGGAAATCGCCGTTGCGGTTTTTTGATACTGGAACCGATTGGTTGCACCGATAACAAGCAATGATGTTACAGCAAATATTATGAGAAGGATGCTCTGGTTGCCGATCCCGTGTCAGGCCAAATTCTCGCCTCATTACTAGGTGAGTTCATGTGGAGTAATTAAACCGATGCTGAGGACACATTAATGTCTTTGGATGTAATCAAGCCGAATTAGTCGTATCACAACAACGCTCCAATTACACTACGCGTCGACGATGCATTAACGATCGAAGGCTCCGTCTTGTCTGTCCGACCGACAGCCCTCCGATCCGGCCTAGGCGTTCAACGAGAGCAGTAGTCAAGATGAAATTGGAATTCTTCGAAGGAGGACTCCAAAACTCTCTCTCCCCGTGGGAGAATGTTGGCTCGGAAATCTCTCCATCTAAATTATTCTTGATCTCCGAGCTAGGGGAGGCGAGAAAGGGAGAGAAATGGTTCGCCCATTGTTCCAATGATGATTGCTTGGAGTGAAATGCGACATTTGAGCTGCGAGGGTAGCGTAAGATCTACGCGCGGAAAACGCCATGAGTGATTCAGAGCTTGTATGTATTTGCCACGAGTCTGGAACCCAGTTGAATAATTGGAATAGGACGTGCTCCGAGTCGTGCGAAGGTCTGATCGCTTGGACGAAATAATTACGTCGGCGTGTTCCTGTTTGCGCGGTGAACCGCTCGAGGCCTCCATCCTTTCCATCTGCCACAAAAACATGCGTCGACGAATGCCTGAGACAGACGCTCGATGCATATCATCGGCTCGTTCACGAATGAATGTCGCGCAAGGTCGTCTCCCAATTGAGATCGGCCCGAATGAGGAGACTGTAGGCCCGCGTCGCAGGGTTAGAGCTCTCCCCGGGCTCATTTATCCCTTCTACTTTTCTCTTTCGGAGAATCGATTTTTCGATGTCCAATGTGGGGATCCCGAACTCTGGTCGTCGATTTCAAAAGAGGCTTCTCCATGCTCAACTCGGCGCTTCTATTCGGAAGCCTCTGACGAAATGAATTCCGCGACATTTCCGATTGAACATAAAATAAGATTATCTCCGGACGTCGGGAAGGATTCCAATCTCTTTCGTTGCAGTGGGTCCATGCGCTCTCGACTATACTAGGATGAAAACTCAGGATCACTTCTGGACGGATCCCCCGGCAGATGAACTTGTGCAGCGGCATAAACTTAGTAATCCCATGACGCCATCCCAAAAGACTTCGCACCCAACGCCTTCGACACCTCCCACGACGAGCAAACGACCCACGCTCAGCGTAAGTTTTCGATGACCTCTCACAAGAGCTCCGGGGTCAGGAGAGGCTAGCCAGAGTCTTCGGTCGTTCTCTCGAGCTCGCGAAATGCCCTGAACGGTTTCCCTCGGGAGCGGGGAGAGTGCTCTCTATCCGCTTCATAGGACCGAGCAATAGATTACGCGAGATACGAAGACCTCCCCACGACGTATTCAGCAGGGACAGAATTTCTTTCGACGAGATTCCCTGAAATTTGAATATCCGACATATGTTTCAGTATCGACGAGCCGCAGGGAGCAGTTCGGAGGACTCGGTGTCGCGCTACCATTCCGCGGGAAGTCTCGGGTCCTCTGTGGGTGTCAGTCAGGCCAGGGACTACGTGGAAAGTCTCCATCAAAATCCTCGCTCCACGCTCATCTATGGAAAGAACAATGTAACCGTGCACCCGGTGAGCGAATCCAGTTCGGAGTCTTTCGCCCCGACAAGCACGAGGAATGCGAATGGAGATGGAAATTTCCTTAACCGTCATTCCCTTTGCCATAGCACGACTGTCCGGAACCTCTCCGGGGATATCTGTCGCTTCATCATGAACCATCCGCCGCCGGACTGGTCTTGAAATGGACTCCAAACCAATTGATGAGCGGGAGCAATGACTCCACGACCTCGGTGACAAACCAGGCCGAAGGCACACCGCACTCGATTTATTGGGAGCATGCCATCAAGGTGAGTTTCGAAGTTTCGACGACGGATATCATTATGTTGAGAGGTAGGCGCTCAACAGCCTGCCCCGGGGCGAGCACAAAATGGGTTCGCGGCGTGCCTGCGAAATTCCCGTCGCCTCCATCGGAAATTCGAGAAGTGGCTGAAGACCCGACTCGCAGGCAGCTTACGATGAGTCCCCGCGGGAGTTATGGGGAAGGTGCTCCCGACGGAGGAATGACGAGCTCGAACTTTGTTGTTGCTCGCGGTGGAACGCGGGACTCGAACCTGAGAATGCGCCGAGACCCGGCAGCATGTCTTTGCCTCCTTTCCGATAGATCGTATGCGCTCCCGTCGAGAATAATTATTCCTTCAATGAGAAGCTTTTCGGAAGTGCGGGAATTCAGTGAGCACCGGATGACAGCGAGCTTTCAAATCCAGGTCAAGCTCTCAGAAGTCGTATATCTGCACTGCCATCAGAAGGCTGATCAAGGCGGAAGCCTCGTCCTCGTCGGCCAGGATGGAGTCCAGAGGTCACCAATAATTTTCCCCAACGGAGATTCTCATCTGATCCAGTTCTTGACATGCCTTGAAGGCGCTTTACTGCCGCACAGCCGACTAGACCCTCCACTCTGCATACCGGCCAGCCAAAGCGGTGAGAGCTCTCGGCTTGAATGACTCGTGCGAACTCCTGATTTCGGGAGCCGATTTCGAGTGGTTGAAGTCTCAATATGTCTCCCTGGTGATTTTCGCCATGGATCAGCGCAGAAGGGGACCTGAGTACGCATCTAGTAATCTCTCGTGCGCGTGTTTCCTCCAGGAGGATCCGTCCAACCAAAGCTGAAACGCCAAAGCATTTGTTCGAATCGAGACCAGGACCTCGTATTCAGAGTGATTCACGCAGGGCACAAATCATCGCTTGTAAGTTTCCGGGATTCCGCCGTACCCGGAACTCCCTCAGGTCGAGATATTCTGGACGTGCTGCCAGAGAATTCGGGATTCGGTTTCAACATCTCATCCCGGTCTCTGGATTTTTCTCCCACCTCTCATCAGATCACTCAACAAGCTAGCGGGAGCACTTCCGGCGAATCTGTAGAAGAGAGCGAGTCCGACAATCTGCTCAACGGGAAGAAGGTTTGAGGAACTTTTCGACTTTCCAATTTCTTCGAGGCAAAGCTCAATTCCGAGGTCGGAAAACGGGGCGTTGGAATCGGCGAACAAAGCGTAAATTCTTGTTCGTTTCTGCCCCCTGTGGCTCATTTCAGAAGTGCATTGAGCGCCCGGATACGAAGGATTTCTCTAAAAACGGAGGCGAAACGCTCGAGGCTTTGTGTTCCACCATGAGAAAGCAAATCCTCAGCAGAGCTTTCTATGGATGTGAGTCGTCGCGGATGGATACGGCAGTTTGTTCACTTCTCAGGACGAAACCATCGAGCCTCCAGAGTTTCATTAGATAGCCTGACATTCAGGGGAATATGAGATTTGCTCAAATTTTCCGCAGGGCTTGCTCACTGTCGGCACCTGCGCACAGTGCGAACCCACCTTTCTGGATTAGTTCATCACAATATCGTTCCGAGTACTGAGGAGAAATTGACACCTGAGCGATGGGATCAGCTGGTGAATAATGACGGCTCAATCCGAGATCCACAAGAAGTTTTCCGTCTCGTGTACTTCGGAGGCCTCGAACCCAATCTCCGGAAAAAAGTGAGTATTTGAAAGAGCTCCTCCGAAATTTGATTTGCGCGAAAACTTCCTTTCAGAGATTAAATCAAATGAGATTCCCCGTCGTCGCGATTCTCAGCCTGCTGCGAGAGTGGATCCTTAATTCGAGAACAAAGTCTATTTTCTGTGAGATTCTCGAATCTACCCCTCCCTAACTTCCCCGAAGAGCATCCCCCTCCGATTTCCGGCTCTTTCCTCGCATCATGGACTCTGACTTACGGCTGGACAATAATATTCGAACCGATTCACCGTAGGTTTGGCCTTACCTTCTGGGTCACTACAAGATGAGCTACACATATCAGCAGTGCAAGGAAAAAGATGATAAAACACACGACTCGTTCGAGTCTACGATGTCCGAATGGCTCGCTGCTGAAGCGATTGGTCAGTAGGGGGCCCACGTTGGTCTCGATTCAGATAGTACCTGTTTTGGTTGCCGACGAGATCCGATCGGTATCACATCATTGCTTGTCTTCGGGTTGATGTATTGCTTCGCAAGAATCCCCAATCGCGGGCTCGAGGTTCGGGATCCGAAGCAATATTCGAATTTCAGTTCGTCAACGAGACAAGGAGACCGCTGCAGCCCTGAGACTGTCTTCCGGAGGATCGACGACCCAATGTTCGGAAATATCGCTTGCGATCCAGATGAGGAGTGATAATAATGACGTATTCGACGACGAGACAGGTAAACGTAGATCCCGAGGTCGCTGCCGAGAAAATTTGAGCGCGCATTCAGCGGACTGAAACCATTCTCGGAACTAATATTCACAGGAACCGAAACTACCCTCGTAGATCAGCCCGCGGAAACCGTCGTAGTAAGCGGAGAGGTATATCGACTCCATTCTCTTTTGCCAGAGGAATTTGGCGGCTCTTAGACAGTGATGAACAAGCTCTCTAGCGGGAAGAAACTTTTTCTCCACAGAACAATACGAGCAAACTTTCCTATTCGGAGGAGGAATATTTTTGTCAAGAAGATATGCATCACCTTCCGAATTCGCTTTCTCACAATGAGCTAATGGTTGAAGCTCGGAGCGAATGCCCATCACCCGCCTCTTCTTCTGGAGCTGCGTTTACTGTGAGTTTCCGCGGGACTTGTCTCGATTCCGGATTCGGGAATCGCAAGCAGAGACATCATCGAGGTCAAGAGGACGAGGATTTGCTCTTGAATCCGAACGGCTGCAGAAGAGGGAAGGGTTCGGGCTCTGCGATTGATTCTAATGTGTTCTGTACGCTCCGATTGCAGTCCGACCTTCTCGATCTGTTCGGATTGAATATGCATCGAATCGATAAAGACGTGCGTCGTTGCGACCGGAATATCGATTACTTCGTCAGCAATGACAACCTCGATAAGCTGCGGAACGTCATGTGCACCTACGTCTGGGAGCATTTGGACGTAGGCTACGTTCAGGGAATGTGCGATCTAGCCGCACCTCTTCTCGTCATATTTGACGATGGTATGAGGACTCAAATCATTCTCGAAGTAGGCGCCCTTAGAAATTCGCAGATCCGCTGCCTCCATCCATGGAAATTCATGCGGATTAGACACGCTCCGCGAGACGCGGAGGACGGTTCCGCCCTATCTCCCCATTTGAGCGACTCCAAGAAAGAACATGGAGGGGTCGCGCAATTGATACCTGATTGTTTCGATATTTTTCCTCCAGAGGTCATGTGTTATTCGTGTTTCCGCGAACTCATGAAACGGATGGCTTCGAACTTCCCGCAGGGTAACGCCATGGATCAACACTTCGCCAACATGCGTTCTCTAATCCAAGTATGTCCATAGAGGGAGAGGAACTTTCCAGTTCTGAAACCGGGAACGGAGAGGGACTTGAGAAACTCGGCCGTGGAATTTCGAGCTCCGGGGCTTAGCAGCCGGCTTATCCCTCCCTCCGGCCTAACGGGAATTGATTAGATCGATCCCTGCTCGGGCCGGGAAACAGGGTGCTGAATGTCTAACTGATGGCGTCTTTGCTCAAGATTCTAGATGGCGAAATATTCGCTCTGATGCAAAAAAACGGAGATTACACGCATTTCTATTTTTGTTATCGCTGGTTCCTACTCGACTTCAAACGGGAGCTGGTCTACGATGACGTCTTCAAGGTCAGTGGGGAACAGGAAAATTCTACGACTTCATCATTACATGCTGAGTTGAGGAGAGATGACCCGATACCTAAGCTGCTCGATACTCAGGTGTGGGAGACGATCTGGGCCGCTCAACACGTCGCGAGCTCTTCGTTCGTCCTCTTCGTTGCCCTGGGAATGGTGAAATATTATCGCGAGATCATCATCGATAATCGGATGGATTTCACAGATATCATACGGTTTTTCAACGGTGAGTCCAGAACCTTGATCAGGTAGTTTGGGGAGGAACCAAATCTATATAGGTTTGGCTAACGGTCCGGAAAGAGCGGAAGTTCGGAGAGAATGATGCGAAAGCGAAATTGAGGGATGCAGAGCACGAGACATGCAGACCGCGTCTACGAGCCGCCGAACGACAGTGGGCTCCGTTCATGTCAGAGTCCCGCGCCCCGATTCCCGCTCCGGGGGTCTCCCAAAGAAATCCTGTGGAACGCGGCGTCTGGAATACTTGTTTCGAAAAATAATGACGCAGTGGATAGATCAATGGAAGAATCATCAAGTTTTATTCATTCTTGTTTTCGCGGTCGAAATGAGGATTTTTTTTCAACAATTTATGCTCCATCTGGGCGGAGTTTGCAATCTTTTTCTTGTGTTTGCTCTTGATTAAATCGGATCTCCTCACTTTGCATGACGAATATAAGGATTGAATTTCTGCATCTGTATTCGGGTGATTACGATCCCCGCGTGCCACTCTTTCCCATGCGATCACCTCAAATCGAGTTGATAGAAGTTTTCGGAGGGATAACATTCGAGGGTCTGCTTGATATATAATTCGGTGAGGATTCCATCCGGAGGACGACGTGAAAATCTCGGATGATTCGGCTGGAACCATTCTCTTTTTCCGCTGCCGTAGCCGGAAAGAAAAGAAATATTCTGGTCAGCAGAGAACAAGGGAATCCTGTGCTCTCAGCCAAGACGATCGGACTCGTTGGCGCGGACCGAACAAGAAATTTACGGATCGTCCGTAAATTAGGAGTCCGAATCGGAAAACAACATATTTTTCCTCGATCGACAATGGAATTGCGGCAGAGAGTTGGAAAGCTATCATTGTTTTTTTTGGCGCAACCCCTCTTCCGAAGGCTAAGGTCCGTCTGGAGATTTCCTTTGATATCGAATCTGTAAGCGTACACCAATCTCCAGATTTCGGGTTTATAATTTGAGGTGCCTCGGAGTTGCAAATCGACAAACAACGCAATTCGGCGTTCTCTCAGATTTTCGAGCCGGATCCTCCCGAATCTCGGATTTAATCAAATCGAGCATTCGCACTCAAATCATATTGATCGTTCTCATGGATTTTCCACGACTCGAGCCTACGGTGACCATTATCGATTTCCATGCGAGAAGAAGACTCTGCGATGCCTGAATTCCAATAGCACGCTTGTTCCTGAAGCGGGGCGCAAAGGCTGCCTCCGCAATGAGATCATTTGATGGGCATGGCGACTTCCTCACTCGCGGCGACAATCGATAAGGTTTCCGTCGATACCGTACACGTTGCTGTTCTATCATGTTCGACATATCATTCCTCGCCTAGTACATCGTCCAGCTCGGGAAAAGCTTTCTTGACTGACTAATTGTTACAGAGAAATGGCACCTATAGGTCGCGTTGTCGTCGCATAGACCGCTCTGTCATCGAGTGGCCCGGCGATGTCTATGTATGTTCTTGCACTACGGCCCCTGTGGGTTATACGTTTCAAACAGCGTATCCTGGCGTCGTTTCTCTTAGCGACTCCTCTCCGCAAGCGGGAGGGAGAATCGGGTTGGATGTGCGAGAGTATTAGGAGGGCCGTAAAGAATAGGTCGGTACAGGGATTCATATTTAAGAGATGCCGTGAAATTGTCGCGGGGAAATAGGGAAGATTCGGGACGCACTATCGACGCGTGTCGTTCGGTTGGAGAGACCTCATTGGAGAAATCGATTTCGAATTCCGGTGACAAAAACGACAACCGGTTTCTCGCGTCCAACGGACGGAAATATCATCATCGTTGCCACTGTCATGATTCATGATATATAATTATTTATTTACATTTTATGAGTAGGAGATGTCTCCAGGCTTCGGGATTCGCGTCTCAGATGAGGGTTAACGTCTCAGCCATTGAACGTTTCGACGTCTCCATTTCCTCTGAGCAAGAACCTTCGGTCAGCCGAAGGTGATTGATCATTAATACTGCACAAAATACACCGGAGCCCTCGAACCCGTCAGAGCCAAAAATCGGCTGAATGTGCTATTCGCATGTGTGAGTGTGTGTGTTCTCAAACAACATCAACAACATTAGAGAGCAATGCATGCCCAATATCGGCTTGCGTGTCCTTCTCGGGCTGGCTGTGGGGCTCGTTGGCTATCCGATCTCTGGATGAACGCGAAAAGAAATTTACAGACTCCGCCACGAATCCGATTCTCGAGCGATCGCCGAGAATCGGGGGCGACGTGTTTCCCTCTGTTCGCCATTGACAAACATTCCCGTCGAGGCTTCGGGTCGAAACTCTAAGTCTAATCACACGCTTAAGTCACATTCCCGGCTCCATAGATCATTATTCTCGAAATGGTACTCCACACCAAAAGAATTCCGATCAGTGAGTTTCTTCCCATCTACAATCGAGACAAGGGGCGTTTTCGGGAAGGGCCTTGGTCATCATCGTCGTCATCGTATAGATACTTCACACCAACAACAAAACGTTATTTCTCTCCCCATTTCAAGGGAGGAATGCCCCAATTAATGTAAGCTTCACCGCGGACCTTAGACGGTCCTTCTGGATCCGCTTGGGGTCATTTCACAAGGTTCCAGGGAACGAGGCTAGGGAATAGGAAGTTGGTGGTCATGTCGAGTGAAATTTCGCTCTGCTCACATCGTCGGAGCTATCTTTGGGCGAGACAAGGAAAAATGAAGCTCTGACGATCTCAATCCAGACAGCCACAGCATTCATCGACTCGAGCTGCTCGGGGAATTCCACGAATCGGTGTTGTTCTCTCAGGGAAATCTGTTCGAGAACAAGTGCAATGATTCGACATTTGATCATTATGAAGATTCTGATTGGAAAACCATGAACAGAATCAAGTGAAAGGATTACCACGGACGCTATTCGCCTTCCTGCGCGGCTCCTCAACCGACTCAAAATCGATTGAGTATGTCGAAAGGGAGAACGTCGAAAACAAAACAATCGTCTCTTCATTCAAATCAATCGGATCCGAGTGGAAAGCTTTGGCGTCCTTGTCGCCATTCGGATTCCTTTTTCGCAACTCCCAATCCGCGAGAACTTCCAATCGACTCCATCGCTTTCGCTCTAATTGCGTGTCATCGAATGCGGAATGAGCACTGTCAGGAGGAGAGCTTCCCGGTAGGGGAGCCACTTCAAAGGGGGAAAACGCTATCACCATCCCTTCACATATGCATTCGACAATAACATGATAAAACCAGAGGTCTCACGAAGCCAGGGCATTGCACTCCTTCACGTACGGGGGCGAAAATGAGGGGTTCCGTCTCGACTTGGCCATCGCAGATTATTTCGGGATTTTCCACTCATTGTCAGACATGAGATGAGAGTTGCGGATGAGGGTGCGCTCGCATTTTTCTTCTCCAATGCACACAGCTCATGCGCTGGGCAACCGTGTTCGCTCGTCTGTATGTCTGTCTATATGTATTCATGTATTTACGGCTCGATGAGTTCGAAAGTATGCTATCATTCAGACGTATGGATTCTCCAAGATGTATGGATGCGATTCGATGGTTTATAACATTGATGTTCGAACAATTGTCTCAGGAATTGAAGCAACTGATCGATCGATCGTTTTAGGTCCCGTGACCTTCCATGTAAACGTGCACAGAACGTTCGAAAATGTGTGTTCCCGGGTGTGTCTTAGTGTATCATCCATTTACGGTTTGCGAGCGAAAGTTGTTCGCTGGCTACAGTTATCGAATATTTCGAGCAATGAACGGTGTCCACTTGTAGCTCTGCGTTTCCATTCTCTTTTGGAGTGAACGTTTGCTTCACCGGCTTCGTGGACCACGAATCATAGTGTCGTTGTGCTCACCGGACTTCTCCCGCCTCTGTTGAAGTATTCTATGTCTGTGTGTTGGTCTGTATCTTATTCGTTTCGACTCCGCAAGGCTCCAATGAAATTCGCTCGACAACTATTCAGTCTACTCGCCTGAGGTCGTCATCATGATCATCAAGAGCGGAGCTCCTCTCCATTGTCGAACTTCTTCATTGTTTTCTGTCGAGCTTTCGCGTCCGCTATCATCATCATCATCATTAAGGTATAATTTTCAAGTCCATCTCCTTTGATTCTTCGCTAATGACGATCGATCCGACGTCATCATCATCATCATTATCGAAATAATCATCGCCATCGTAATCGATCACGATCTCACTAATCGTTCCGCTTCGTATCTTCGAACCGTCGGGGCTCCTGTTTTCCGATGTCACCTCAAAACTTACGCCGACTCACGCCCTGCACGTATGCGTTGTGTATTTTCGTCAAGAACTCGTCATCCGTGTCTAACAGATGCAGGAGCGCCGATTTGAGTTCGAAACGAGACAACGTCTGCGGCGGAGTTGAGGGTCCCTGGGAAAGGGACTCTTCCAGCATTTCCGGCGTAATTAGAGTCAACTTCTTCTCGAGTCCATTACTCTGTATAGGAGCCTTGAACGCCCGTAGGAGCGCTTCTTCCGTCGTTGGGCTATTTCGAGCCATTTCGGCTTCCCGTTGGACCTTCTGAGCCGATTCGTTGAGTTTGCTGAGAATAGACGCCATACAAGGATTCAGGGGTGTGAGAACCTCAACTTTAGTCTCCACCAAAGCCACACTCGGCGGCGGGCTTTCGAGAGAGGATCGTGTGAGGTCACCCAAAAGACGTTCCAGATCGCCGCCGCCTCCACCGTCCTGAGCTCCGCGAGGAGTTTTCGGGGTGGACGATTCCGGCACCGATTTATAGATTTGCTTCTGTGGCTGATTCGCCGCCGCCGCTGCCGTCGTCGATGACGAACCCTGTTGCTGGTGATGCTGCTGCTTTTTATTTTGCTGTTGGTGCGGACTCGCAGCGGATTTGAACAGCTGCTCCACCGAAGACGGGAGGGATTTCGTAGGCACTGGCTTGTGGACGACGGGTACTCCTGGCGTGGATTCACCTGTTGCCTTTCTATGGTGTCCATTCTCCTGTTGTCTGCCACCCTCGTTGTGGCTGTTGTTATTGTTCGGGGTCAGAGGTTGCTTCTTGGCCTTGCCGTTCTGATGCTGGTGATTCGTGTTACCGTTGTGGTGGTTACTGCTGCTGTTGTTGTTGCACTGGTTGCCACCAGCTCCGTTTACTTGTTGAGCGGATCCGCCCTCGGCTTTCTTTAGAAGACTCATTATGTTCGCACCGCTTTGAGCGTCACCCTTGGGCAGAGCGCTCGGAGGAAGCAGATTCTGAAGTATTGAAATACCCTGTCGCTGGTTCTTATCGGCTTGTTGTTGCGATCCACTCGTGCTCTCGTTCTTGCCACGCTTCTTGAGGTACGACACTAGCCGACAACAGAGATTGCCGATACGGGTGCATTCCTCTTCGACGTAGAACCAGGCCCCGAATATCTGACCGGCTGTCGTCTTGTAGATCAAGAACGGTGTCTTGATTTTGAACTCGATGTCGGCCCTGATTGGCTCTTTATAGTTCTTGGGGGAATTCCGGTTCAGTATAATCAAACCTCGCTGATGAGCGTTCCGATGTGCGTATACATACAGCGCGCCCTCGACCTGATGAAGAGAAGGATGAAGCTCTGTCAGAAGATGCCCGGATTCACGGGCGTCGGTGGAGAAATCCCTCCCGGGTTCGGAGATTCGCTCAATCAAGACTCGGCTATTCAACCTCAATCAAACTACTCACCTCAGTTTTTGCCCACTGTCCTGTTTGTGTCGAATACTGATATAGAGCTACCTGCGCGGCCGAGTCAACGATCTCGTTGATTTCTGGGTCGACTTGCTTGAGGGCGGACAAATTCATTTTCGATTCCTTTTCGCTGGGCATCTGGAAAGAGAAAGGACTCTTCAGCACTGACCCCCGAGTGAGTCGCGCGGGACGCATACGCCGTCTTAGGGTTGCGGATCTCGACAGTTCTCATCGATCTGCCGCGAAAAGCTACGTGTGCTTCACCGAGCCGTCTCTACCGCCGTGCGCGCCTTCCCTTGAATAGGATTTCGTTCTCGAATAGAGCGATAAGGCTCACGGCTGAGACTCTGAGCTCTCAGCTGTTTGGAACGTGGATTCCAGGTGAATCTAGATGAAATTCCCCGACATTATCGAACTTCGCATCAACTTCGGGATTCAGAACACCACTTCCCGCAATAGACGATCGCGAGGGACTTAATTTCCTCGAATGATCCCGTAACAGAGACCCCGCAAGCAATAGAGAGCGCGGACGGAGAGGCTCCAATGAACGGAAGCTGAATGCCAACTCACGGATATTTATCAAAACTGTTTGTGTGGGGAATGCGATCCCTGTACATCTCTCGGCTTCCTGCGGCTAGATCGCTCCAGCGCTGCCGGCACCGATACGACTCCCACGCTCAGAGTCCGCGAAATGGTTGTTTTTCAAAACAGAGCCTGGATAAGCTAATATCGGATGGACCTATTATTACTATCCCTAGACCGATTTCCAAGAGGATTAGGGAACGAGCATCCCCCGTCTCCCATTATCAGATCCTTGTTCGCATCACCGTGCCGATAACGTGTTGGTGGAATTTGCGCGTTTCCTCGCTGCTTACAGGATCTTCTCATAACTTGGAAAACATTTCGACTGAATTCAGCAATGAGTCACTGCCTCATCAAACAGACCCGATCATGTGTGACGGTCTCCTACTGCTTATTGAGTAAAAGGAATCCAGCCACTACTTCGGGATGATGGAAGCTTCAAACGAGCTATTGGTTTAAGGTTGCTGAACCATGTCATTGCACTCGCTAGCCATTATTATCGAGAGAATGTTTGGCCGAAGTTTAGCTCTTCTCTCAGCACCATGAACACGACGTCAGTTGCAGCTGGACTCATTCAAACGGATTGGATCTCTCGATGCGAAACCCCTTCCCTCGGATATCGATGAGAGCAGGAATCTTTCGTCCCCTCTCGGCTCAATAGAGTCTCACGCAGATCACACTGTCCGAATTAAGTGAATCGATGCTTCCCGCTCAAAAGCTAACGTTGATCATGAAAGGACACGTACGTACCTTTGTCTTCTCGTGAGACGAGTTCCGAATACAGAAAGAAACGCTGAACAAAGTTTGACGAAGGGGTTCTGACTGAATAGCGAGTTTGGAATCGCAATGAAAATCAACAGAACTTGAGAAGAGTTGAGGTGGTCGATTGCAAGGTTGGTTTTGCTCGGCTGCCTGCTTGAGTAGATGCTGCTGACTGGTCCAAATCACCGACTTGGAGATAAGTTTCAAGACTCCCACAGAGCGCGAGTTTCCCAATTACGGATTCAACTGGTTAGATTCCGTCGCTGCAATGCTATATAGATTTGTGCAGTCTCCTGCAGACCTAGCACCACAACATCAACAGCCTTCACTGCTTCTCGCACAATATACAAATAGCACTAACATTCAATGACGCCATCTTGGAAAGGCGCTCGCTCAGCTGGACGTGGGTAGCGGCGGCGCTGCTGGCAGCCAATCGCTACCGCAGCGCCACAGCCGCTCGCTGCGAATCGCGACACCCCGTTTCGCGCGGGAGTCCTGGTCGCATCGGGAGCCCTGTACGTAAGGTCTGAGAACCTTATGTTGCCGTCTACTACAGCGACAAAGTCCACCGGATGGAAGCTTGGTAGTCGAGCGATTCGATGGAGCTGATCAGGAGAACTCTCCGAGGAGCCCCCATTCGAGGAGCCCCAGCCGTGACGACCCTAGAGTTAGGGCGTCGGGCCTTTCTCCGGGAAAGGATCTTCAGACAAGAAAACCGATCTCGGAGCTGAGAGAGCCCCTCCGTGAATACAAGAGGATGGCAGCAAGGGTCATCAGAAGAGGTGGATTCACGTCAAGGCTGAATGAATTCGAGAGCCATTTTCGGAAACAACGTCGACCTCCAAAGAATCTCTCAGAACGCTCCGCTGGGATACTGCGCTCTCTGACAGCATCGAAATTTCTTCCCCATCGGCCCGGACTCAAGCAAGCGACCAAACTGTGTTCAACCGGATATTTCCCAGAGCAGGTCGCCCTCGACGGTTCGCCTAAATGTACCCGAGTCGACCGAGAAGGAGTCCCGAATAGATTCCCGGCAGCCGCATGCGATCAGGAGGGGTCGATGAGGGAACGTGGAGCTTGATGCCAAATGGAAACGAAAACAAACGGCAATCCTGAATGACGGGCTACCGGAAAACCCTCCGCGGAGACCTTGAGGGTCGACCTCATTGGGACCACGAAGGACATGCTCTCTATTCGCTTATTGGAGCGGCCTGCTCCCGCTCGATCCGCATCTCCGCGAGTGTGCCCAATAATTAAAACCCGAGATTGCGAGTCGTTCCGGGATATGCGGCGTATCACCGACCTGAGAAGGAATAGCGTACCTCGATACTTGACGTGTCGGGCGATTCATCGGCTGAGTCAGATTCTCCCGTGGTATCGGAGACTCGTCTGTTAAATCTGAAGGCAGAGGAATTTGAAGTATGGTTCGGCCATTCTGGAAAGCGGAGCTCATCTTCGGGATCTTCAGCCGAGTCCGAATTGGTGATGTTCTCGTAGGCGTCGCATTCGGATAGATTGCACTCGCTTCCTCTGCAGCATTCCGCGTCATCGCATTCAGGACAGGTACTACATTGGGTGGAGCATACGGATGAACTTAGCGAATCGCTGCCACAAATTTCGTCGCGAGTGTCTTCGTCCTCAACTGTCGGTCGATCCTCAATGTGGTCTGGTGAGTTTCGGCGAACAACGCGCTTCTCCTCGCCGGATTCCTCAGTGTTCGTTGAGTCGTCTTCGAAATCACCGAAGTTCCCGTCCTCCCCGGCGTATTTCAGGTCCTCGCCTTGAGACGAGGCGTCAGTGGTGCCGTTTCCTTCGGCATCGTCCGGACTCTCTATAGACTCATCTTCTCTCGGAGGTTCCACATCGCTATAGGGCGACGGGATAGGACTCTCGCGGCGTATCGCGGCCAGACCGCTCGGCGCGATGAAGTGATTCACATGGAGAATTCTTTCAACTCGTGCGCTCTCGCTCAGAGCCATTCGCTCTAGCTTTGCGATTACGCTCGAGTCGTTCATACTGGACCGAATCTGTGGAAGGAAGCGATAAGATGGGAGCTCGAACGAAGTATGGGGACCAGCATTGGATGTTGGCTTTGGTAAACTTTCACTTACGCCTTCAGTCGAGTCCGTTCTGGTCGTAGAGCTCCCCGAGTCGGAATCTGTCTGCTTTTCCCCAGAGGAAATGCTCTCAGCTTCCGTCGCCCTTAGCATTCTAACCCGGAGGAGGCGTGACCGCAGCGCACGGCACGCGTCCGGCAAGGTGGAACGCTCATGCGGAAGGATTTTCAGGGTCGGCTTGGTCGATTTTCTCAGGCTTGGCGTATATTTGATGCACCATTGACAGGGACACCCATTTTGGTTACTCCTTAGGCTAGAGTGGCTAGATCTCTGTGGGATTTTTCATCACGGTCAATCGATGATTCGATGTGGTTCCGTATATTCCTCTAGGGAGCGAACCCCATCGGGAGTACTCACATTCGACATTTTGCAGAGAGATGAGTTATCGTCGACTCTGTCGTTGAACGGATTGATTTGTTTTGACAGTTCTCGGTCAGCGTCGATCAGTCTGTCCAGATTTCTTTGTGTTCGAACATCGGCTCATCTACGTGCAATGTTGCCTTCAGAGGAATGTGGATGATTCACGGAATCGACTAAGCTTGTCGAGATTCCCTCGCGATCTCAGATTTCCATGCCGGGTGGGCGGACTTAAATATTTGTTCTTGCGAGTCGTCGACAGTCGACATGAGCGGGCCACGGGTATTATCGCCGGACGATTCAGGATTCGTTTGAAAAAACTCCGACCGGATCTTGTTTACCACATGCGAATGGATACTCGAGTGGGAAATTGCAGACAACAGTTTGGAGTTTGGATCCGAGCTTGAATATTCAGGTGGAGACTCGAACGTCAATTTATCAGCACCTCCTTCCTTGACTGCTGTAACGACCCGAATGCCAATCGGGAGCCCCCATGCACAGCTCGCGAGAGTTTCTCTGGGATAGGGTTCGAACTCTTTGGAGCCTCCATGGTGGAGAGGAGGATGAGATTTTCCCAGAGAGCAATTTATAAGTCTATTCTCTTCCTTTCAGAAATGGCTGAGCGCCACGATGTCGATGCGGTTCTCTGCACGGCGCGACGTCTCGTGCTTGAAATTCAGAGCCTCATTGACACCTCGAAGTGAGTCGTCCTCGGACGGGAGCATTTCGAGCCCCACGTCCCGGGAGAGCATGACAGTTTTGTACTCAATCTTGGCCCACGGAAGGACTTCGGAGAGATAGGTCCATCGCAAATGTCGAAGTCACCAACCGAGGAGCTCGGACGCTTCTTCCATCGACAGGGGTGAACCGATCGTGGTCGGTGGTGCATCTGGAAACAGAATGGAGAAATCTTCGAGCCATTCCGGGGTCGTCAAACTCTCTATTGTGGCCGAGCTTAGGCTCTGGATAGCTTTGACAGGAGGATAAGTTTCGCGGAAATCGGACTACACCCGTTTTCCTTAGCGGGACTCTCGGAAATCTCACACGAGTTCAGGCACAGAGGTCGGGAGTTATCCGTGAAGATTTGACTCCTTGACTCCGTTTACGACTCATTCCTGGGGGTTTTCACACAAAAGATATGGCCCTGTCCCCTCGTGGATCAATCCTTTATTCAACACGGCGAAACGATTGGGAAATGCATCGATTTTAAAGAGTGCCAAGATCAGGGAAGCCCCTGTAAGAGAATTGGGATCGGGCATCGGGCCCCTTTGCTAGCTTCATGATCTCCGAGATCGTTTGTCGACGGATGTTCCATTTCGATGCATTGCTGGGGATCTCATAGGGCGATCTTGTATTCGTGACAAAGTCTCTTCTGGGCACTCCAATTCCTCGATCATTGTTGTAGATTATTAGGGATCCTACGGCACCTCCATATGGTCTCATTTCTCGGTCCGTACCAGTTCTGGGGTTCTAGAACGACGGTGCTGTTGAGCGAGAACGAAACGTTGAGAAGTCCCGGAGATCACGCTCCCCGAACGCCGGGGCTCCGTGCGGTCAGTCGAGGTCTTCGATACTGACTCTTCAAGGGTAGGCAGAACAATTTGATGATCGGATGCAGGATGCAGCAGGTGATCTCCGAATGCAGCTACTAATTTTCCTCCCTTCTGACTATTCCAAAGTCCAACGCCTGCGCTAAAGATTCTTGCTGCAGGCATACAGTTTTCAAACTGGTGGGGAAAAGTCCCACGATTCCTTGTTGTCGACTCCTCTGTGAGGTTACGATCCCGGGATTTTCCGATCGACCCCGTCCAGGATTGGAACTCCATCGGCATACCTCGCATTCGGAGATTACCTGTGTCGACAGCACTAAAATCCGGTATCGAGACGTGCATGGCGTGCTGTCCGAGATGATTGTGATCAAAAACGAGTCACCGAACACAGAGCTTGATTCCCTGTATAATCATCTATCCTGAGATTGAAGGCATACATATAAGGATATATTGGGAGAATATGGCCAGCTATTCCGTCCGGCGGATTGGAATGCAGAGACGCATCACGGGTGTCTCGGCGGAGAATCTTTTTACTGCTAAGGAAACCCTTCAGAACCTCGGGATCTATCGGAAGGGAGAATATTCACGCTCGCTCCGCTCGGTGTTTTCTATCGATGCCGACGATGACGTGTATCACGATGATCTCCTGAATAGACACAAGAAGGCTTCAGAGAGAAGTCCCCATCGGTCGAACTATCGATGTGCAGTCACGTGCAGGCTTCTGCATCTGAGGGGCAGACATGCTCGAGGGGAGGGAGTCAGGATTGGGGGGCGTCGAATGGGAATTTCCTCTCGTGCAGACCCAGAGATCCATCCCGTAGCTCCAGTGATGCGAGACTCTGTTCCTCGAGACCTTGCTCTCGCGGAAAAACGAGGATCCTCTCCGATTTAGGAGTACATTTTCTTTGTGGGTCGCATCTAGATCTTTGAAGCTTGCTGGCGGTCCAAGCCGGTCTTCTAGTCCTCTCGGAGACGGTTGAGGCCCCGATTCCGCTTGTATCTGCTGTATGAAAAAGTGCAAGAGAAGTTATTGTTGTTATCCTTCACGAAGTCAGGATCGAATCGAGAGCATGAGAGTAACAGATATAAACCGCGGGCCATCAATTTACCCTGAAGCGACGAGCAGGTCTCATTCTTTTCGCATGTTGGCCGGGTAGTTTCCAAGGACTCACAATTAGTTTCAGATGACCGGTAGATGTAATGTTGAATAGCCTCCAGGAAACTCGGACCGACGGTCAAGGATGCAAACCCAAGAGAGAACAGGCATCTTATTTGCGAAGATCTGGTTCTCCCTGTGCTGTAGATCATCCTTCTCGTCTGTCGTTCCGTATCCGTGTTCGGATTGGAAACCATGAGTAGGTACTTGAAAAATTCAGCATTCGTCGGGAATCGTGTTCTTAGTCACGTACTCGAATGTTCGGGGATTCTCCGCATCTTCTCGGGAATCATCTGCCTCTACCGCATGTCATATCATGTCGGGACACGAACCCGGCTCGATGCCTGATACGAAACGAACCTTATGATGATCAGCCTCGGTCGCTCGGATACAGCACCAGCGTTCTTACCTCTAAACTATGAAAAGGGTCTGGCGAATCGATACATCCCTCTTGACGATTTCTCTGAGTTTCACAGACCATCGCAAATTTCTGAATGAGGAGTGATTCTGCCCGAAAACCATAAGCGCTTTCAGGAGTTTCATTCGAGTAGAATTATGATCTAAACTGGTCCAGCTGGTGAGAGAAGGAAGCCATCGAACGGAGCGAATCAGCGACGTCGTCGCGGGGGAGAGTGCCCGATTGATCGGATCCGTATAGCCGGAAAAAGAAGAGGGACAGCCCGGTATACTTTGACCGCAATCATATTTTTCCGCGAGGTACCGCACCCAGATGCCATCGCGGAGCGATCCGTGCATGGTGTCAGTTCGGACCTTGACTCGGATCTCCTCGGTTTCCCGACTACTCGTGATCTCGCTGTTCTCTCAGGTTTTGCTCAGCCGGATGCTCGATTTCCCGGCTCGAGCATAAGGGCTCATGGGGGGATATATTCGTTGTAGCTCACTCTCGATTTATTGAGCAGAAATGTACTCTGCGGCAGTGGCGGATCCAGGGGGGGGCCAAGGGGGCCATGGCCCCCCCGAGAGCCTAAGGTATACATACTATATCGGTTGAGAATGGTCTCAATTGACGACCAATTCCGGCAGTCTGCCCCGGAAAGCTTCATATATCCTTTGAATCGATAACTTTCGCGTCCGAGAAGAGCCCCGCAGACTCACACCTATGTGCAACGACGACATCTAAAATTGTGTTTACGTTCAAGACACGCACCTCGCGTTATCTGCGGTCCAAAGCGAAATCAGTGTTCGAATTCATCGTGATGAAAGATGAAGAGACAAGAAAAGCTCACAAATTTCTTCTCCACGGAACCGGGAACTGTGGCCGAGGGAGACCTACAGACGTCCTCGACTCAACAAGACGGAGCGGAATCTCCGCCTATAATTGAAACCTTGGACGAGTGCGATTCGAATGCGTCTCCGGCCGTGAAGAAGCCGCGGTTGGCATTCGATCCCATGGATATTGGCCGCTTCGTTCGGAAGAGTTCCTCTCTACATGCTCCTTTGACGGAGGAGGATCGGTTCAAAGCGCTGACAGATTGCTGGAAACCCGATGAGCACTATCAGTTCCCGAAAGTTCTGGAGTCGACTCGCACTCGTGCTTTCCAGCATCATTATCTCGTGAAATGGCCGTGGTTAGCCTATAGCGAAATGCATGGCGGAGGGGCTTTCTGCAAATACTGCGTCCTGTTTGCGAGAGAAACGTCGGATCAGAGAGGGCCCAACTTCCTCGGTGTTCTGGTCGCGAAACCTCTCAACAAGTATAAGAAGGCCTTGGATATTCTGAAGAACCATGAGCGTTGCCAATATCATTGCGAGGCTAAAGGAAAAGCTGAGAAATTCCTCGATTGGTACAACGATAAGGTCGGCCACGACCTCAGGAACCGATTGTTAGCCGCACGAGAAGAGCAGGTGAAGAAGAATCGACAAGGATTGGTATCTATAATCAGAACGATTCTTCTCTGCGGGAAGCAAAATATACCACTTCGAGGTCACAGAGATGATGGGTCTCTTAGCGCCGTCGACGGAAATAATAATGACGGCAACTTCAGAGCTCTGTTGCGGTATCGACTCGATGCCGGGGATCGGCTTCTGGAAGAACACCTCAACAGCGCCAAGAAGAACGCGACATACGTTAGTCATACGTTCCAAAACGAGATCATCTCAACGATTGGGAAGATCATACGACGGAGAATTGTCGCCGAGGTCAAGGTCGCCAAGTTCTTCGCCGTGCTAGCTGACGAATCGAGGGACGTGGGGAAGACCGATCAACTGACCGTGTGTCTTCGTTATGTTGGCGGCGAAGATAATCAGCACGTTGTCAAAGAAGTCTTCCTCAAATTTTCTGATGTGGAAGAGAAGACAGGGTCTGGGTTGGCCCGCAGCATACTCGGTGTTCTTCAAGAAGAAGGACTAGACATCCGGAACCTCAGAGGTCAGGGTTATGATGGCTGTAGTGCGATGAGAGGGTCAAACAAGGGTGCGCAAGCCGAGATAAAAGCCGTCGTTCCTCAAGCGCTCTACTTCCATTGTGCGTCTCATTGTTTGAATTTGGCTTTGGTGCACTCCAGCGAGCTCGCCGCGATCCGATTGGTAGCTGGCTCAGTGGCGAATGTATGTGCATTCTTTTCGAACTCTTCAAAACGAACGAGAATTCTACAAGATCAGATCGAACGCTCGAACTCATCGAATTCCAGAAAAAAGAGACTCAAAACATTGTGTATGACGCGTTGGGTGGAGAGCCACCAGGCTTTCATAGCTTTCAAGGAGCTTCTTATACCGATCGTGCAGTCGTTGCTGGAGCTGGAGCAAGAAGTTGGTGAAACCGGAGCTCGCTCCTACGAACTTCTGAGCGCGATTTGTAAATGCCAGTTCGTGACGTCTTTATTCATCATCGAGAGTTTCTCATCTCTTTTTTTGCCCTTGTCCGTGAAACTTCAAGCGAAGGAGCTTGATATTTTCGCGGCACTTGACTTAGTGGACAACGTACTCCTTGTCTTGAGGCGGAGGCGAGAAGCTGCGATCGATGGATTCCAACAAATTTTGGCAGAGGTTACAGAGGTTTGCGACTCCCTCGAAATTGATATCAGAATGCCACGCATATGTGAAAGACAGCTCAACAGGGAGAATCATCCCGCAGATTCAAGTGAAGAGTATTTTCGAGTGACGAGTTACATTCCGTACCTCGACAGCTTGATCGATGGGTTTATCTCACTGTTCGCGGATGCGAGACAGGGCGCCCTGAAGGTCCAGTGTTTGATACCCAAATTTGCAGTGAGAAGCTCTGTCACGGATCTGCATCCAGCGATCGAGTTTTACGAGTCCGATCTAAGCTGTAGTGTTAACGTCGCAAAAGCCGAATTCGAAAGGTGGCGCGCGAAGTGGATGGAAGTCCCGCAAAACGGAGTGCCTGCAAGCGCCATAGATGCACTGAATCACTGCCCCGCAGCTGATTTTCCCAAAATCAATATCCTCTTGAGAATACTCGCTACATACCCAGTAACCACCGCTTCCGCAGAACGTACTTTCAGCAGTCTTAGATTGCTGAAGACGTATTTGAGATCTGTGATGGGCGAGGCTCGCCTGAATGGATTAGCCTCGATGAGCATCCTACGGGGCATCGACGTCGATCCCGAGGAGGTCATCGACTCCTTAGCTTCGAATGCGAGGAAGCTAGATTTTGTCTTGTAGCTGAATCGAGCGAAGCTTTGTGCTCGCTTTTTATCACCTGATCGTTGTGCCATATAAGTTAAACTTCATTTCACGTGATTGTAATGCGTGAATCCAGCTTGACTGGATGAATCTAGTTCTAGGGCTGAGTGAAACTTGAACAGTCGAGCCATATGACCGAATAAATGTGCTGCTCGGGAAGCAGTTCATAATATAAACTCCTAAAGTTATATTAAGCTATTAAAGTTTAAATAATATGCTCCCAACTCATCCATCCACGACCAGACGGGGCTTTGGCCCCCCCCGAGAGAAAATCCTGGATCCGCCCCTGCTCTGCGGCTAAGCAAGGAACAGACCGACCGCCCGCGCGCCCGTCGGCCGGCCGAGGACGGTGGCGCCGCTGATTCAGCAGCCGGTGCCGCCATCTTGCTCAGCGGTCAAATGACGCAGACATCGCTCCAACAACAACCGATATGAGCGGCTCCAACTCTGCAAAGCGGCATAGAGCATTCCTCCAGACTCTAGACAAAGCCGGTGCCGAATAGTGATTGTCAAGTCCGCCGAGCAGCCCAGAACTTCTGAAGCCGAGTATACATTCCACGTGTCGGCCATGTCCGTCGCGTATACCCCCTCGACTACGAAGTCGCCCCCCTCAACCAGTCCAGGACCGCAAAACAACTCTGCGAACCAGAGAGGTCCCCCGAACGCTGCTCAAATCCAGAGGGTGAGTCTCTGCCGGTTCAACAGCATTCGCGATGTCGCTATTGTTTTGCTCAGAAAGATCGCTCCCGGAAGACGGCGGGATGTCTCCGAGGGAATCCGGTGCTTCATCGACTTCATTCGCCTAGGCTCCGACTCGAGGTGATACGGCTATCATTGGCATTGATTCGAGTTTCCAGCCAATCGCGGTGATGGGAAGGATGTCGGAGGAAGCCGCTTGGGTTGCAGGAGCGCGAAGGGGCCGATCGATGGCGCACGGAATGAGCGCGTGTAGGTCCCGTCGAAGTTTTCTGGCAGTGCCCTGAAGGAACACGCAAACCCGCGATTTCCTATCCCTCGCTGAATCGGGAAACGAGCTGGCGGGTCCCGGATTCCCGTAACAGACTTCAATGCTTCATCAGAAATTATTTTCCTCCGTCGATATGCTCTTCCTCCTCCCGCTTAGTGTCTGCCAGAAGGAATAGGTTATTCATTTATTATCCAAGCCGAAGAAAATGGTCTAAACACACCTCGAGGTGAGAGTGTCTGATGGATTGCCCCGCAGACGCGCCGTGGCGACAATCTCGATTTCCGAAGAACCCCCGCGCTTGAAAATAGAGACAGCCATGCATCTGCTTAGACGAGATGCCGGTCGCAACCTCCCCACCACGATAGAGCTCTCGGGACAGACACGAATGTTGATCGCTATTTCTTCCTGTTCCAAATAAAACTTTATTTCCGTCTTTTCTAGATGCTCGACGAGAATGCTCAGCTCATCCAAGCGATCGCTGACAGTCAAGCCAAGGGTAAAACCCAGGAGTGCATGCAGTGAGTTTTTGCTTAACACCTGATACATTACGATGGCATCGAAAATGAACATAAGTCTTCGGAAGCTTGCCTCTTCCCATCATGGGAATCTGTCGGATAAATCTATTCCAATGATCATAAGATGATAAGTGATGCAGATGGCATCACGGCGGGAGGACCCGGTGCGCTAATTTCTTATTTCTAATTCGCCAGTTTCTAATTTCTCTCCATTTCTCGCAGTCATCAGAGCATCTTGCACAAGAACCTTGTGTACTTGGCACAGCTCGCGGAGGTGGCTCCACAACAAGTCATACAGTCCATGCTACCGGTGAGTTTTTTTTTTCCTCGGCCCTGAGTTGGGCTGCTCCTTCGATGTGAATAATTATCGAGTTTTGATGTAGTCTCCCTGGAGAAGGGATGCGTAACTTTTCGTATTTGTTTTTCGAAGCCTCCCGGCTTGACGCCGTCCGACATGCCGAATGCTGGATCGCCAGGATACCCGCCCGGGTTTATGCCGGGAGGCTATACTCATAATGGGCCTCAGAGACCCCCGTACGGTATGGCTGGAGGACCAGGACCTGAAGGACCGCAACCCGGACAACCCTATCCGAGAGTGAGTTCGAATGAGGTCTGGGGAAGCCTCAATTTATCGATGAATCCGAGACAGGTCGACTCGAATCGGGCCTGCCAACAACCGATTCAGCCTAATGCGTTTCGGGAGATTTCAGACCTTGATAACGAGCATTCTCTCATTCCAGCCCGGATTTCCTCCTGCCGGATTCCAAGCTGGATACCCCGGAATGCAATCAGGCACACCTTACCAGGGTCACTACCAGGGCCAACCCGGTCAACCCGGTGGGCAGTATCCCCCGATGAGTGCTATTCAGAACGGGCCGCCACCTCATTTTGCTCAACAGAACTCCGCGCAGCCATCACAGGGTCCTGCCGGTTCTCAAGCTCCTCCTGGTCCTCCCACGGGACCAGCAGGAGCACCCCAGCAGATGAAGAATGTAGGTGTTGTGGTTTCGATTCGATGACATTCATTGATGAGATCTGATTTACTGTATGTGCTTATGAATCGGAATGACTTCCGTCCGATTTTCAACCAGCCGTCGAGTTCCGAGTGCATACGTCGAGGTATGATTGTGTGGAATGAATTTTCATGCAACCGCTCGTTTCAGGGTCCCTTACATCCTTCCGGTCCCGCGAGATCTCCTGGCACGGGACCAGCACTGCAGCCAGCTGCGAATTCCCCTGCACCGTCCGCACCCCCACCAGCGGCAGCGAATCCTCAACCGGCATCGAGTCCTCCCAATCCGGGCCTGGGGAACTCAGGGCCCCAACAGCCGTCCATGCAGCAACATCCGCAGCTACCGCCACCTCCGCAGCAGCCAACACATCTCCCTCAACAGATTCAACAGCAGCAGCAGCAGCAACAACAACACCCGCCTCCGCCTCCTCAACAACAACAACAACTCTCGCTACCGCCACAGCAACAACAGCTCCCCCAACCACCACAGAAACAACAACAGCTCCCACAGCCCTCTCAACAGCAGCTACAGCAGCAACAGCATCAGCAACAACAGCAGCAGCCCCCTCAGGTTGTTCAACAACATCAGCCTCCCCAGCTCTCGCAGCCGCCCCAACAGCAGCCGCAGCAACAGCCCCCACCTCAACAACAGCAACAGCAGCAACCTCCTCAGCAACAACCGCCGCCACAATCGACTCCTGTCGCACCCCAGGCGCCGCCGGTTTCATCTCCCGCGCCGACACCTCCAGCAGCATCGGGACCGAGTCCTGGCCCACCAGGACCGCCCAGCCAGTACGCAGGACCCCCCGGCCACATGGGACCGTATCCCGGCCCTCCAGGACAAGCCTATCCACCAGGGGCATTCCCGCCTGGACAAGGCCCTCCGCCTGGTCAACAATATCCGCCTAGTGGGCCCCCGGGACCCTATAGCGGACCTCAGCAGTATCCACCGGGCGGCTTCCCGCCGGGCCAAGGTCCTCCAGGTCAATATCCAGGTCCGGGTCACCCAGCGTATCCGGGTCCACCGGGTCCACCGGGTCCTCCGGGTCAACAGTATCCCAGCGGGTTCCCGCCCGGCGCATTCCCCCCGGGACAGGCTCCTCCCGGGCCACCGGGACCTCCCGGGCCCCCAGGACCGAGCGGACCTATCGGCCCTCCTGGACCATCAGCGCAGCAGTATCCGCCGGGCGCTGGACCTCCTGGTCAGTACCAACATTATCCCGCTCAATACCCGCCACCCGCCGGACACCCGTATCCCCCACATGGGCAGTACGGTGGAGGCCAGTATCCTCCTCCTCCTCAAGGATACCCTCAGCAGTATCCTCCTCCCCCTCCTCCTCAAAGTTACCCTCCGCAAGGTTATCAAGGTGGCTACGGGAGGTAATGGTGATGACTGTAAAAAATACGTTCTCGAGCACGAAATATCTTAAGGGGTTAGGCCCCCGAACATTGACGAAAGATGGAGTCTGGAAATATATTTCGAACAAATTATGACTGATTGACAATTGTGAGCGAAGTTGACTTCGGAAATGACGTTGATTTTACCAAGAAAGAAGAATTTCTCGTCCTTCACTGCTGCGTTGTCTATAGATCAGGGTAGCCACCAACGCGGACGAATCGGCTTCCTCATCAACATTTCTGTCGGTCCCACTCTGAGTTTCGAAAATGCTTCCCCTCCCTGGGACAAGCCCGAATTGCAAAAAACACGAATCCCTGGAAGAGGTACGGGCATACTTTTCTGAATGTATCATAGCGCCATTGAGCGGGATAGTAGCCCCATTTATACGTTTGGTCCTTTATAATTCCCACCTTTGAGCCGGTGTGTCGTGAGTCATGCGGAATCCGATCAGAATCCGGACGTTCCGCCCGGAAGAGCCGTCGCGAGGTTGGTCCGCATGCGTGGGTACACAAATGGTAGGCTCGACGAGACGACCATCTCGTCCGTTTCGTCAAGGCTCGAGTACCTGGCAGGATCTGGTGTGCGTAGACGGAACTCTGGAAATTGCTCGGTTTATTCGGCGAGCTCTGATATCGTCGCCAATCTCGATAGTTCATGGTTCCAAGAGGGAAAGTGGTCTCGACTCCTTCATGTGGTGATAATCGACCTCAAGCGATGCTCGATCTGAGCACGGCCAGCTCAGGACTTGGATTCGATTAGCTCAGAGGGTTGAGACCTTTCCGCTCCGGACGAACTCTAATGCGCATCGAGCTGTGGGTTTTTTTTCTTGCGCGGCGCATACCATCGGGCGGGGAATGGGAACGTCCCTGTGACGTTCGGCCACATGACCTCGATCTATTTCGAATGCTGTCCGCGATAGATCCGCAATGAGCTCGCGTGGATTAAGTGATCTGCGATCGCTGTCGATTCGATTAGCTCCGGCAATCTTCGTGCTTACAACACGATGATAGGCTGTGGCGCCTGCCTTTCCATCGATACGTCGCGTCTTCTCCTCAGCGACGGACATTTTAGGTATGAGGGAGTTGGCCTCGATTGGGGGAAGCTCCGACCACGACGGGGATTCGATGCGATGTTCACTGTCGTATGCTCGACTCCTTCGGCTCTTTCATATTTGCCAGGATTCCTATCGTGCCAACTTCATCAGCTCCGGGAGGTGTCGCATCGCCCGCAGACCACAACCCCTCTCACTCGCCGCGGCGGGTTCTCAGGATTGCAGCACTTGCTCCGCTCGTCGGACATGTTGTAAACTCATATATGGGATCGAATGAAGTTCACCTCAAAAAGTTCAGATGTTGGATGTCGGGGCGGAGTCCCTGAGCTCGACGCTATCAACGCGCCGTTCGTCAATCGGCCTCGTTTTCCACGGAGCGCAGCTCGGTCCTCTGATCGAGCCACCGCAGCGAATTTCCTCTTCTGCGTATCCGTCACGGATCATAGTCTTTCCTCGACAGCTTTTCCCACACACTGTCCAGTCGCGATCAGCGACCTACATATTTATGAACCCGAGAAAGAAACGCATAATATGAGCGCATTCCCCCATATAGGCCAGTGGAGTCTGAGCGCATACTAGGGAAAAGTGGCTCACATGTGGTTCTCTACAGAGGTCTCGAGTTCGACTGGTAAACTCGAGAGTCTTGCGTCGGGCCAGAAGGCTTCCAGGGCCGGTGTTGGGACAATTGTTCAAGCAGGAAGGAGTTTTTTTCGCGCACGCAAGGAAATCCTCCGCACATCCACGCAAGAGACGGTCCCTCATGTCTCGATGATGTTTGTCCGGGACCTCCACGGACATTCTCCAATAATTATTGAGGACTTTGTTCCATCAGATTCATCGTTGTTGAATTGATTAAAACATGATGGCCCACCCGCACATGCGATTACGCAGCTAAGTTTTCATCTTTCATAGTTTATTCTTCATCTCTCATGTATCAATGATGGTAATGAACGTACACACATGAATGACCATCTCATATCATGGATCTCAACTCTTACATCGAACTCGAGACAAAATCCACCGAAACTATTTTCCTCAGCTTCCACACCAGGATGATGAGCTCCGCGTGTACGCAGAGCCCTCATTGATTATTATATCAGAACCTCCATGAATTCCATCGCTGGGTAACGTTCAGATTCCGAAGGGCGACAGCGCTCGGGAACCCTTACGAGTTCGTTTCGTTCAAGGAATCCGTGCATTCCCACTCGAGTTCCTTTCTACATCTAATCTTCAAGTATTTGTTGCAGCGATGTGGTCACATAGATTGCTATACAGAAACTTCGATGTGAAACCATTATTTAAGTACAAACTGATGAAGCGCATTTCCATCCAACCTCTATGCCGTAAACTAGTATGAAAATATCCAATGCTTTTGATTCGTACGTACAACATACACACTATGTAACCAGCTCCGTATCCATGAATTTATATATATGTGTATATGTAAATGGGTGTGTCGATGGCTCCGGTCCATTGCTGCAACAGCGGGATCCGAGGCCGACTTCCTACATTCGGCGTGAGGCGAGCCGATCGCCACATTTCGAAGGAGCTTCGGAGGGGAGACGCTCCGAGGAGCGGATTTACGCCCATGCAGAACTACGATGATTTTTGAGTGAAGTAATCTACAGCCAACCATCTCATGCGTCACATCCTTCGCGGATAATTCTATATGGCTCGAAAACTCCAGCGATGACTGAAAGGACCTGTCTCCGGCCTCATGCTCTTTCAGACTCGATCAGATCTAGGCTAGCTGGAACAGTAAATGGCCGAATGGTTTTTCTTTTCGCAGTTCCCTCGGATTAAACTCGAGAGTTCAGAGAGGGAGTTGCCCGGAGCTCGGGAAAACTCGGGTGGTGGAAAGTTCTGCTCTTCAGAGAGCCAAGGGACAGGGTCTTGCAATGCAGGCGAATACTTTTGACAGAAGGAGCTCGACACGTGCGACCGGATAATCAAGTAGTGTATGAACTCTGTGATGCATCCATCACTCCGGTTCCCATCGATCGCTCACGATGAAGCACAGGCAGTAGGTAATCACAGATGAGTGGTTGAAATTCCAGATCGGTCACAAGAAAGTCTGCTTCGATCAGCTGTCGTACAACAGGAGTCTTCAGATGCCGCTTGGAAGCTGGAAGATGAGCAGGATTCCCGGAATGACTTTCGAAAATCATTCGAAGGAACGATTCGCTCGGGTCTACCGCAGACACTCAATTAGATGTAATTAGGGCTCGTGAAGTCGATAATCTAGCATCAGTCAGAGTTCCTCTTTGATTCACCCCTGGAGGGGCGACATACGGACGTTATTGAGCACCCTCTCGCTTTTCCCATCGATCGGTCTCCATCGAAATGCCCGAATCCGGGGCATGCGACCCGCACTGAGGTCTTTGGCTCACCAACTCGCTCTTAGTTTCCGTCGCCGCTCTCCGCGGGACTCCAGTGTTTGATGCGTAGGGTTGCGTCGATGATGCTGCCTGGTGATTCAACGGCTCCAATAGAGCGAAGTCGTTTGACTTGAATGAGTCGTTGGGTTTCAGTGGTTTTCTCTTGAGATCCCGTCTTGGAGCTCAGTCGAAAGGGAACCTGACCATGTCATGACGCTCGATCTCGGGTCCCAGCTGATGGTTGCATTATCCGAAGGTTGCGCGAGGGCCAGTCGTGTAACGCAGACGAATCATTAGGAGATATGTTTCTCGACTCAAAAGGAAAGCTCACATTTCGATGTTGACTGACAACCGGGAAGCCCCGGACTCATTCCATCGGGAAAGAAGATTCAGGGTGCGAACAGAGAACTGGGAAAGAAGTCGGAGAATATCCTTTCTTCGATCTCCACCAATCCCTTCGAGTCTCTTCTCCGGACGGAAGATTCTTGTTCCCCGGCTTGGAGACGATCTCTTCTCGCAGAGCATTCACTCAGATGCTCTCAGCACGTGATGTCAATGAGGACGGGCGATATTAAACTTGTGTCATGCCCCTTTGATCTTCTAGAACTCTTCTTCCGTAGCGGGCCCGGCTCTCCTGCGAGGACACCGATAGAATGCTTCGCATGACTATCCAATGATTGATCGATCGGTAGATTGATTGGGTGTTTGCTTGATTGATTGACTGGATGGAATCCAAGTTGTAATGAATGACGCATGTGAGGTTCGTCCGTCCGAATTAGAAGTTCGCTGAACTCTGCTGAACTCGTTGGGTTCGAAGCGGGTTTCAGTATGTTCTCGGGTGGCCCTTCGTCTCTCTTCGAATATAAATTGATCACAGTTCGCTATTTTGTGTGTTATATGAAATCCTAGGGGCGATTGCCTGTCCTCCACAAATGATCGGAAAACTGCTTCTCATTTCCTCCGCAGTCGGTTCGCGAATGCGTCCGCTGACGCCGAATCTGAGTATTCAAGATCCAATGCAAAGACATAATTTCTGAAGCGTCGCGGGTCGTCCTCTCGTCGCGGAGTCGTCGGTTCGTAGGCGTTGACGAGAGAAACGTGGTGATTTCGCAGACGTGAGTGGACATTTCGGAGCTTCCTCGAGAATTCGCGGCGGACAGGACCGACCCCTCCTTGGGTACGAGGCCTGCTGTCATTCCTCGTTAGCACCCCAGCCATTCTCCTTGATCATATGAGCCACTTCGATGATGTACTTGCCCTCCTTGTATTTTTGCGACGTCTCGAACGCGTGTTCCTGGGGAAGGTGAAGAATTTGTTGAAACCGAGTCATCCCGATTTTCGGGACCGGAGAATATCGAACCGAGGTTTTCCGACTTACGTATTTCCATCCAAGGGTCGTTTTACAAGATTCACAGTAAATATCCGCTACGGCGTGCAAGCCAGTCAACAGGTAACGTTCTTCAGCGATGCCGCATCCGATGTTGACGACAGAGTTGAACAGATAGGCTCGGCCTTGACTGCCCTGAAAGTCGATAATCTAGCATCAGATAGAGTTCCTCTTTGCTTCAAGTTCCCTTTTCCACTGAATCGTTTTATCTTCCCCTTACGGAAAAATGCCGTCCCTCACCCGGCTCAGCGATTCGAGCCCGGTCTCACCTGGAACGATTTCGAGATGAGCTCATCGTGACTCGCGAGATGAGCCCGACAATGGATACAGGAGTAGGTCCGATGGCATTGCTCTAGATACTCGTGGAAGGTTTTCGCCATCTTCGGATTCTGCGCGGGCTTCTCACTCGTACTCGAAACTGATGGGGGCCGGGAGGACCGGGAGAACAGGGCCAGCAAGGCGCGAACGCCCCGGCTGGTACTCACGAGCGCTCCAATCTCGAATGAGTTCGTGATTTGAGCAGCCAGCTTCACGATGGTCAGCGACCCTTTAGAAGGCCTGTGTTACCAAGTGAAATGACGGCCCTCTGGATTCTGAAGCTTCCGTCTGGAAAAAGAATGGAATGGGATCTGTTTAGTCAGGGATTCGAAGAAGCCTGCACGAGTAACGGGAAGGCCCCAAGCGGAACGCCAAGATTCAACTCCACTCAATTCTCCTCGGAATTCGCGTGTGGGGCGTGGGTGGTCACAGCGCAGTCGAATGCCCCTCGGTAAATGGCTGCAGCGTATGAACGCAGAATTCGTGTCCGAAGTCGCATATGCAGCCGGATATTCGATCGATTTACTTAGCCAGTTCAATTCACTGAAGGGCACCACCAGCAACCGTTGCGGTAGAGATAGTACTTGCTGTTTTAGACGCATCACCAAACCAGAAGCACTGAGGAGCAGCAGCATAGCATTCGCTCTCGATCGCCTAATGTAAGCGGCTTACGACATTTGCGAGCGTAGACGCTGACAGCTCTCGCTTCAACCGACCTCTTATTGCTCGAACGGAGCTCGATCTCAAACTTCCTCGGCCACCGTCAGCTCTTGCTTAATTCCTCGTAGAAATATCGTCTGTCAAGTTCGGTGTCGCCGTTTGAAGAAGAAGTCAAAACAATGACAGTAGCTCCGAGAGAGTTGCTCTCGCCACGGCTCGATACGTTCCATAAGACATATCTCAACAGACGGCGGCCGGTCCATGCAATCTTCCGGCTGACCCTTGAGCGATGCGTTAGTCGGATCGAATTGCCTCAGTTCAAAAATCCGATAGCAGTCGATAAAGTCCGGACCATTTTTTCCTTGAAGGAAGTCAACGATGCAGTAGTACGGTCCGAGTATCCGAGAGCCGTCCCGCTCGGAGGAGCATAGATATCATCAAATTCTGAATCGCACGCTTTGCCGGCCAACGAGACGCACTTTTCGTGGAATTTCCGGAAATATTTTCCCTGTAGGGATGGCAGGGAGCGAAGACGCAGATTTGCGTCTTACTGACTGATAGCAGAAGGAATCAGTTAGCGGAGCTTTCGGATCAACACAAGGTCCCGCTCCGTGGGCCGCTGCCCATCAGGGCACGATTCTCACAGTCAGAATCGATTCGATTTCTGCCCTCTGATTCATCGCTCCCATTCGGGAATCCCAATTAAATAAATCCGCACCGGGACTTGGAGCAGGCTCTACTCTATCAGAATAGGTTATTATTCGAGCGCGGCCAGACTGTTATCAGAACCATTACATGAGCTACGCACCGCGTAACTTTGTTCTGAGCCGCTCCGCGATATTTATACGCAGTGAATTCATCTCTGAACCCTTACGAGGCTCGCGCTGTCATCGCGGCCGAGCGTCTCCTTGATCCACGTGCTGTGGATCTTGGTCGACACGGGGATATTGCGGTGGAGAGAGGATGTTTGGAAGGATAGTATTGCTTGGAGATAGCCAACCGGCGGCTAGAATCGCCAAGAACACAACGAAAAGCACCGCGGTGCACCGGGACAGACAGCTCTCGGTTCAGAGTGCAAGTACTCGACAAGAGCAGCTAGAAGCTGGCCAGCCTGTCGAGCGAGCGAAATCGACACCGGCCATTCAAAGGGTCGAGGGGAGTCGAGCCGCTCGTCAAACTGCGCGGCACTTCACTACGCAGAATTAGATGCGTGACGACCCAAGTATAGCCACAAGCGCCAGCAAAACAAGGGCTTTCCGTCCGTTCGTTCCGTGCTGGATCACGCACCCTCCTCCCCACTTCAGAAAAGGAGACTAGAGGCGCCCATGGTCTCGACCCTTCCGTGGACTCTGGAACGAGCAGAGTACGGCAACGGTTATGAAGATTTTGAGTGATCATTATTCGCGAACACGTAGCGAAGGCCCCCAAGCACGTTCGATTCCTGATGACCGCATCTGACCTCAGAGTCGGGCTGGCGAAGATTATTATACATAATAATTCGAGGCGTTCCTCGAAGCTTTGTCCATCTCGGAGATATCCGGGCGAGTGACCTCCGATCAGACTTGAATTCCGATTGGTACTAGCCGGTAGGAAACACCATCGAGTCTCACCCTGACCAGGCGGAAATTGATTGCTCAACCGCTCTCTCGTTCTCGATGTGTCGTCACGCAATCGATGTGATTGCAGATGGACGACCTTTTTCCTACCCGAAGGATCTCTCACAGAAATGAGAGACCCCCGGAAGCAGCGAGGCTCTCGATCTGTTGCCCCCCGGCCGCGGGGGGGGGGCTTGAAAAACCGCGGTTCTCTTCGACCCAGAATTCCCGGGACTGACTGAAGAAGGAACTGACTGATCGTCAGATGGCGAAGTCCCTCGACGAACTCACACACGAATGGAACAGAAAGTTGAACTCTGCAGGAACAAGTTGACTCCCCAGACCGTTCCATGCCTCTAAAGGCTTCTGGGCATACCAATCAGCAAGCGATATCCGCTATTGAGGGTCGGGACGGCGCAACAGGCAAACACACTACGGTCCCGACAATGAATCAATTTCAAACCAGAACGTGATTGACCAGGTGTCTCCTATTTCGGACGCCACGGGGAGCTTGCCTCACGCAGATGGGTGAATGCGGAACAGTCGAAATCAAAAGATCAACTTTGCAGATTTATCGACATGATGATGAGACACAACAATTAGTGAGATCAGCGGCCGCCAAATGCAGCATCGGAGTTGTTCTCCCGTTCTAAGTCTGGCATCGGCTGTCCGTTGCGTATCTAATCCGACGCATGTTGCTCTGAGCAGGCTGATCTCCAGCAGCCTCCCGATGAAAGTGTTTGAGCTCTGGAAAAATGTCCTACCGATATCACTATCCCCTGATGATTATGGTCACGTTATTTGGAAGAATATGTACGAAGGGAAACATGGGATGCTTGCGGAATAGCAGTTTCGCAATCAGTCTCCCTGGGATATTTGACCTGAATTCGAAAGTCGAGGACCAATCCATCTACAACGTGAATTCACTGAAGTCGGCTGCGTAGCAGATATTCAGAGACGATCCAAGCTCTGCGTGGAAAACCATTCGAGCGATCACTCGATTTAATTAAAGCTCGATACGTGCGTGTGTGAGTTCAAGCTCATCTCTCGCATCGGTATGTCTTCACACGGACAATCGTAGCGTGACATTCTGCTGACACATTTCTTGGATTTCCTTGGATTTATGCCCATAAATCTCGGATTCGCGCAGTATTCCTCCCACGACCTTTCGGAGCTGTCGTCGACGGACAGAGAAAGAAAAGAACGTTGTCTCACAACGGCTTTTCTGAGGCGTTTCCAGCGAGCATCTCTCCCTTCCCACAGCATAGGCTCGGGACATCTCGTGCGATCGTTGCTGGGAAACGGGCGCGATTTCTCCGGCGGAATTCTGTCACGGCGCGGCGTAGGCACTCGGAATTTGGAGAACGCAATTTGTCATGTTGTTCAAGCCAATGAGACGAAGCTCACGACCTTGCCCCCGATGTACGTGTTCCCTTCAACACTGTTACCAAGTCCCAAGCAAACTGCGATTCCGGGACCGTTTTCGAAGTTTGGGAGACTGCGCACTTGTCCGACATACGCGGAACTTACGTGACTGCCAATCGAGAGCACGGAGTTGGGCCGGTGCGAAGTGCGCACTTTCTCTCAAAACGAGCACTATCACCGAATCAGAATTGAAAACATCCGGGGATGATCCTCCGGAGCTCGACGTGACAGACGATGGGACGATCCGACAAACCACCACTGTGCAATTTTCTGGAAATTCCGAATCACCCCGACCCAATGCACCTGGGCATCGTCATGAAAGGACAAGCTTGACAGCCAGCTGTGATCACTGTCTCGAGGGAAGCGTCTCGATTTCGATGGCGTAAGGCCTCCCCACGAGAACGCAAGAAGAATCGACAAGGGTTTCAACTCTTCCAGCGGAGAGATGTTCGCCACAAAATCGCGTAGTTGTGGCCGCCGCATTCAGTTGCTAGGTAGCGTGAGTTGAATGACCGGCGGCTTTCGCGTTGCGTTCGTGAACTCTCTGGCGTCAGAAAACCAAGTCGCAGTCGTATTCCGCACGAATTCCGCACATTCCCCCAGAAACAATGCTACAACCGATCGAAAAACGAACTTTTGGCCAAAGCGTACCGCTCCACCGCCACCGTTCAGCGAGATCCGCTGGAACAGCTGATACGCTTTGAGTACTAGCGGCCGCTGCGGTGGTGGAGTAGAGTAGATCATCGTCCTTTCTGGCGTTCCGGTGTCGCCTACGAACGCACCGTAGCGTCGGCTCGATGCAGCTCGAGGCTCGGATCGCTCCTCGGAAGGTCCCGGGCGATGAGGACTCGGTTCGCTCAGCGACGCTCGCTTCGAAACTGTAACTACGCAGTGAGTCCTGCTTGGCTTGCTTGGAGAAGCGCTTCTCTCTGCACGTAGACAGACCTACCTCGGCCCGATTGCGATGCGAATCAAAGCGCTGCCCGCGGGATGATTTGTCTTGGAACTGACGAGGAATGCGTGAGGGGTATGCCGGATTTACGTCGGACGTCGTTCTGTCAGAGACATACGCGTGTTCTCGCGAAAACTACTTTCATTCTAAGTGAGCTTCTCACTTGGAACTACACACAGCTGATAGGCAGGAGCGTCCGTAGCGCCACCACCGACTAACCGATGTTCTGCCCTCACCCGACTCTCTCTTGCAGAGGGCTGCTGCTTGCTTGCTTGACGAGAACGTCGTCGTCGATGATGATGACGATCGGAGAAAGGACCGACCGACCGACCTCACTCAGCCTCCCATCGCGACGCTCCGACACCCCGCGAGAGCGAGCGGGTACCCCTTCCTATAATTCCTCGAAACTCGGCGAACCTTCTTTCCTGGTCTTGTCTCCACTCAAGGGGCTGTTGGACGATGCACCGTTACGAAATCATTTGGTAGAGCAACACTACACCCCCGAGAGCGATACGGACGCTTCCCGCTTCTCTGAGCGAAACTGGAAGCTCCCTGGTCGATATCTGATTTCTTCGGGATAGATTGTCAAGAAACTGCCGTAAGTCGCTCCACCGCTTCTCGAGAGCTCTCGGATCGCCGCGTGATTTGCTTGTGATGAGCGGAGGGATTCATTCGATTGAAACTCCCCTCGGATGAGTTCGTTGCATCGGTTTCGAGGAGTCCATGCGTGGAGATTTCAGAGACCAACGCGTATATTCGGACCTCTAGATCGACACGGGGCTCCTACAGTTCGCCTCTGGTTTGCGCGAGAGATCTCATTCGCCGTGGAAGCTGTAGCGGAAAGCCTCGGAAATCCGCCGCTCTCATTTTCGGAGTCTCGTTCACAAGCTGAGCCAGGCTCACCAACGGGAACTCTTTATTTCCGGATCGGAACTATCGAACAAGAAGAGTCGAGAGTTCTATTCTATTCTTCCTCTGACTGAGTGAGCGGTCGGTCGAAACCTCACCGGCAGGCAGCGTCGGCGACAATGTTTGAATTTCATTCTCAGAAAGCACCTCCGGCCTTTCAGCTGAATCGAGTCGGGAGGGCTGCGTGTTTATTTTCTCTCTTGGCTCGGTTTTTTTTTCGAGATTCATCACGGCGGAGCTACCACAGTCGTCTGATCGAAGAAGGATACTCCGGGCTCTCGTGCTTTCGATTTGTCAGATTTTCACACCTGACGGGAATCCGATCGAGATGTTTGCGTGAGTCTCGATGCGGTCTCGAGTGCTCTTTCCCTGACCCAGCTCCTCCTGATAAGGCTCGCGAGACTTTCGGGGAAATCCATTTCGGCACAGACTATCTTCTGTTCCATGATGTAGTCATCGAAAATACGCTTGATCAGAGATTCCGATGGCCGATCGCACAGCCGATACATCAGGCTTATCGTGCTGAGCCGAAGAACGGAATTCCAAATGTATTGAAAGGGGGTTCGATCATCATTCACGAAATTCACCTGGACGTTCGATGAAGCCCTCTTCGGGTCGTGGAGGCTTCGATATACACAGCTTTTGCGCCCGCACTGCATAGCGCGCCCATTCATAGAGCTCTCGCCGTGATTCAAGGGGAACACAGAGTTCCGAGCGCGAACAGAGCTGGTCATTATTCCGAAACCCAAATCGATCCATCCGAACTCGCAGATGAGCAAAACATTGTCGGACCGAGCTCGGAGAATAGAGACCGCTCGACACCGCCGTTCGAGCCAGGGGCGACCAAAATGAGGCTCAAGCTCATAACGACGACCCTGCGAACTACGATATCAGATCGCGAATATCGTTTTCATCGATGATATCATGATTATACATATATTTGTTCTTCGTGGAGAATTTGCCGAAAGGATGAAGATTTCGGTGTTCCGAGTGCGTTGACGCGCCCCGCGATATCTCGGAGTGAAGAATGAAGCGCCGCGTCGCCGGACTTTGGCGGCGGGAGCCGGATCGCGGCGGAGCGACGTTTTTCACCTGGCATCGAGAATTGAAGCTTCTTCTGAGTGAGGAGCGAAATTTTCTGAAACAACTCGGCCATCACGCTGACGAGCACGATCATGTCTCAGGTGGCTCCATATAGTGGCATTTGTTGTCCTATCTACCGCCGCTATTTGCGTTGTTGTTGTTGTTATGTCACTCTATCATAATATTCCTCGTCAAGGTCATCCGGACCACTATCCGAGATGGTGCGGCGAGCCCCGAGTCGTCTTCCTCCGTGCCTCTTCGAAGGGAGAAAGTGGAATTGAGAGCGAAGGAAGGGCGAATCAGAATGACGACCATGGAACTTCTCGCTGAGACGGAGAGAAATCGGTTGCGGATAATTGTGGAGCTACATTTATTATAGAGCTCCTGCGTAATCGGAGCGGTTATTATGTTGTGAACGCCGACGCAGTTCCCTTTCGTTCTGGGGTCCTTTGTTCTCGCGCCTCCGGACTCGCACGATGAGCTCCACTCGTAGTCCCTCGTATATGTACAAAATATGCTAAGCTCCCGCTATATGGCTCAATCGCTTTTTGCTCTACTTATCGGCGGAAGAATCGCCGCGATCCGGCAATTGGCGGACTGAACCTCTTTCGAATCAGCTATGATATATTTCTGGGTGAATGTTTGCAAGTCAATGATTGCGACGGGAGCAAAATTTCTTTCGTATTCACGCGACGTCGACTCGGCGGCTGCAGCCCTCCGTCGGTCAGCGTACTTGCTCCCGGTGAAAACCCGGTATGGAGATCTCGCTTTAGGAATCACGAACCTCGGGCTGGCGAGAAGCATCTCTCCTCGGACTCCGAGGCTCGGAGGCGCCCCGGACAAAGTTTGTAGACGCTACAGCACGCGCCATCTGGACGCAGCCGAAATTCAGGAGGAGAATATGCGATCGTGATGTTCTGGCAGCTCGCACGCGTTGAACCCATCCATCCAACTGTTCCGGCGGCGCATTTGGAACTTGACCAAGACCTTGAGAGAAGGGAAGAAAAAGTATAAAGCGTTGAAAGTTTGGACGGACCAGAAGGCCCGCTCGCGCCAGGACGGTCGGCACGCCGCCGTTGCTGAGAGCCGGGTAGTCTCGCGGCCTCGATTCGGAAGATATCGGGGAAGAGTTCTGGACCGCAACGAGCTCTCCGGAGATCGGCTTCCAGTATTTCGAATAGAGTTCTGGATCGCAACGAGGTTTCGGAGATCACTTTTCAGGATTCCGCCTGCAGTGACCGAATCGGGTGATGCTCCCCTGCGATTTCTGCCAACATGATTCGATTCAACTCGCCCTCCATGAATGAGACCGCTCTCGGTTTCCCACTTGACCTTTCCATCCCCGTAAGATGCAGCGAAGAAGTCGAGGGTGGATATCTCACCCTCCCGCTCAGTCAGTCGAGAGCCGAAACAAACGAATTCAAGCGCAGTTCCAAGAGCACCGAGGGAAATTGCTGTAGCCGTATAAGGTCCGGCTCGTGAGCGAAATCGTCATCTTTGTCAAGCTCGATTACTTCACTGCGAACAGGCTAATCGCGACGCTCGGGTCGTTCCGGGTGGGAAATCGCCCATCGCATCCCACCGTCGGAATCGCATCGCAGAAGGACGCAAAGATCCGCGCACTTTCGAGATCACTCAATATTCGACCCATACATAAAAAATAACGAGATGTCGCAGCGATGCTCAGTGTGGCAGCGCGTATCCGGAACATTGCTCTGTCGGGTGAATTCAACAGGGCAGATGAATTCTTTCCCTGCTCATGTTCCGGATCTCGCTCCGGATCTCGAAATTCGACTCTTTCCTTCTTCGTCACACTCCCCCTCTTCTCAACCCAAGCGGGGCCGTGCAATCAGCTGTTTGTGTCGAGAAAAAATGACGGGCAGTGGCGTCGCTAGGCGAAGTGGCGTCTAGGGTCGAGCTCGGGATTCGCGCCCTCAGCCCACGGGCTCATTCCGATATGAATCCATTTCCATTCCCCCAACTACGCTTTCGAATTTCAAGCCGGCGATTCTCACAGTTTGCACTGGCTTTCCGAAGAATTGAGATGCCCTGCGAAGCTTCATGTGCGGAGTGTTTCAGGTCCTCCATCTATCTCTATGTGTAGTGACAGCAGTTAGTCGGTATCAGCATATTGGCTAATGCGCCAGGATCATCTTGCCCAGGTAGCAGTGCAACGCTCGCTAAATCCGCTGCTTTTCTCGCTGGTCGGCGCTCCTCGTCGGGTAAGAGCGAGAGAGTGAGTAAGACCCGGTGCCGGCGTCGTCTCTGGAATTTTCGGGCATGCGTCGACCAACATCGTTCCTGTCCTTCGCCAGAGAGGTGGTTTGTGCTCTCTCAGTTCCCGGAATCCACACGCTCTCGGGGGCAAGCTTCGAGCCAAATCCATGGAATAAGGCTGAAACAAAGGTCCTGGAATCGGTCAAATCCCATGGCGATTCGAGGCCTCAGTCAGGCTCCGGTTTCGTGGAACGGGATACAGGCGGAAAATGTTCAATCCAGCGGGCTAGCTTCAGAGCGAGCGCATCGTTTACTCCGCGGCGGTGAGCCCGTACGGGCTAAAGGATGTCTTCCTTCCCCGTCTTTTCCATAAAACTCGCTCTCCCGCCAGAAAGTGGGTCAAGCCAAATGCGAGCGGGAAAGAATGGAAGCTTGAGGCCAGCTTTCGACCTCTTCCTGCGGATCCGCTTTCTTTCAATAGTCAGCTGTCGACTGTCCGCTCGCTCGACACAGAGACGCACGTCGTGTCCGCGAACCGTAAGCAATACGCCAATAACGTCTCGAACTGCGCATTCTCCTCCGGAAAGCTGGTCCGGCAGTCTTTAGTTTCACTTTTCGCTGGCTCGTGTCTGCGATGCTCGAGGCGTTTGTCGCTGCTTCTGCTAATAAATCTCCGCAGAGCAGCTGCTCCGAGCTAGCTCGACTCCTTTAATCGCTTTAGACAGCGACGACGTTGTCTCCGCAACGAACGGCGGTGTTCGCGATTGACAAGCCCTGGCTTACCCAAAACTCTATGCTCTCCATCATTCGCGCGTCGTTCGTGAGGGTATCCGGATATATACATAGATCGTTGGGAAAGAAACTGGTTCTGCAGATTACGTTCCGACAGTAATTCCGGGCCGACGTAGGATCAGCGTGAGAGGAAGCGGGTAACTGGTGGAGAATAAGTCCGGGGTCCCTGGCGGAGCTCGAAAGCGAGCTCGGGGCGCGACACCGAACCAGCTCAAGTTGTATAATGAATGATGCGCAATACGCGAACAGGTCGTTCGTCGTTTTACGTCGCGCACCTTCGAAGAAGAGAGCCTCCGCTCCACAGAATAGTTAAAACAGTGGATTGGGGATTATGGCGACGAACGGTACATATCGTAAAGCTTTCAAAATAGGAGCTTGTAAATGCATTAGCCCTACCATCGATTCCACGGATATTTTGGTGAATCCACTGCGCAGATACGGATAGGCTCCCGGTGGAATTGCTATTATGCAATAGTTTCGCCGTCGTAGTCACTACCGCTCCGAGTCGGCTCGAGAGCGAAAACAGAGCGCGACGCACTCAGTCCTTCCTCGAGCCGCTAGGAATCGCGAAAAGGGTCTGGGAGAGAGAAAGGAATTAATTCCAGAATATTTTTCTGATAAGTGACCCCTTACTTGCTAGTCCCCGATTTGGACTGAAACTAGAAATAAACTACGCAGAACCCCACGCGCCGACCAATGAATGCTCTGGGATAACCCGTTACCGTCGGCTGAGTGCAATGGATATCGTCGGTGACGAGGAGGTGTCCGACGCGCGCGTTCGTAGCCTTCATGTCACGCAACGAGCTGTTTGTTGACTAACGCTTTTATCGGCACGCGATGGTGTACAATGTTTTGATACCTGTGCGCAGCATGGAGTACCCGAGATGTTCGACTGCGTTGGACGGATCTCTCGATGATATCTCGCTCGATGACGATGTGCTCCGTTTCGCCAACAGCGTCGACGATTGTGAGAACGGTGGAGCCAAGCTGACCAGCGACAAAGATCCCATCAGTGAATATTCTGCTCCCCTGCTGAAGCTCAAAGAGGTCATAGAGTCGCTGAAGCTCGACCCTCGGAGCACGCCCCCCGAGAGCGATTCGGATTACACAAGTTTGACGGCATCTCCGGACGCTTCGTCGCGATTCGACTCCGAGAGCAACACGAGGAGGTCAGACCTCGTCGGACTCGACGGCTCCCTCGATGATCTGAACGTCGAAATCAGCGACGACGTAGAGCCAGACAACGCCCTCTCCGAACCGGACTCCGATATCATTGAGAACTTCCGCCAGTTCGGATTGAGATTCATCCGCAAGCCGAGTCAATATTCGCGATGCAGGTGCGCGGTTCCGCGAGAACTGCTCCAGTACCACTACAACCTGAGCGAGGTGGCGAGCGAAGTGAGTCTCGATACGATGCCGCTCTGTTTCCAGATGCGCTGGGCAGAAGTGACGCAGAACTTCGACGTCGACGTATTCGGCGACCTCCAATTCCAGGATTTTTTGTTTGGCCGAGAGCAACGCGGCCCTTATCATGCCATGGCTCATTTCGGGAACGAATTCGCCAATATTGGATACGACGGAACCTATTGGTACTGGACCCTGGTGGGAGACGCTGACGCGCCTTTCATAGAGGACAAGCTTCGGAATAAAGAAAACTTTGTGAACAGTTTCCGCACGATGGTTCGTCATCAGATCAGGACGAGGAAGGTAACAGATGCTGATGTCTGCGCCGCGACCGAGTCGAACCGATGGGATCTCGGCGTTGCTGAGAGCTCGTCGAAATAATATAATAAGAGCCTCCCGATCTTGGCCTAATGTTCGGTCGGTCGTCTCCGTCGTTGATTACCGTAGATGCATCGTCTCTGAGCTTTCAGACGTTTTTCAGGGAAGGGCCCCAGAATTGTGTCCACGAATCTTACCAGACGCCCACGTCTTCGTACGCTCACTGAACGACATACAGGGCGAACCAACAATGGAAGCTGACGACGGTCCCGTCGCAGGCGCCGTCGCAGAAAGAGCCTTGGGCAAGGACCGCAGCGTCGACAATCTCACACTTGAGGGCCCCCGCGAACTTTCCTATCTGCAATTATTCTCTGAGAGCTATTACGCAGCCCTGGCAACCATAACCCCGCGGTCTGGATCGCCTCTCGTTTTTAATACATTCGACCGTCGTGCCGGACGGCTTTCGGCGTAGCTTTTAGTAATAGGAATGGTAGGTGTATACTCCGCCGTCGTGCCGATTTTAAAATTCTCATTCCGTTGCATTCCTGCGGTAACGCGATGAGAGAAGAGGAAGTTCTCCGCCGCGCGAGTGTCTCAACCCGTCAGGTGAACGGTTTTTCGGTTGTAATATTTTCATTTAGCCCCAAAGTATCTTTCTCTCCGGATCGTCTGCAGACCCTCAGCTCTAGCTCGAGCCCTGAGCTAACACAGGAGGCTGGTTTCATCTCGGCGAAGACGGCGCGGGCGAAAGAAAAGTGGTAATAAATGGAAAACCAATCCATTGGCCAAGTTTGATTCGACTCACCGAGCATCTCAAACGAAGTTGAGGTTTCTCCCGTACCTTCGGGAAGGATTTTCGCAGACTGGGCAGAAGAGAGCAGCGTCTTCGGTGCTTCGAACTTTATTTTTTCTTAGAAGTCTTGTCCTTCGGAAATTTTATCATCTGATAGTTTCATTATCGAGAATCTGCATAGAATATATCATGTCCGAGTTGGATCCCGATTTCTTCTGTACAGTCGATGCGCCGATTCTCGCTTCGCTCCATCCGGGATATTTCCTACCCTCGATGAAACTTCTTCGTGCACTCCTCCCCGCCTGCTTTGTTTCTCGGGATAGCTTCGTTGATGATATCTTAGGTAAAATGGACAATGTTGGGACCATCTGGCTGCGAACAAGACAGTGAGAAAGCAATAGAAGCAATCGTGGACGCTCGATATTAAAATTCAATATTCAACTCTTCGCTGGTCTCTTCTCTACGCGCTTCAGCTGTCTCCTACCCCCCCCCCCCCTCCAGTCGAATCTAGTGCTTCCCAGAAAAATAATCTGACTCTCGGATGGATTTCTATCGCTGACCAGAGATCAGAGCTCGCTGAGAATTGCGCCGCAAGAGTTGCCACCGGAGGGAATGCAGAAGGCGACAAGTAGGTTTGTCGAACACATTTCTTTATTCATTCAATAGGATTTCTAGCTTGGTGGAAAAGCCCTATCGTGGTCGGATTCGTAATGAATGACAATAATAATAATCATCATCATCATACAAGTAATGATCCTTGATTGATTGACAAACATTTAGAATATAATAAAGGTTCGCTATAGATGAATGTAAATGCTCCTGAATGGATATGCTATCACATAATACGTGTGGGTATCCCTCAAAACCATGTGGGTCAATGCCTGTTGTGCGTTGACTGCCGTCGCTTTCGAATTTCTGATTATCATGCTTTACAAACTCTCTAAAGAATTCCTGTTTTCCAGTCGTGGACTTGCTCAACAACGTTTTGTATGCAGGACGTACATGGAGGCACATTATTCACTAAAGGTATTCCAGTCAATCGGAAGGATGGTCGAAAGCCCTCTCGGAGAGTTGAGTATGAATTTTCGGATGAGAGAAGCGCTCCAGGGAATGCCAGGGATACAGATATCGGGATTAGATGGGAAGTAGCCAGGGAAAGTCTTCGAGCTTCCACTCACCGGAAGCTCGGAAAAGGTCCGGAATGTTCTGGACCATGTTTACAGGCGGGAAGGATAGCGGGATAGCGGGATGGGGGGCGTTTCCGCGTGGGGCAAGCACGTGCGCTGAAGAACAGTTATTCGCTCTGAACAAGAGTTGGTGAAGGGATTCCAGACGGAATACTTTTTGGATGGTCGGTGACTGTATCATCTGAGGAACTGAACTATACAGGGCAACGGCAGACGATACAAACTTCGGAATAGATCGACGATCTGATCAGGGAATGGATTCATTGCCTCGATGAACTCGTCTAGGAATGCACGTGATTTTGATTCGATTCTCAGCTTTTGGGATTTCCAGCAAGTCGGGCAAGTTCCAAATCATCCGTAAGTATGGAGAAGTATGCATCGCCTTCAGGATTGTAACCCATGTATCCAAGGAGATCCTTCATCGCAGGGATTTGTCTTGGACAATTTACCTAGGCGCATAAGAGCGAGACGATTTCGGATTTTCGTAATTTTTAATTCTAAGTTTCCAGAATACAAATCATAATAACCGGGCAAAATTGGAAGATCCTAAGGGCAGGGATTTGACGATATTTGGCATGCTTAGCTGTTTGGTGGTAACATCATTCAGTCAATCGTCGTAGTAAGTCAGTCAATCAATCAATGAAATCGTTAGTCTAGATCGGATCTCGAAATCATTCTCTGTTCTGGATTTCATGGCTGAATGTCTCTGTCGAACTCTCTCGAATGCTCAACAGAAAAATCTGCTGTAATCTTCGATGTGTCGATGCCCGATTTCTGATCCGAATCGTCATTCCTTCTCTTCTTCGTCCTCTGTTTTCCTTCGGAGTCCAGATCGAAATCCCACAACGTTTGAACAATCAACAAGCACACTTACACTCTGAATAATTCACAAATCTCGTCGTCAAGGATACATAAGGAGGCAGTCGTAGCTAGAGGTCGAGTATCTAGAGTTTCATTCATTGAAGAAATTCTTCGGTTTGGGGACTCTTTGCAGTCGATGTCGAAACTGCAGTTTCTGTTGCCGTTGCTACCTGATTCGTTCTCGCTGTCACAAACTGGGCTTCTGAGAATTCGCCTTCGAGGAAAGCAAGCAGACGTACCAACTATTGGGTCGTAAATGAAATAGGATCAACGCGAATAATCGAACAACTACATTTTCAGTGGTTCCCAGTCGTGCAAATTGCCTGGGCTCGGATAGCTCGGAGTTTCCGTGGTCTCTCTCTCTCTATTCTCTGGCGTGATGAACATCAACCAACAAAGTATTCAAATCCGCAGATTGCGAAATCATACAACTCAGATATTCTGATCGGTGATCAATCGTTCATTCTCCCCCTACTCAGACAGTGAATCAATCAATTAGGCAACCCATCGATCGCGGTTCGCAAACTCCGAAATCGAACACGAGATGGAAGTCATTGGTTCGTGACAGCTTTGGCGCCGAACGACGCGATGCGAGCTCAATAACAACCGAATAACAAACAACATTGTAGAATAAGTATAAGTGGTTCTGCTTGAATCTAAATGCGAACGGGAAGAAAGCGCTGAGGACCAGGTGTGGAGAACACCGCTTCGACTGACTGACTAACTGACAAGCAGCACGTGATTCGAGCCTCGTTCGTCAACTTCAATCCGTCAAGGTACGTACGTCATGGATTATATCATCGGGAATGAGGGAGAGGAACTTCAAATTCGGACGCGAACAACGGAAACAAAAAAAACCGCAACACATGGAGTTTTGACTGATTCATATCTCGAGGACATGTGTGAAACAACTAAGGATGCGTATCGGATGAATGTACTTCTACAATATGTGTATCGAGAACGGCCCACACAACTTAAAACTTTCCTGTCTTCCTTTACAGAGGCTAGGGCTTCGAATACGAAATATGTATAAATAATAGTCGTAGAATAGAGAAAAAGGCATTCGTATGCCATACGTCTGTACAACCTGAATGAAATTTCATAACAATTGCTGAGGAAATCGCGCGGAGCCCGGTCCGGCGAATAAGCCCAGCGTCTAACATGAAGAAACAGACGAGCGGACGCACGTTTGAAGGAACGGCGGACGAACGCCTCAACGAAATATCTCCTCGTCGCTGGCTACCTATTAGGTCAACATACAGGCGCTGTTAAGATGGTCTTTCATGTCACCCGCGTTGAAACACTCCGTCTGGCACATTGGACAGCTTCTGGCACTCGCAGCAGCGCTATCCCCCGAGTCGGAGAATAGAGCCATTTCGTTCAAGAGGTCTGCGTCTAAGGGCATATTACTCGAATCCGCCTCCGCGATGAGGGGTCCACTGCCGGACTGCGGAAGAGCAGCATCGTTTGGTGAAGTAGGTGGCCACATCTGAAAAGTGTCCTCTATCTTAGGGATGGTGATCATTACGAAATTCGATCCTGAGCTCTCGGCTCCTAGACATGCCTCGGGTAGAGGGACAATAGCCAGTTTGATCGGAATCGGACCGGTATAATTTCGGAATCCCAGGGCAGCTCAATAAAATAATGCGGAGGCTCGGAGGTGCATCGAATTTTCAAATCAGTCACTCGGAATCCCGAACACGAGCTAAGGTATGTATGTGCTCCCTCCTCTCCAGCAAGAAAGCGGCATTCCAAAGCCGATCGAGGACCGGTGGGAAATCCGATTTTCTGAGGTAAACTCAGACGGGGAAATTATCCGGTGTCCGGAAAAATATCAGAAGGCTGAAACTCACCCGACGTTCAACATCCGCAGTGTTGCGGGGGCATCGCAACAATTGAACAATGCAGCTCGAGTCGGAGCTCGCATTGCTCGGCGTCTGCGGTCTCGTGTGTTGTTCGATGAGTCTCGACGGTAATCCCGAGTATCCCGGTCTGTCGGGAAACTCTACGGCAGATTGAGTTCTGGAACACAAAAAAAAGCTTATAAACTCACAATCCCTCGAATCTCATATCGATCAGGCACTCCATGGGAAGGGGGCAAGTGATACAAAACGTCGGATCTGAGCATCCAAAACCAACGGTCCTTGATGGATTGTTCTATCGAATTAGGTATCTACTCATCGAGAGAGATGATCTCATGCACTCATTAACCTTTGGGTGGGAGTATGTGAAGAACTAAGTCTCGGCGGTCCATTTGGAGGTCTTTCTACACCGGCTTGCAACAACTCGACGAGTGTGGGCTGTTTTGTCGCTTGTGGTGAAACTTTCACAGGAACGATTTTGTTGTCCCTGCGAATGTTTTCGTGAATCATTATCGCGCGGAGCCAGCCGATGATACACGAAGGAAGAAGGACCGCGCGGCAACGCCGCCTGGCACCCAGATTCGGATCGGCTCCGGAGAAACTTACCGTTCAAGCGCGCTATGGTCGGTGCTGGAAGTGACGATTTCCTCGCTTTGGTGAGGCTTTTCGGATCTCGTGGAGCGTGAGGGCCTGGAACTGCTTTGAGAGATCTGACGAGACGAATCGTAGGGGCCTTGCCTCCGTTTCCGGCGACCTGGTTCCCCGCTTTGCTGCTGCTGCTGTTGTAACCTCGTCTTCAGGTCTTCGGCCTCGTACATTTGCTGAAATTCCACGATCCTATGAGGCAAGCATTCCTCTCTCGTTCACTCTATTCATCTAGGTCGATTCGGGTGGCGACTGGCTCGCGTTCTTGAGAATCTCTATTACACTCTTGCAAAAGACTCGATGCTGTCGAAATTTTAGAGGAACATTCGACTCGGATCGATTCTCTCTCTGAGTGCAATAGTCTGCTCACGATAGCTGCCTCTTGTAGAGCCGCAACGAGGCTGAGGATGAGCTGTCGATCGTTTGCGTCGGGTCACTGAATACGATTGTTGTAATGCATTCAGTACGAAGCTTGGATCTGACTTCGCTCCCTTCTTCAAATTATGGCCGTCCGCCACTCACGTCCGGCTTCCGTCACCGATATGACAATCATGCTCACACAGATACGCGCACTGTGAAAGACTCTCCCTCAAGAAATACATCCAGAGTAGGTCAATTCCAGCTGACACGATTATTCAGCCGAGCGCTGAACTTAAGTCGGCAGTCCTGACGGCTGTGCGACACATGAGGACTGAATATTGTGTTTGTTTCTACTGCACAGATGCTCCTTCCGGAGAAAACATCTGCGGAACAGATATATTCACCTATACGAATGCCCAGGTAAACCTCATCAATGTCCTTGTGCGGCGAATGAACGTCGACCGCTTCGCCCCCACGTTCCCCCTTTTCCGAAATATTCCGTCGGAGAGGGAATCGGAGATTAATGAATCGATCGACGAAATTCACGTTTCGCATTCCCGGTTTCCTGGTGTCTCCGTTTCCCCTTCGGAAATCGTTCTGAGCTTTGTTGACGGAACACTTTATCTGTGACCCGGCAGCGATTCGTTGTAGCGAATCGTAGAACGCTCTCATTGACGGTCCTCATTCTCATTCCAGCAGCCAGTGTTGTTTGATGGGAATCTTTCCAGCCCCTCGTTTCATTCTCATAGTGGGACTATCGGAGCGAAAACTCTCTTCAGGAAGAAAAAATGTTCCTGGAAGCAAAGGGAACAAACCAGACGGAAAAATCAACCCTTCCAGCTCGGAGGGGAGGAAGCGGTGCTCAAGTGGTGACGCTTCACTCTTTCCCCCGGGGTCCCCCTCTTCAAATGTTTATCGTGGAACACAACCAGGATGATGATGCTTTTGCGCGGCAATAGCTCCGTGGTCGTAGTCGCTCCTGCTGTCGACTAAAAACAGAACGCCAGCTCAGAACGAGGTCAATCCCAGAGCGGATGTGCTTTCTTCGCGTCCGGCTGCTCGCCCGCGCACAAGAAATACGGAACTTGCTTTGCTGGCCAACTGGAGCAGCATCAGAAAATGTGGGGTGCCTCTGACGACACGAAAGGGGAAACGTCGAACTGGGTCGAATCGCACGGCCTAGGCGTTTCGATTCAATAGCCGCCCGCCGCCACGGAGCAGCCGCCTTTGGGAACGAGCTCACCCCAATGCTTGGAAGAGGCTGAACACGACTCGAGGTCGAGTCCCCCAGATAATTGTAATCATCGCTGTCTCAACTTCTTCTTTTCGGCTCCCCACCCATCAAATTTTACGTGAAGGAGCAGAAAACATCGATCACCATCAATGTTAGCGAAACGAGCAGCAGAAAATGCTCCAATGTTTTTTCCTGGTTAGAGAAAAACCAATCAGCGGAGATGCCTTGGCAGTGCGCCTAAGTACACGACAAGGTGAAAACCGCGAATGACGAGTCATAATCCACGATTTTACATGCAGGCGCAATGCTGTGCCCACGATACTTTTGTCAAGCTCGCCTTTTCGAGGAAAATCGAAGCGCTTTCCGAAAGATCGCCGTAAACTTGACGAGGTCATTTCCTCCTTGGGTCCTTCGCGCCGGCCGAAATTGAGCAACAGTCCGCGATCTTTATTAGTGGTATAAAGTTTTTGATTCTCCTCCCTCCATGTTTCGACCTCGACCAGCTGGACGAGTGACCAAATCGCGGCTCTTCAAGATATTATCGGTCGTTCTGCCGCTGATCGCATGCGATTGAATCGAGTATACGTACATGTCGTAAAAGTCGCGCAATCCACCCGCTTTCGGCAACGGAGCGGATCACAGAAAACAGAAGCGGAAGTGTCCCAATAACTCATTAGGAAACCCTCCAAGAATGTCTGTAGGGTCTCGGAGAACGAAAGCATGCTGTTTCTCGTTCTGAGAATGCATGTGAATGCTCCTCGACTCCTCGAATCAATCTATTGATCATGGTGACTCAGCATAAGACCCCGACAGTCTTGAGATGACCTACATTATTACCGGGGAGTGTGTTTGACCAAGTAATTGATCCGTCCACTCGCAATCAATCGTCGAATCTCAAGATCGGCGATTTGAAGGAGTTCCTCCGCACGAAGATCATGGTGACAGATATTGCGCCGCAAACAAAGGAACGTACTCGGATCCCGACCTCCCAATGCACGATGAACACCTAAAGCACATGAACTTGATAGATATGAACCCGATGAATATGAGTTCCGGAATCGACTGGCGCTTCAGAGGGTGTCGCAACGATCTCGACAGCGCCGGCGATTGATTCTTCGAGCCGCGAGAATTCAGCGCGGTTCGGCGGTTGCAACAATTGTGGTCAATCCAATTATCCAAGCGAATTATTTCGACGAACGGCTCTTTGCGAGCCTAAGCCGACGAGTCGGACGATGTTAAGTCAGAAGCATGGAGCCCGGAAGCCCATAAATGAACTCCATAACCCTATCGGCGGCAATCCTCGCTTCTCCACATCGACCAGGTGTATTTACCGGATCGCAGTTAAGCTTTTATCGGCTCTCATAAGAATTGGACTCGCGAGTTCTCGACAGGGAGCTAATATTCTCACCGTGTTCCGTTTGAGCAGCGCTGTCAGCAAAACGACCATGGCAGTCGGAGCGCGAAGTCCGGAAATTCCTCGGGGATACTTCCTATGGAACTATTTTCAGTGGACTGTCTCCAGAACTTTTTTACGACTCCACCCGGAAATTCACTGATCATTTGTTACGACTGATCCGATCGAGTCCGGACATTGAGTCACTGAGCACAATAGCACCGTAGAGGAAGAGTTTGGTGAAGTCCGACTCGAATCAGACGAGCAGGTGGAGCACAGATGTACTGGATAGACCTCACTCCACGAGCAATCAGCTGACGTCGTCCCGCGTGCGTGCGTTCGACTTTACATCCACAGATGGTAAATGGATCCTTGGGCTTCGTTCGACGACAGAGTGTTTTGCGGCATGCTCTTCCGCTTGCGCGGGGCGCCATCTAGCGTTGTGCGTCTTTCCACGTTTGGCGGCAGCAGCGGCAACAGGGCTGCTGTTGCTGCTGCTTCAATCTGACGCCCTCTCTCGGGCGGAACTCGTGTGGTGTGGTGGCCCGCTGACCTGACCGCTCGTGGCAGCTCGCTTTCCCTTTTCAAGGCTGAATGTCGCTTGCCAGATCCAGAGAATAGGAGACGAGGAGGATCAAGAGAAAAAAATATACGAACAGCGGCGAGAAGACGGGCCATCACAACGAGTGAATAAGGGAGTCCAACTAGCTTCAGTTCGGCACCGCGACGACCACGACGTCATGGAGAAGAAGGGGCACTTTGTCTAACTGTTCCTCCGTCTTCCCCACTGCAGGCGACCGTCCGACCGAGAAAGACAGCCAGCGAGCCAGCTCGCGAGGTCAATCGGACTGCTCTGCTGCTGCTGCTGTCGACCTGGGAGGAAACGGCTCCATCCTACGGTGTTGCCGACTTCATCGATGGCTTCCATGCGGACACCAAGCGCGGAAATCTCGTACGATACGATGAGAACAACGGGAGGAGCGGCGAGCGGAGCAGCCCGCGCGAGAAACTGCTGTTTCCATCTTCACATGGGAGCGGAAGTCCACGAAGGTCGCTCAGCAAAAAGTCACGTAGACGTCGACACGTCCCGTCGTCGCATTGCGGTGCAGCGCGGATTGCCTCTGATGGCATCTACGGCTAATGATCGACAATGCGTGATCTGGGCGCTCTCGACGGAACGTACCGACCTACCGATCGTATGCTTGACTGGCTCGCGGTCGCGGTCTCATGCCATTCGGATCTACCGACAAGCTTCCGGTGATCATAGCCGAGCTCGATTCTCATTCCCCCGATACTGTGGGTTGATGGCTCTGAAAAGAGTCGGCTGATCTTCCCGGATCTCCGAAAACGTTGTTTCCCTATTTTCAAAAAGCTCTCTTTGTCGTTGATGACAGAGCTTCGCTGGTTTCCGGAATAGATGCTAGTCCCCATTCATTTCTAGGTCTATTCGTCGGCGAGCCAACGGACGAGCGGGAGGATTTTTTTGCCCCAGATTCACTTGTCATCGTGCTAATCATTCGTTGCCTTGTCATCGATGGATTCGGAAATACCGAGAAGTGATGATTGACAGCAGCTATCTCGGCTTGCGCAGTATTCGCACGAATTAATTGAAAAACCGCCCGACGACAGGAGGACGTGGGTCGATTCTGAAACGGAGATGATAAATCGTTCGGTGATCGATTGGTGGCATGACCGAGTCAAAGCTCCTCTTCTTCAAGCTTCCTTGAGGGAACTCATGAGGAACTGCTTGGCTTGTTGCTGTAACGGCTCCCGATCTACTGGTCTTGATGTTTGCCGGCAGAAAGATTTGCTCCATTTGCTCTGGAACATCCTTTTCACCTACTCGTCAGTGGCTCAAAACAGGGATGCGCAGTTGCGCCGGCGGCGCGCCGTTGTTCCCATATGATACGCATATGACTAGAAGTTTGGCTTTACGCGGCTGGATACCCGTTATTCCCTCCCGGAATCGGGATCGCGGAAGCGCTGTCGTCGTCGTCTGACCACTCCGCTCGTCGCGAGGGCCATCGACGGTCATGCGCTCATTATCCGATTGCGCGTATTTATGCATGTATCCCTAGGATTTATGAATCACCATATAGGTATGCCGCAGAGCTCTAGATGGATCTTTTGTTCCGACGGCGGATTTTGTGTATGCAGCCCGCAGCCCATCGCGGTGGTATGACGTTGAGCTATCCGATTGGGGAAAGATCCGTCTGATTAAGATAATGGGATTCTAGGTATGTATCTGCGACCTGCTCCACGACCAGAGGGCTTCTCCCGATCAGGTCGGCAGGGCGTTTTCGTTTCTTCCGAGGCAAAGTGGAAGCCCTCCTGAGCTCCGGAACGATAGGGTGAGGGAGTAGCTCGCGAGCTCCAGTGACTCGAATTCTCACAATCGGGGTGAGCAAGGCATACTCGCATTCGATCCGAGGACAAATCGGGTGATCCGATCGGAAGATTGCGAGACATCTCTCTCGGGCGAGCGATCGATCGGGTGTCTGAGAGCGCCGGGTCAGCCTTAATACTACAAGAAGCTTCTTTGGAAAGTAGACCTGCGCCCAACGAGTCGGGGTTTCTTAAGGATGCGAACGCCAATTATTTACAGGTCTTCCGCGGTCTCAACTGTAAGGAGAGCGCGAATAACTCTCACGGTACGCCAGCGCGGTGATCGGTCAGCGAGCTAACAAAGCGTGCTTCGAACGCTCTTGTTCTGAAAGAACAACAAAAACCGAAAGCAGCGCGCAGAACTTTGAGATGTGACCGAGCAAAACACAATCGATAGGTATCTGAACGGGCAGCGCCAAGATTGCCGTGAAGCAATCGGGAGGGCGGTCTTCCTACTGGCTAGCTAGGCTGCCTGGTTGATTCGTTGGCTTGCCGGCTAGCTGACTGGCGGGCGCTCGGTGCCGAACACTATTCCGACGAATGGCAAGGATCAAAGCTGTGGACTGACCCCGTATAAATGTGGGCCACCCATTTAAGCCGGTCAAATCGGGTGCGCTCTTTGTCTTCGTTATTAATGTTGTCTCGTTGTTGAATGGATGGCGCGACAGTCGAATACTCGGCCCCGGTACGTGCGGATGTCGCCCATGTAGTTTCGACAATCATCATACGTATCGGAGAGTAGAGATCAGATCGCATGGGGTCAATGGACTGAACTCTTCGAGTCCTCGCATGAGTCTCTGCTCTCGTCCGTTCGAGGAGCTTTCGATTTATAACGTGTTCAGTATGATCGAGGAACGATGAGTGTTCAGTGGTCGTATCAAATACCTACTGTCGGAGCTCGACTCGAATCGGAGAGACTGGTGATCGGAGAAGTGAGAAAAATTCGCCCGGAATCGGAGAAGCCGTGCTCGGGCTCGTTCAGTGTCTCCGGTGGGTCGTTCTCCCGGAACACACCGCATCCGAGGGCAGTTCCTCGTCGAATCATTCCTGCACATCAATCGCTTTCTTATTGGGGGAATATCCCAGGTGACACCGGAATCGGACACCAGACGCACCTTCTCCTCACAAGGATAGGCGTCCCTCGGACCGTCCTTTCAGATCGACCGCGATCGTGTTTTCAGAGATCTCGAGCTGTTCGTGAGCCTCATTGACAATGATCCGCTATCGAACTACGCCCGAGAGTGGAACTGGGCATGTGACCACGGCTGCCGCGCCGGCACCGCCTCCGTATGGACTCCGGGCCTTAATCGCGCTAGATCCGTGGAGCTCAGTGTGCTTCCCGGATATGACATGGATTAATGTCAGCTACGGCAGTGACGTGGTACATGGAGCACTCTTGCAGGTTCAGCGTTGCGGAAATGCGAATTTTCGTTCGGGAGGCCTTCACTCTTGCACTTGACCTGAGGCGGCCTCCGCAGTTCGTTTCTCTCCTACAGTCAACAATCTTCGTGAACCCTACCGAAAGCGATCAGTTCACTTCCATCAGAAGATAGGCATTCATCTTCATCTGAACGCCGCGATAAGCGAACTTGCCCAACTTCCCGCGGATCAGAAAAACGACGTTCCCGCCGAGATTGTTCGCTGTCCTCTGATGTCGTACTATCACGTTACTCACGGGCCTTCATTCGTCTTTCTCGTAATCTGGCTGCGTAATCATTCTGTACGTCAGAGGACCCATGAGTACGCGACGTAATACGTGATAACCGCTCGTTCACCAATGCTAGCGCCTTTTTTAGCCGGACGGTTGATCTGCGGTCCAGAAAGCGGTTTGCGACCACGTCTGGAGCAGTGAGCGCACAAAAAATGCAGTAAAACGTCGTGAACCCGTCTCTGGACCTCTGAAAATCGGGACACGATGGCGCATTCCGAAATATCATAAGAAACCGAATCTCAACTCCGCGTCCGGTGACGAGCCCGATCGAGTCGAATAGAAGCTCGGGAGGAAAAGAGAGATGAGATCCGCTTGATCGCGGCCGTATGATTAGCCGATTCAATGAAGTAGACCGAACGTACTCGATTTCGGCTCTTGAAGTCTCATCGAGACGCTACCCCTATAATCATACATATCATAGATCGTGGCGGTGTTCATGCTTTTATCGCTCTTGTGATCATAGAGCAGCAAAGCAAGCGAACGAGCTAACAGCCAACTAGTCTCACGGCGGACCGCCGGACGGACAGCCATTGGTTGCGTACTGGTCTAGAGATGAGATGATTCCGCTTCAGAAGAAGATTCATCATTCAGGTCAGCCCTTCTCGTTTTTTTTTCTCGAAGCACACCTCGCTTTGCCTGTCAAAACGTGTCGGACGCTTGTGTACCGGAATGAAGATTCTGACTCCGTCGTCGTCACAAAAGGTTTAAGCCGCTCCGTGGCTGAAGAACGGCAACGTTGCGACGGCGACGCCGACTCATGATGGTCCCCGACTGACGCTCGCAATCTGCTTGATCCAGTTGGAAGTTCCTGGGATCCTTCGCGGGCATGCAAGAGCTCTCTGCAAGCTCCCAATGCTTATGACACACTCTAATCTCCCCACCGATGGCTGCGGAAGTCCTGAGGACTAATCGTGCCTCGAGTTGGACCCGAGCTCTGTCGCTGTTCGTGGAGATTTTCACGAAAACTCTTATCCGTACTGCGAATTTCTAATTTCTCGGAGAGGTCGCATAGTTCAGCGCGGTGTTTGCTTTTGCAAATCCTCAAAAACCAGGACCGGAACCGGGTCGTTCGGATCCAGGATCCATCCTCGGCGACCCTCAATCAACATCATGGAGTACGGCGCGCCTCGCTCAAGCGCCTTGTATAGTCTCCTATCTACTCAACTGGAATACAAACTCCGAGAACGCGCTCTGAACCCCCATCCTGATTGGTGGCCAGCTCCCGTGATCCCACGCAATTGGTCCGTGAATTTTTCTTGAAAGCCCGGAAATTCTTCCGAGGAATCCAGATTCTGTCCCATGATATTTTCCCCGGACTAGCTCGGTGAGACGATTCTCATCGATCCTTCTGAGCCAGATCAGGTCTATTCTTGATCCTGAACTGACCCCATTCCGTCAGCATCCTACAATTCGAACATTTCACAACAGCTATCGTTTCCAGATCAACTCACCACGGCAAGTCCTATCAAGTACATTTGTGCTCGATGATGATCTCTGCGGGAACTTCTTTGTGGGAGGCGACGACGGGTCCGATTTCGTCAGCGCAGGGAGAACAGAAACGGGTGACGGAATTTTCTCGGGTAAGACGACGAGAGCGAGCGCACAAACCACCAGAAGAGAGCAAGTTGATTTTCCGAAGAGTTCTTAATCCGAGTTCACCTCACAATGGGAGATCGATGAATGAAGTTGAAGAACCGAGGATGATAGCGATAGAGAGGGGAGGGCTATCGGGACGGATGATACAATAGAGATGGCAACAGTGGAGCGCGGCACCGAGGTCAGAGCAACAGTGAGCGAGCAAGCGAACGATAGCGCACAGAGCTCTCGAGCGACCACCGTTCGATCGACTAGAGGCCCAGACGGAATCCCTTCTCGACGTTCGAAGCTACCGTCGCGGGCTGACCGTTGACGTTCAGTTACGTTCAAGTCGGCAGCGAAGCAGACCCACCACCAGAGGGAGCAGCTGCCGTTGTAAGCAGCCATGTCAGTGGGTCATACTTCTATATAGGTTGGCGTCTCTGCTTCAGCCGGTAACGCGGGCTGGTCCCGTCATTCGCACAAAATCCGGACACCGTTGCCGGCCGCCGAAACGGAGCGGAGGTACAAAGGTCCGACCACGGAACGGCAGCCACCGCGGCAGCGGCCGGATAACCGCCACACGATTCCAAATGTCTTCATTACTAACTGCCCACTCAATCCTTACACGTAGCCGAACATACATAGACCGGCTGGCATAAGTCATCCACGGTCCGTTCCAGGCGCTTCAGGAAGCCTCGAGTTTTCTTCGTTTTAATTCCTGATTCGAGACGAGTCGTCCTTGACACCATATCTTTACAATCGATCTGTGAAGCAGGGCGTCCGATTCGATGAGTGCGTTGTCAAGCTTCCGGCCGGGGACCTTCCGTCGTTCTCGACGTTTCTTATTCTCGTAATCTATTCGTGCATAGGTCTGGTCAGCTGCAGGAATCGAGGCCTAAAGCCGTTCCATATGCCATATGCAACCGGTACAAGGCTTTCGGCTTCCGCCACGAGCCGTGACGCTCGACTGAACGTCTTTGACATAGATTCGGGCTCTCCATAATACCGGTCTGCTCGATGTCATAAACTCATAAGTGCCGGCGCGTTCGAAGACTGCTCCCCTCACCTTATCAAGGTTTAAATCTGGGACAGCGCGTACACAAAGCTCTCCGCAGAAGTCCAACCTCGCCACAGTGACCGCTCGATGCTCGATCGGCTTGTATGCAATTCGTAACCTCGGCCATTCGCGCTCAATAGAAAATGTCGAAAGGGACCGCTGGTTAACAAAAGCTCTTCAACAAAACAATTTTTATCGCGATATCCGCAATCGGGAGCTGTGTTGAACGGAACCCAGTGAGTGACCGAGGCGCTCACTCAGTGGATGATTTATCGAGGGAGTCTGGTCGCTTCGCTGACCAGGGGTTGACAGACGATTTTTCTGGACTTTCGAACCTCTCTTTTCTCCTCCGTCCCGACAATTCGAGTGCATCGTTCCGGCATCGAACTGGCTCAGATCATGTATGTATGTGTATGTGGATATGCTTCCTCAAGGATCATGCTAAACTCGCTTTTGCCGTCCGCATAGAGACCGTTCCATTGGATGCTGATCGATTGAGGAGTCCAGGACGTCGCTAAATTCTCATGAGAATCGTCCCCGGATAATTAGGATAATAAGAACTCAAGAAAATGAATGAACCTAGGAGAATGAATGAGCAATAATTATAGCCATCATGTCCACTTCCTTCGAGGCTCGCTTCGCAGCTTCTGCATGATCCGATGTATCGGGAAGTCCGCTCACAATGAGGACAAGGATGAAAAAATGTTCTCAGCTCACGAGGGTCGGGTCCGTCCGCGGACACGGTGAAACGTAGAGCTGGTCGTTGTTCTTTGATTGTGTCAGCTTCAAGCTTATGACTCGGCGGTCGTCTATCGTATAGCTGCGCTGCTCCATCCAAGGGAATCCCGTCCCGTTTGCACTTATATAGCATCGGCGCAGAAAGCGTCGTCGTCGTCGCATGGGTTTCTGTATGTTCAAATTGGGTTTTGTGGACCAGAGTATCCGATCGGGATCAAGCCGCCCGTATGATTCGGATTTTTTAGTGAATCAACACCTGGTGGAAGATCTCTCGGAAAGGACGCCCAATCGCTATATCATTCCCGAGCGAAGACGACCCCAACAATGTACGATCAACGAGCGTCGTGCTCATGAACATCGATTTCGCGCTCCCGAAGTCGACGCTCGGTTGACGACAGAGGGCGCGCGGGAGCCATGTTTGCTTCGAGAAACTTTCGAAGCTCTCCGTAGCCCTCTTCGAAATCTTCTGCTGAAGAACCATCTCTCGAGACGCTCTCGGAGGCGAGCGCTGTAGAGAAGGGATGTTTTGAAGAGCTAATGACGAGACACGAGCCACTGCCAAACAAACGAGCGAGGATCCGCTAGCAGGCTAGGATATTTTGGAATTCTCAATAATTACTATCATCCTTGTGTCGTCGTCGTTGCGAACGTGCGCGTGAAGTTGCGTGTTCCTAGCTACGTCTGTTCGACGCCGATACCGAAGGAGGAAGACATTTCGACGTCGTTGCTCGCAGTAGTTGTTGCCGACGTAGGAGAGAATTTTTGGTGAGAGGAGCGCTTCTGGGCCACGCTAGACACCAGACGCTGGAAACGTTGTCCGGTGTCTCCGTACGACAGGTAAGGCTTTCATTGTGAATTACGGCTAACATTAGTCAAGACATACGTAGAATACAATCTCCTAGTCCTGTCGCTCCGACAGCTTGAGTGCATCGTTCCTCGCGTTGCGGCGGTGTCGTGGAGCGGTTTTCTATCCGTTCATAAATTGAGGCTACTGGCATCTGTTTTGATTCGCTCGCTAGGCAGCGGCCATGGCTCCGCTTTATGAGGAAAAATTCTCGTCTCGACAGGCTGCTCCTAGACGAGGCGAATGTCCAGATCCGCCGCTAGAAGGATCCTCATTAGGATTGCTACCTGCGGCAAAGACCTGCTCTCGTTGCCTACGTTCGAACAGATGTTGTGGAACAGATCGGTGAAATTATCGGTGATGGGCACTGAATTCTAGGACGAAGCTCCGCCGAAGAGATTTTGGAATCCAAGAAACTGCCGAAAACTCTATAGGTAATTTTGATCAGAAGATCGTGAGCCTGACCCGTTCGAGAGAGCAGGCGAAACGCATTCGTCGTGTCTCGATGAAATTCCAGTCTAGGCATCGCCTCATGTGAAAGAGAGGAAGTTCCGGTTGTGGCTGAAGTAGTCGAAGCGCTATAGTTTCGTGACGCGAGAACGATATCAGTCGGACCCGGATCGATCCGCCGACTATGATCAGAGAACGCCCCTCGACAGCCTCGATCAGAGAGATCGAGCGGAGATACACTCACCATACTCATTGTAGTTTGGATTCGATTTCAGTATGAGCGCTCAACTCGATGCCCGGAACGTCTGGCGTTACATCGGAGTCGCGTCCACGGCTCTGTGTGCGATCTCCGTGTCTGTATGTCTATACAGGATAGCTAGCATCGATTCGGTTCTGCTGCGAGTTCAGAAATCGGTTCGAGAACTGCAAGGCGACCTAAGTGACACCAGAGAACGGCTCTCTCAATTGGAGTCCGAGGTATGTACCTATTTTTTCCTACCACTCTCCGATCTCGTCCTCCAACTGGGCTTCGCAACCGCGATTATTGACCGCGATGGCGGTTTTCCCGCAATATCATGAGATTTGCGTTTTTTTGCAAAGCCTACCTCCAAAGCATTGCCCGTGACGTCCTGCAATGCCTCGCGGGCTGACATTCGATCGATGGAAGACTCCTCGGAGAAACTCGAGCTCATAGAGCGCTTCAGCTCACAAGTTCTATCGTTCCAGGGATCCAATGGGAAACGTCGAGGGAACGTCACAAGGAGCCTTCCAGCGGACGGTGGCATACGCAGTGATGACGAGGAGTTTTATGACTTCTCCGAGGTGTAATTCACGCCGTCTTCGACGTGCCGCATTTCAACGAAAGTGTAGGCTCTCCCTCATAAACGTACGAACCGTGATGAGATCCCTTCGTCTGACGTCCGGAGCAGCATAAAAAAAGTCCATCGAGACCGCTCCTATTCTACCGTTATTTTGTACGATACATGGATATGATGCAATTTATGAGGGCGGAATCGCTCGACGCAGCCTGGACACGTGAGCAAGTCTGTAAATAAAAGATAACTTTCTCGACATCGGACTCGAAAATGTTCAAATAATGATCGCTAACTCCGGTATTCGAAACGTATACAGTTGCGGCATCCTCTCCGATGATCGCCTGAGAGTCGATTCATCGACACGACCCCGTGTCATCCCAAAAGCATGAGTCGTCGTTTTGGTGTTCTGTCTCATTTCTCCGTATGAGAAAGAATTTTTATTGACGGTTCCTCTGTTCAGATATCTTCATTCTCAATGATTTTACATTCGGCGCTCAGCACCACAATGGCGTCAATTAAGACTATGTCGATTCATTTATGTTACATGCCTGCTTTGATAAGATCATCTCTCTCGCGTCCATGCGTTCAAATATCCTCTGCCCTCGATATACTCAGCTACTTAAGTTGCAACTTTTTCCTTTCACCTTACATGATCTGCTCATCCGCAATCGCTCGCTAGGGTTCTCTTAGTTTGTTGATCATTTGAGATTTCTGTTTGCTTTTTTCATAGGTTTAGCGTATATATTATTACACCGGTGGCCTCCATCGTTTCTTGAATATTAGGTCGCATGCAAGTCGAATGAGTTGCTCGATACACGACATTCAAAGGAATCACATACTTAATGTTCGGGGGTAAAATTTGTTGTACTACAGGATGAGAACAAGTTCTCCCGAATGCCTCCTCGCACCGGCTACAGCATCGGGACAACGCGTCTATTTCCCATGGAGGAGCCTTCGAAAATAATTTCTCGGAATCGCGGAGTACGGAGCTCCGAAGAGTCGAGGTGGGAACCGTGACCGGTTAGGTGCGGTGTGCGTCTCGAGGTTTTCACACCCTTAGTCAGTCATACTACTCGGCGCTTGACACCGACTCGCCATCCGTTTCTACAATTTTCTCTGGGGCGCAGATAAAACGCCGTGCCTAGCCGGTTGATCCACCACAGGTTGATACCACAACAACCCACAACTCGCGCAGTGATTGCATACTCCCGCTTTTGTTTGCAAGGGGTTCAAGGATTCGAGGACCGTGATGAAGACTTGCTAAGAGAGTTGTTTAGAGTTAGTTGCTCGGTCGTCGGCTTGCAGTTGTTGTTGGAGAGATTTGTTTGTCCATCGTTTGATAATACCTTGGAAATCTAGGCTCTATGGATAGCATTGCTTTCTTCGTCGTTACAATCGGTTTTTCAGTAAATGGATTGGCCACTTTGCGCTGTGTGCTCTCGGTCGGAGAAAGTCCGAGTGAACACCGACTCGGACTTGCGAGTCCCTAATTGGACGATACAGTATTTTGCACCCACCATGAAACAGTTGTCGAAACCCGAATCGTGAGCATCGGTACCGTATTCAGTAAGAATAATCATAATCAGTTCCCTCGAGCCGTTCGTTTTCACTTTCGTCGGATTACGCGATCTATGTACGATATATATTACAAAATCGTCGAGGTTCTGCTCACCAGCCCGAACTGATGCATGGAGACGGTCTCGCGTTTTCTGCGGAATTACCGACACGAGCGTCCAAGGCGAGTCCCGAGGGTAATACTCCCCATTCGCTGGACACTGCTGAATGAGCTTGGGGAGAAATAACCGCGGCGACGAGTGCCTGGGCGGTCACTGTCGAATTCTCCCAACCTCGGAGAGCTTGCGTGTCTTGCTAAATCCGCAAACCTTGACTCCCCTTGGACCGAGTCCCATCCGATATCGTCGGTCTGTCGATCGACGGCTTCGACTCATGGTCCTGACGTCGATGATGATATAGGATCGCGCACATCACTTCCGAACACGCAAGTTCTACCACTGGGGGAGAGAGGGGGGGGGGACCGGTCCATGACCACTACCGGGTCGGGTGCCTTGGCGCTTACCGTAAAAACAGCCCCAGTCCGTCAAGTCGACGCATGGCTTGCTTCAATCAATACACACACAGATAATGATTGCTGTATATGAGTTGGTGGGAATCACTGACTGGAATGCTGTTGGCAACGGAAACGGATGAAAAAACTCGAGACGAATTGTTTGCAGCCCAAGCAATCCACTGTCTGCATGATAAGCCTGGATTGAACCAGGAAATGTTGCCAATGGGATCAAGAGCTCCCCTCGAGTCTTGAGATGATCGGCGGACACGCGGCGGAGAATATAAAATAAGAGCGCAAACCACCCGTCTCGACTCCACGTGAAGCAGAGTGGACGTTGGCTCGGATTCATGGAGCAATTGTGCACGGGGAATTAATATCGATAAGACTCCTCTGTCGACTTCCGTGGGAATAACCGGCTTTCTTTTCAAGTTAAATGAATGTAATTGGGGGTGTATTCAAATTCGGGAATCATGAGAAGAATCATCTCGCAGAGCTCAGGTTCGCACGATTCACAACCACAAGAACTACCAGCGAGAAATGGCGCGGGGAAGATGGGGGAATAACTGAGATTTTTTGAGATCACTCTTAAGACATCAGAGTCCGGACGTTACTTATTCTTCAACGCCTTCGCACTGGCTCGCCTCTGGCGCGATTAATTATTAATTCAGTCAGTCGAAAAATAAAACATTAAGGAATTGCCACGTCGCGATCCTCTACCAGGCGTCCTCTCGCTGATCGTAGACGACCACGCTTGCGTCCTCTTCCAGCAAGTTTTCGTTAAAGTACACGACTTGGTTTTGCCGGTGTAATGCTGTTGAGTGCCCCGCTTCGGGTCCGGAATGATGAATGGAACGCTACCAATCACGAAATTGGGAAGGGCAGATGTTCGGATCCTCAGCGACGTGTCCCAATGAGCACTCAGTGTCCTCGTCTGAGTGACGTTTCCGAGCCGACTGCGGATCCAGCTTAGCGTTATGTAGATTGACACAACATCCAAGGAAAATGGAACGAATCGACGATACCGGTGGTTTCCGAGTTTTGTCTCGTTGAGCCGGGCGGGATTGGGCACTGCTATTTGAGCTCGTTGAGTAAGTTTTTCTTGTCCTGTTACGTAGCTACCTGAGACCTTTGTTTAAGTTTGCCATAGTTTCCGGGAGGGTTCGCCCGCTCGATTGCTTGCTCGCTTGCTGTCCTGTCGGAGCGCTGACACCGAGCTGGTTTGGGAATCCAGAGGGGGGGGGGGGATATACATTCGATCGAACGCGAGCGCAGCCAGTCGCGTCGAGTTTTGTATGTACAGAGAAGTTGTTAGCGATTCCGTCTCGGCCGGCGGAGGCCTCGAGGTTGAGCTTTAGACCCTGTTAAGTAGCTGCTGCATTTCGCTGAGCGGTTGATGAATCGCATTCTTCATTTTTTAGATTGCTGGAATAGATCAGAGGATAGTTAGACGAGGAAGGGAGCTCCAGCGGTGAAGATCGCCAATGGCGAGGCCTCGGACTCAGCGATTGCTTTTTCTTCCGCGAACTCGGATCGCGTTCGCTCCGGTAATGAGCTCACCTGTTTACTCGGTGTTTTGTGACGACCGCAAAACAAACTGAAGTTCGACTCATCGATGGTAGCCTTGCTCTTGTGAGCACAGTGCATGTGCAGCACGGTCGTACAGTGGCGCGCCACGCAAGGTATGGTAGCACCCGCAAGGTTGCAGACCGTACAAGTGTGTTTTGCAGCTTCTCTGATCGCGTCTTCGAGACCACGGAGGTTCCCCCGAGAGTCGAGGTACACGCCGGGACTGTAACAAGCGCAGTCCTCGTGGATCCAATACTCGGCTTTCAGGCTTTCGAGCAGTTTCTCCTCTTGGTCTTTCGTGAGATTCGGCTCGGACTGTGAGACACTGGGTTTCTTCCGTTTGGCTCCACCCTTCTTCCTCTTGGCTGTTGTAGGCTCATCTTCGTCGCTGGCATCTACCAGCACCGGCTTTTGTGCGTTGACCTGCAAGAGGCATCCAATCAGCACCGACTCGGATTTTCTCGGATTTTTTCTCGGATTTTTTTTTCGGGGGAAAAATTAAAGCGACTCGAAAAACCGTCGCGGGCGCCTTACTTGGACAGCGAGTTTTCGCATTGCCTCCAGAATATAGAGAGGTGGGGTACCCGGACGTTCCCAGTAGTATGGTCCGAACAGATCTCCGAGACCGTGTTCGTGAGAAGCGCTAAGACACAGCGCACATAACCAAGATGGGTCTCTAGTCATGATGTCGTAGCCGGGGCTCAGAGTTGACAGATGAATCGCCGTGCCGGCTTTCTTATTAACGTCGGCACCGGCTCCACTCGCCACCTGCGAATTGAATGGGCATAAGATTATTAAAAAAAAGGTTAAAAAAGGCGACTGAGGACATCGCGGATTAATTAGATCATCGACGAATCTGATCGAAACTATGCATTGGCTCACTTGTTTGAGTTTACTGGCTCCGTTCTCTTCAGTCCTTTCCTGTGCGTTTTTCCCGTTAACAATCCGAACGTCACTGGGTCGACGGTCTCTTTGTCTGACACGTAAAAACGGTCCTGAGAATGGCCCTGAAGGTGCGGATCCTTTCTTCTGCAACACGCTTGGCAAGTGGTTGTTGAGAACCTTGGTGATTTTCACTCCCTCCGGCGGCGGAGGAGCGTGGCTTATCGCCGGAACGGGACATGTTTCCAAAGGAGGCGTCGGCTTCATGTCCCTAAGCCCGCCATTCGAGTTCGGACCACACTGAGCTGGCATTGGATGTCCAGCGATTCCTGTAATCCCGATCACAGAGATCAATTAGAGAGAGGTGCAACCCTGTTGGCGAGCGCCTCGCGACAGCCCAGCACAGATTGCTCCGTGGAAGTTGGAAAGACTTATGTCGAGTCCGCCGAGCGGGACGTAATGGCGGCGAGTGGAATTCGATAGCACTTTTAGAGGGTGAGCGCGATGTATTTGAAAGCGGTGACTTCCTCCGTGCCGTTCAGAAAGATCTCAAGGGAACTGTCATCCGAGTCTGTCCTACGCAAGACAGTGCAGGGAAGCCGTTGAGCTGCCCCTCCGCCAACGGAAGTACCTCAGGCCGATTTCGTTGTTTTTAATTTCCGCGTGCCGTATCGCATGGTGCCCCAACCGACGGACAGCAATCGTGAGTAGGTACCTCACCGGCTTTTTACTCAAATCTGTACGGCGTTTTCAATGATCGGATCGGGGTACTCAAATAATCCAGAGCAGGAACCTTCCGAACGGTGGACTGCGGACAGTTTACTGAAGTCGATCCTTCAACTGGCGTACGTGGCTAATGGCTATGTCGACGCGCGGAGAAACGCAAACCCCACTCAAATCACAGCCTGCTTCATGGATGCGTCGGAGAGCTGCCCCCCTCCCCCACCCTCTCCCAGATTTCGCCTCATGCTCAAACGGCTCGGACTGGGTCCGGAATCCGGAAGCTATCTACCTATGTCAGAGTCAGTGCAAGCAAATCCACGTATCGACACTGGAATCTATACTGACCGTGATGCTGACCGAGTTTGGCGTGTTGTGGGTCCATAGATTGCGGGTGACCCGGTCGCATTGGAGGCATACCGCCCGGATGCGTGAAAGGCGGGTGATAGCCCGGTTGTCCTGGGGGTCCTTTGACCGGAGGTGGTGGATACATGGACGCGTTCATCGGTCCCATACCGGGCCCGTGTCGCTGTCCGCTCATTGGAGGACCGTTGTTACCGGGAGGCATCGGTCCCTGAGGTCTCATTGCCATTCCCGGATGGGGCGGCATGCCCATCGCCGGATGGGGCATGTGACCGTGGGATGCCATGTGACCGGCCTGGTTCATTGGACCCCCGGCTCCGTACGCCCCAGGCATGCCTCCCATCGGAGGCATGGGGCCCGGTTGAGGGTATTGACCGTAAGGCATGGGGGGCATGGGTCCCGCCGGGTACTGGGGTCCACCCCGAACGGGCGACGGTTGCGGGCCCATTTGAGGATGCGGCACTTGCTGCTGTTGCATATGCTGTGACATCTGTTGCTGCATCTGCAGTTGCTGTTGCATGGCGCGCTTCCCCCTCCCGCCGCTTCCCGAAGGTGTCGTCGGGTTCGCGGCTTTCTCGGCTGATCCACCGGGCGTTCGAGGTTTTTTGTTCTTCGACCCGTACGGTCTTCCCCGTTTTTTCTGCTGCGGGAATTCAGGACTCATGGTCGGCGAGCCAGATGCGGGACTAGCGGCCGGCGCAGGGGCACCCGTCGCCGTCGGTGGGGGGTACGGGTGTTGTGGGGATGGCGGGGGCAAATGAGGACCCTGGGGACCGTGCGGATGGGTGAAGTGGCCCGGATGCATTTGATGCGGTGGCATTCCTGCAGCGTTTTGAGGGGGCATCGCAGGATGAGCCCCGGGGTGGGCTCCGGGTACTCCCGGAGAAGGACAAACCGCTTTGGCTTGCTCAATCGACGGACCCGGACTTGCTGATAACGATGAAACATCCGATTGTGGGGGTCCTATGCTCCCGGCGGTAGACGGTGGCCGCGAGCCCCCCTGACCCCCGCTGCTCTGACTCCCCGGGTTGAAACTCTCGGCGGGCACGATATCGGGCAGTTTCGATTGACTTTTCGATGAAGAATCGGTGCTCGAGCCTCCATTACCGCTGACGGTACTTGCGCCGCCACCGCTGGCGTTGGTACCGCTGGTAGCGGTGGTGGTAGTGGTCGTCGTAGTCGTGGTGGTCGCCGTCGTTGTGGAGCCCGTGGACGAGGTCGGAGTGGAGGTCTGGAGACTCTGCGCGGACTGAGAAGTTTGCGTGTTCAGGGTCGGGGCCGCCGCCGCGCCGTGAAGAGGACCGGGTGTCGCGCTGCCTGTGCTGTAGTAGCTGCCTGTCTCGCTATCCACTGATCCCCTCCTTTGGTCTACGGCGTTCGACGGAATCGACCCGTTCGTTGCACTCGCGCGCTGATCCGGAATCGAGCCCGGAGCCATGTGAGAACTCGGTCCCTGCTGCGTACTGCTACACGATGACGCAGGACTGGCCGGTAGAGGTGGCAGCGAACTCGGAGTTACACTCCGTGCGTACGATCCGTTCTGACCGCCGCTACTGCCCCCGGCGAGCGATGGACTCGCCGGTGGTTGGTTCGCTTGACTGCCGCCCTGGCTCGGATAAGCTTGGGCCATCGGCTGCAGGGGTTGTTGTTGTTGCTGTGCTTGTTGCTGCGGTTGTTGCTGTTGGGGCTGTTGCTGGGGATGATGCTGAACGAGATTCTGACCGGGACCTGCTTGTTGCTGGTTCTGGTAAGTCTCGAATTGCGCCGGCCCAGCATAGTAGGAACCACGCTGCGGATAGGCCTGGTATCCTCCTGGAAGAGAAGATTCCACTCGTTTTCACATCTTGTAGAAAAAATCGGAGAGATCTCCATGTCGCTGTCCTCGGCGGGGAAAACAAGAGGAGAATACAAGGCAGCCGATATCGAACAGAGTAATCGATACTACACGAATGAAATGATGGCGAGCAAGGCCCGTGGAACGGCCAAGGCGAATCGACTCCCTAGTAAGTAAGCGGATGGTGGAGGGAAAAATCGATAGGACTCCCTAGAACCCAACATGTGACGTGCGACTCGTCCGCGAGGAATATCTAGGGTGCTTCTTGTCTCATGCGGGTGAGAGATGGTGAGGACAATGGTCGAATGACGCGGAGGAGCGTCGTTCACGCCGGCTTCTGCGGATGCAAATAACAAGCCCCGTACCGTGCGCTGGGAACTGTCCCGTGCCCGACGTTTGATTCGGAGGCCACGGGGCCGGGGGCGGCCCTGGAGTCGAGGCCGAGGGAAGCATCTTTTGCAGCGATTGCAGTGGGGTTTTGTTCTGGGACGGTCCAGGCGAGGTCGCCCCGGCACCCTGTGGTGGCGGTGGATATCCCGATCCTGGAGGGGGCTGTCCCGGATAACCTACTGCCCCTGTGGAACCTGAAGCGGAAGGGGAATGTGCAAGCGTGTGTAAGGACAATGCGAGAAACCGATCGAGTGTTGCTCGAACATTCAAATGGTGGTGCTGCTGTTGCTCGACGGCTCAGCCGGGGCTCAGAGTGATTCCGCTTGCCGTGGTCGTGCGTGAAGTGCTATCAGCCGACTCCGGAGAACTACCGATTCCCTACTCACCCTGATAACCCGGAGGTCCTTGGTAGTGTCCTTGCGGCGGAGCCTGTGGATATCCCTGCTGATAGAAGCCAGGATAGCCTTGTCCTTGGGTCGGCCCATAACCCTGCTGATGCCCTGTCGGTCCATAAGCTCCGTTCTGCGGCACGCCGCCACCTGGAGGGTACTGAGGGGTTCCACCCGGGGGCCACTGACCCTGCATCCTCGGATATTGGCCAGGAGGACCAGCAGGTCCCTGCTGATACTGAGTCTGGCCCCGATACATATCGTAGCTCTGTTGGGGCGGCTGTTGATAACCACCCTGGTAGAAATAGCCGGATTGGGGCGGCCCGCCAGATGCCATCTGTCCCGCCGGAGGGGGCTGCGAACGAAGAGGAGAAAATTTAGCGACGCGAACTAGTCAGAAATATGTCGAGGATTATCTCGGTCTATTTCGGAGCTCTCGAAACCGTCGGAGTCTTCGCTCACCATCGCCGAGGCCACTTGCTGCTCCGAGCCGTAGTACTGCTGGCCCTGCCCAGTATGCGGTGGGTACTGCTGAGGTGGAGGAGGCGCAGTCATCGTTCGATCCGGATGCGGAAACGATACAACCTATCGCCTCGCTCGATAACCACACTGGAAAATTTCACTCAACGTTAGTCCCGGGACCCTACCGGATTCCGACTCTACATCGGAAGTGATTGCGAAAGCTCGCGAAACTCCCCCGGACGGATTACGCCACCTTCACGGAGAAAGCGCACGAGGATCGCGCGGTGTTTACCCCGATCGCAAGCATCGCGAGTCCAGCTGCGCGCTTAACGCGGAAACGTAATCGAATAGCCCGCGTCCTGGAGCGGCTATACGAACGCTGGAGAATCCTAGCCTACGGTTCCGTGAGCTATCCGATCCGGAATACTCGACGGTCCAGGAGTCGGACCCGACCCTGGTCGATTTACCTACTCCGGAGAAACGAGTCCTACACACCGAATCCAGGGTATCCAAAGAAACGCGGGTGGACATCGAGAAAAGCCGCGAATTCCCCGTTCGAAAGGAGCACCGAGCCAACAACGAGACGAGGACTAGACGCTCGAACAAGATCCGGAGGCTCGGAAACCAACCGGTTGTCCGAGCAGTCGTCCTATCGGAAACCAGGCAGCGGATCAGATCACCGACCGAGTTCACGTACCTTTCGATTTCGGAGGCGGCCTAGCGACTGGACGCCATGCTCAGTGGGTTCAGAACTCCGCTTCGAGAGCTGAACACAAAACAAGGAATGGGTCGTCCATCTACTTGTCAGCAGGTTACTCAACGTCGCCGTCGTCTCCGCTGCTGCCGCGTGAGAATTTCGCGGGAACGACGTCGAGATGGAGCGCACGGCGTTGAATGGATATTTCGCTCCGTTTGGCCAGAACCGGAGGAGTATCAATATTTTCGGTGTGTTGTAGTGAACGAGCGAGCGACCGACCACCCGACCGACCCACCGAACGAACGTGTGTGTGTATGTACGTAAATGTTTGTTCCGTATGCAGGAAGCCGACGCTGTTCGGCTCGTTGCGGAGACGGGTCGAGGGAGTTGTTCCTCCCGCAGGTTTCCCCCACGAGCGGAGAATTCGTCGGTGGTAGTCACCAGTAGACGTAGAAGTCGTCGGCGCTGTTCCCAACGACGATGCGATATGCTGGACGTTCCGAGCGGTGTTGTCCGGCTCACGTCACGCTCACATTGAGCCCGTGGTTGCGAGATACGCGCACACAACTAGCCGAGCGAACGTAATACACTTGCACACGACAAAAGCTGCACACAACTCAATCTGCTCAATCACGACTCGAGCTCGCTCGCTCGTTCGCTCGCTCTCTTTTCCTCCGCTTGCTGCTACAGTGGCCGCTGTTCAATCCAAGATGGCGCGGGGCTTCCCTCGCCGTCCCGCGCCCGCCGCCGCTGCCGCCACAAGAACCGCCAGCCACCCAAGCAAGCAACCAACCAGTCGCCCGTCGTCAGTCAGAGAGCGAAGGAGCTCAGGCTGGCGGATACCACGCTGCCATGGCAGCAGCATCCAAGCATCGGCGGCGGCGGCGGCGGCTTCAACCAACGGAGCAGGCGGTCGTCGCGGGCACCAGCGCCGCGCTCCCCCTGACCGTCTTCCCTGGTGGTTGGCACAGGCGGGCGGGCAGGCGGCGGCCTCCGTCGCCGGGTGGATCGCCTCCTTGAACGGCGACAAGTCCGCCAGAAGACGCCGCAGTAGTAGCCTGGGTGCTCGACCGTCGCTCGGCTCTCTGTCCGTATATCCAGTCGGCGGCGGCGGCTGCCTCCTTGTCGCCTGCTGGCTATGAAGCTCGCTTGTCTTGCCGGCAAGAGAGCGAAAGACAAACAGACGGACAGACGAAGCCACCACCGCCCTCGTTCTCCTCCTGTTGTCAGGAGGACCGGCGCGGAATGAACCGAGGAGTTTTCCTCCAAGTCACGCCTGCTGTCCGTTCCTTGTTGTAGAAATAATCGGTGGAAAGGGCCATCGATGTATGCGCGGCTCGGAACAACGCCAGGATGCCCGGTCTGATTCTGCGGGAAACTCCCCTCTCCGTAACGATGATCTCCCGTCCAGCTGCAGCCAGCTGTTCATTCGATTCCTCCCCTGCTCGATTGCTCTTCGTATCGACAGCCGTCCTTCATATCTTTAATGGTTACCATCGGCGTTCCCGACCGTCTGCTATCTGCGAGTGACGTTCATGTGATCCGGCGCTGCCGTGCGTCGTGAGGATTCGCGGTCGGATCAATGGTGGAGGGATTACGCAGTTGGGATTCGAGAGCTTCCGAGCCGAGACGGTCATCCCACCCTTTGGCCCTCTCCTCTGTGGCTCCAGGCGAACCCGTCGTTCGAATCCGCTCTTCATTTTGCTGCCACTGCGGCGGCGGCGGCGGCGGCGGAAGCATTGACAGCGCATGACAGCACTCAGGGAAGAAGCTCCGAGAGCGGGTTCGACGGCTCTTGCTGCATCATGGGAGACTTCACCAACTTTGAGATGCGACTCTCCTTAGCAACGCAAATATGGGGCCCTGGGGAGGATCGGGGAGTTGTCGGGGACAGACGAGAACGCTCCAAGTGGTTCAGAGCGAATTTGAAGTCATGAGGGGAAGAGCGACGACAGGCTCCCCATCGTGGTCTGCACTCGACGAAAACTCACATCCGGATGCAGCATAGCTCAGGATATGATTTTAGAGTGTCCTGGAGCGTCTGAGACAGATTCCCCTTGGTTTCGGGAAGGAGGGGGGGGGTCAACAATGAGAAACTTGGAGGAAAAAATTTTCCAGAAACGGGAAAGATTATTCCCGATTAGTCGAGAAAAGATAAATCATGGAATGGATCGGAAAAGACAAGTTTCCTGTTCCGGAGCTCCTTTACTTCGGGGGATAAGGCGGATTTCTTTCAGAGAAGTTCGTGCCTGAATTCATTACGACGGGAAGAGCCCTGTGCTGCGAGGAGGACTACGCGGTGCCTTGATCCGCGGTGATGGACGCTTAATTATTTAATGAAAGCAATGCTCTCGATGATCGAAGATTGGAGCAAGGAATGAGAACGAGGGATAGGGTTACAGCTCGAGTGCATCATCAAATCAGATAACGACCAATTCATGGAAACTCATGTGAAGGGTGCGATGCGACTACCTAAATAATTCTCTCTCTGTGTCAACGCCACGATCGGTGAAGTACAGCATCCCGGTCCAGCGTCTGCTCCCCATCTTAGAAGTCTTCTCACTCAGCGAAATCCCCCACTGACCACTCCTTCACTACCCGTGAGGCCTGAATGAATCCTCCCCACTCGGCTGAGCCCGGAACGAAGCGGACGAGGCACGAACAGAAATGTTTTCCGAAGGTGAAGAGCCAGAAATCTTCCTCGAGCTCGCCTCGACGATTCAAGACCAGGAATCCCTCATATCTGTCCCCCTCACTGACTTGATACCGTCGGTACAGCGCTCGCTCGCCCAGCGATCCGATGACATAACAATTACAGTGCATGTTGTTCACATTCTGTCTGAGGAGAAAATCCGATACCTCAGACAATGAGGCTTCTGGCTTCATCACGAAGTAATGAGTGTGTTGCGGGAGATTTGGCCAAATTCGCCGCATGGTGATGGATTCTGAGTTCTGAGGACCCTCTCTGGATACTGATTTCTCCCCACCGTGCTACGCTGCTTTCGTCGTTTCAAGCCAACTAATATCGCGGAAGTTTCAATCGACACAAATAATTCAATACCGGTGACCGAGGCAGAACTCGATAATGAGGTGGCTCGCCCTAGATGAAACGGTCTGATGAGCTCCTGATGCGGACCGCGCGAATCTCAGAGAGTGTCCATCAACGGTCAAGATCTCATGCTCCTCAGGAGAGGTGTATCGCGAGTGATCAGGCGAAGGACATGGGGACTATCCATCGGGCTGGCTCCGGACGCTTTCGAAAACATTCCCCTCAATTTCCCCCCAACCCCTCAAGCCCTCAAGTAGGAACGTAAGAAGTATTAGAACAGTCGGCGACAGGGGAGCGCGCCCCGCGGATATGCTGCCGGATAGATTGACGAAAATATGTGATCTCCTTCCCTCCAGAGTATCAGAGCTGGCTGATATGAATTTTTATTCCTTCTTCTGGATACCTTCCATCCCTGTTAACCACCTCATTTCATAATCTCGCGGCGGTATCTTGTCATGCTCGAAATGGTGAGAACTAGTCACGTAACGCAGGAAGAAGCTGCAGAAGAGATGGCTGAAAATAAAGAGCCATATGTGCCCTTCGGGTTTGGCGGGGCGATTCAGAGCCAGAAATCCTTCGTACGTGTCTTTGGCTCCTTTCGGATACAAATCATAAAGTGGCCTGTCTTTGATCTTTGCGACCACGAACCAATCACAGCGCAAACCATCCACGGCGTGCCTCTCGAGATAGACTGCGAGTATTTGAAGGTCCGCATCTGGTTTTACCACAAAATAATACATGGGTCGATCCGATGGAGGGGGTAATTGCGACATGGTCTCTGTATGACTTGATTTGAAGCTTGGTCTCCTGTGCTTTCGTCGTTTTCAATCTTCTGTTCGCTCGAATACTTATGTCTAGATCGAGCTCGGACTGTTCTGAAAAATGTGACACTCCACTGATATTTTGGATTTTGGAGGCTCTCAATTCCCGGATCGAATCAGTCCAAGTGGATCGGTGAGCCAGGGCGGGTTCTCGGTAGAACTAGCGGGAAACTACAAATATGGCACAGATTCAGCTCATCCAATCGTTGACTGACTTGAAAAAAAAAATCGCACCCCGTCACGAGCCACGATTTTTTCTCTTAAGTTCGGGAGCGAGATTGTTGCGTTCAAATATTTATTCCATTCCTCCCGAGAGTCTGAGATCGTGCGCCTGAGCTTCGAAAACTTCAGGGCTTTCAGTTTTGATTCGACAAACGAATATGTATTTACAAACACCTAGTAAAGTGATCATTGTCGCCCGCGTGGACATCAATGAGGAAACGTCGATGGAGATCCCTCCCTTACGCGAGCGTGACGTTCGACTCCCGAGGTGGGTGCTCGTAGACACCGTGTGCTGTAGGATCAGAAGATCCGATCTTCGATCCCGAGAGCGGAGCTGAGCTTCATTGGTAATCTGCGAGCTCCGGGTCAGACATTAGGGAGCCTTGTCCGCATTCTTCTTCTTCGCATGCCGAGTTGCTTTTTCTCGGCCGTCGCCCACGAGGTTGCCTGGATAGGTCTTCGCCGAGATGTTTGTGAGATAATAGAGCGCCAGGAGGGAGAAAGGAGCGCAAGTTGTTGCGCAGACCCCATGGACCTGTGGGGAGAAGAGAGAGGTTCAGTCGTAGCAGATGATGTCTGATGTCTCTGAGCACCATGCCATTTGCCTTCGGGCAGAAGACTTTCTAATACGGCCCCATCTGAGAAGTTTCCAGGATAGCGGCTCACGAGACAGCTCCGCTCGTCTGATTGGTCCGGAGTCCTCACCTGTGCGGCCAGCATCACCGCCACGATGAAGCAGAACGCGACTTCAGGGAATATCTTGCATTGAAAAGAACTTCCGAAGAGAGACATCTCCGCATTGGATACCGTCGTCAACAGCAGAACGAAGAGCCATGAACTCGCGAGTCCACCTGCAGTGAAGATTGTATCGAGCCATGGGACGTATGTATCACATAATATCTGACTTCATTCCGCATGAGTTCCCAATATTCTTACCCATGATCGTCATCGGCCGTGACTCGACTATCGACGACTTGAACATTTGGAGCGTTGCGAAGAGCAGCACGCTCAAAGAGGCGGCAAGGGCGGCAGAGGCGCCGTGTGAACTCATCAGAGGCATGATTGACTAGAGGACTCGTTCGCGCTTCTCTTCTCCCTGTTCTGGATCCTCTTCTGAAATAGAAAACATTCTGATTCTGATGATTGACGATACAGAGACTGCCAATCTGTTATTCCGGACCCGGATGAGACCTTCCTCGGATGAGACCTCCAATCCCTCGATCCTGAGATTCACATGAGAATTTATATTACCAGGCTGAGATGCGTAATTTCCACACTTATTTTGAAAACATATCCCGCAATTGTTCTCTGACAGCTGAAATTCTCCAGCTCAGTTGCCGGTGGTGAGAGAGTCCCCGTCGTCTTGATGTATGGGGACGCACCCTAATTTCGAAAAGCGTTCGGGCGGCATTCAGAGCTGTGGACGAGCTAGCACCCTGTTTAGGGACAATCTGGAACTGGGATGTGATAGTTCGGACCTCACGGCTGCTGACATGCTGATTGAGCCCAATGAGCCGTCCGTCCCATTCCGATTCAGAAAGAGGGCCAGCCTAGCAGGTTCGCGAAGTTCCCGCGTTAGACGCCAGGAGTGGAGTGGGTTGCCTGCCGCGCGGAGCTGTCGGATGCGTTTCATGATCTCTCAACTTGAAGTTCCGCTCCGGATTGGTATTCGCAGGTCGCAAATTAATTCTCGCGGTATGCGGCAAAATGCCACGACACATGACAAATGACGGCGTCGCAGTCTGAGTCTCTCCTGGTCACATGAGTATTCGAAATCTCCGACTACCAAATCGGCCATGAAGGATTCAGGTAATCGAATGCGAATTCAGGAACTGTGTTCGCAATTAAAGGCGGATCCAAGGGCTATCTATTGTGGAGGACCCTTCGACCTCGGCTAGACTTCACGCAGAATATGTGCGAGCCGATCGGGCAATGCTCCTCGTGCGTATTCCCTGTTGGACACGCGAGGAGAACTAATACGAGATATGATAGATTTTCCGGAATCGACTCCTCGTCGAGACGAAAGCACGTCTGCATCGTCAGCAACCGTGGGGCATAGCCCCCCTCGCGATAGTCGGAACAACCTACCTTATCTTGATCATGGTGAAAATTTTCTACCTGTCTCTCATGCCGAGGCGCTACATATATAGGTCAGCCTGGGATTCTGTGGCGAGGATGTCGACACCAGTAGTGGATCCAGGGAGTGAGAGGCGGGGCGCGCATCAGCGACATCTTCCGCCATTGAGTGTATCGCAGGCTGTCTCTAAGTTGTCTGGAGCCGGGAGCCGATCTCCCGGGGGTCTGGATGAGGAGCCGAATCCGTACCTTGGAAAACTCAGGAAAGTCACTAAGAGAGACCTCACTGTGGGAGTCCATCCCGTCCGAAGCATTGTACTAGCGCGTAGATCGATATTCTACCATCTCGAGAAAAACTCGATCTGACTGGGGGCTAGAAGCCACGTTTCGAGGGATTTGCATCTAAACGAAGCTGTTCTTTGAGTGGTCAATCGATTAATTTGGCAGATCAATCGTGTCGACGTGGAAACGTTTCTTGAAGTGAACATTCGCAATACGGGCCGTTCTTTGAGCGGGATCCACGGGCATGTAGACGGGGATTCGGCGGTTTGCTGCTACTTTTGCCATGTCTTCTATTCTCAAAATCCACTTGCTGGGAGTTGCTTTCGTCAGAGCAGGTACTCGTCACTATCGATGACAGAGACGCTAGCATCTCCTAATCTAGAGAAGGTACGTCGGACTCACTAAGCAAGGATCGGGGCTTCTGCATTTACAACTCTTCCTCTTTTGCCGCAGAGCGATTCCTCAATCGTGGAACCAGCTGTCTCAAAAATGAGTTCCGCTCCTACGATATCTGTCACGATTCGAATCGACGCCCGCATTACGTCAATGCATCAGCGTCGTTTATTTACTCCGACGCCGATGGCCTCCGATCCGACCGGGCTCGACGAGTACGCCCCAAAGATGAGCTGACTATCTACCTAGTCATACGGGCCGAATGCTAGCTTCACTCGTATTTTCCATGAGATTATAAGCTTCAGAGTCGTCTGAAGGCCGAGAAAAATGCGGGATTCAGGGCCTGATTTCGGATCGACAGTGATGACCGATCATATTCAGCTTCAGCTGTTTTCAGTTTTCCGCCATTCTCTCTTCGTATATCGGCCTCTCCGGCCTTCAGGCTACTTATTAAACGCGGCAGGATTTCTTCGGAAATCCGTCCACGGAATCATTGAAACTGTGGATCACTCTCTCTGAAACGAGCTCCTCTCTAATGAACCTCTGACAGCCGGATTGACAGGAGCATGTCCCTATCACCAACATCTCTTCTAAACAAGTCTCTTGGGGAGAAGATTGAAAAACATAGAAGTCGGCGCTTTGTTCGGAAAGATGACCGAGGGGAGTACTTTTGGATACGACTCATCAAGGCCTGACAAAATATTGGGAATGCATGATCACGACCTCTGTGAAAATAAAGATCGAACCCATAGATAATTTTCGGATCGATGATTGAGATCCCATTGTTCTCATCAGGTCCTTTTTGGAATTATCACCCTCTGGGCATTCAAGCCCCTTCCCTTCCTCCCATAGGCAGAGAAAATCGACGAGACTGAGTAAAGCTCTTACATAGCGTGATACATAACGTATATTCGATTCTTTTGTGTTGATGAATTGCCTGAGCTGAAGGGAAATCCAGTTGACTGACAGAGTTTAGCTTAATTTTTTCGATCATCGCATTCCAGCGGACGGAGGTAGGCGGGTATCGGAGATATTTCCGAACTACTGGGTCCTAATTATCTCGCGAGACAATGTACTTAATCCCTCCGTCATGAAAGCTGATCCCCCAGCCAGCGGCGGCGCTTATCGAGGCCGAATTACGATCTCTGGGAGCACCGATTTGAGTCGAGAAAATCGTCGAAACCTATGTCGCATCGAGTTGAGAATCCGAAGGAAATGTATTCTCTTAAGGAAGGGATCGAAAAACTCAGAGGAAACTCAAAGCGATGGACCTATTACCACGAATCTTGTGCCTAGAACGGACGCTCACGTTTTGCGAGATTGGAAGATCAAGGCTCACGCTCCCCCTGAGGAATAATACCAGTGAATCATTATCCGAGCTCTGTGATGCTTGATATCAGCATGAGACGATACACTTAGTCGAACATGGAGGCCGGATCTTCCCAGACCGATCGGCAGCATCCGATTGAGAATCCCTAGCCGATGATTCGCGTGCGGTCCATCGAACGTATCGTGTCGATGGGTGCCTGGATCACTTTCGCTTAGCGGTATGACAAATTTCGCTATAATCGGCGGCGAAATGGGAGAATATGCCTGTATGAATAGTTCTTTCTCCCCTCTTGACGCCTTTTAGTGTATGGTGCGCCCGATGGCATTGAGTTGCCCTGCTTTGCGGCTCATAATCCCGATAGTCACGGATGTTAATCCCTTCCCGCTATGTCACTTCTGGAAACTCGTCGCTCCGTTCGTACTAGCTCGAAATTCCAATGCGAGCGGGGGAACGACGGAAATCCTGAATCGTCCGTGATTATTAAATTCAACCAGCGCGCGGCTCCCGGACTCGGCTGGAGGAATCGCGTTGAAAAGTCAATCTCCTGCGGCGGAAATCGTCGGGGTCTCATGACGCGGGGAAAATAGCTCTCGGTAGGGAATCCGGGGAGCCCGGGTGAGTCAGGATGCCAGGGAACAAAAATTTGCATGTTATTTACATGATTCGAGCTGATGTGGAACCACTTCCGGACTATTCTCTGCGTGCACTAGGCCGACTGGCATTTGAAGCAATAGCGAATCGCTCTAGACCGTCCTCTCGCTTCGAGGTAGGTATGTAATCCGTGCATCAGTGGTTCCCGACCTTCTTTTCTCGTAGACCCTCCCCCAATCCTCATTTAACCCGTGTAACTCCTTGTGGAAACCCTATTGCCGTCCCGAGTTTCGAAGCTTCATAGAGACCGAATGAGTCTTCACAAGGGTAAAGAAGAACAGCAGCGAATTGAGATCGCTCCCTAGTTGTGAATCACGACATGCAAAGGGATCACGTCTCGACGGGGCTGCATCCAAAAGTCATACTATCGGACGCCCCGGATGCTCTCATTCGAATTCATACATCGATATAACGATTCGATATCCGACCGAGCGCATCGAAATCCATCCTGATACAGCTATCCGACTTTATATCTCCCATATATCTCACCAATCGCAATGTGAATCATCGATTGTCAAAACTCCGCCCTTAGCACTTGAGGTCACGATGCATTGGAAAACGGTATTGCTTCCTTGTCATTCCCGGCTCAGCTCCTGGAATGCAATTCGATGAATCCTGCCGATCCGAGGCGTACGAGCCACTATAACCGCATGCGCCCTATCCCGTCGGTGATCACTGCGAAACCGTTCAGGAGCCAGTGACGTTAAAAATTACTGTCCGGGAGCGTCGTTCAGCCTCCGCTTGGTGACAGCTCCTCTTGGATACTAAATTATGTAACCAGAATCCGAACACGTCTCCCGGAGGGGATTAATCTCGACTACACCACGATGCCAGTAGGTAATCATCCAGATTGAGAGTCGACGTGCGACGACGGCCGCGCAACGACTTATCGAGGCAAGTTTCTTATCATGAGTCGAGACTCGATACAAGACTCCGTCGAGTCCAAATTCGCGAGCCTATGGCCTTTCCTGCTGTGAATCGATCCAGTGAGTTTGAGCGCGTGTATGCGTAATTTTTCCGCGATTTTCAGAGATTTCTCGTTTGTGATTTCGGGCAAGGTCCTGGCTCGAATGATGCACCCCAATCTTTTCGGTCCCTCCGCGGGGATTCGGAATCTTGAAGGTTCTGCACCTCATCCTTTTGTACCTCCTCGGGGAGGCGCAAAAGCCGAAAGCAGGCCGTCGAGCGGAGTACGATGCTAGGTGCTCCGGAGCTCGCATTTCGACGCACCGCAGATTCAATAGTTTCGGCTCCTCACTCTTGAGGAGCGTCATTGAGGCCGGGAGGTCGTTGGAGACGATATTGAGTTGGTAAGACAAACAGGGGATAGCTCAATTACGTCTCCCATTGGCAGCGATAGATTCGGGGACTCCAGCGGTACGTTCCGATTCGTCTCCGACGCTCCAGTCAGTGTGACGGGAGCCGATGCCTCATTCGGGGGACAACGATCGATATCGAATGACTGGAGTTTCTTCGAACGCCCAAATTTTACGTGCTCGCATCTCATTTGCTGAACGGTCAAGAGTGACCGCTCCGTCGCTCTTTAAGGTCCTTCCTGCTCACGGAGTATTATGCAGCATGAACGCGAACCCATGGAACAAGTCTGAGCCGTT